CTTCAAAAAATTTTGTGTCTACCAAATTGGGTTGGTCCAATGTAATACTAATAATAAATGTTGCCTTTAATTTAATCAATAAGATAAATTGACTTCATTAATTTTTTTGAGCCACCTCTTAAGAAAATCTAAAAAATATGAATGGAATGATAAATCACAAGTACAAACTCATCATATTTTTTGCATTTTAGATAGGATTTATTCAGCAAAATTTAAGGGTGACGTCATCAATTTTTTTAGGAGGGATGAACAAATATATTTTGAACAAAAGTTTACCATGCTTATAATTACTTTAAAATATCTCCAAGATTTCAAAGCATTCGGTTTTGTAATTCCTGATTAAATCGATAAAATAAATGCACGCATTCATTAATTTTTTTGAGTCACCCTGTATATGCAAATCCAAAAATATGGATGGAATGATAAATTACAAGTACAGACTCATCATAGTTTGTACATTTTAGATAGGATTTATTCAGCAAAATTTTGGGGTGACGTCATCAATTTTTTAGGGGGGATCAGTAAATACATTTTGATAAAAAATTTACCATGCTTATAATAACTTTAAAACATCTCCAAGATTTCAAAGCATTCGGTTCTGTAAATCCTGATTAAACCAATGAAATAAATTCATGCATTCATTAATTTTTTTGAGTCACCCTGTATATGGAAAGCCAAAAAATATGATTGGAATGATAAATCACAAGTACAGACTCATCATATTTTGTACATTTTACATAGGATTTATTCAGCAAAATTTTGGAGTGACGTCATCAATTTTTTAGGGGGGAAGAGCAAATACATTTTGATAAAAAATTTACCATGCTTATGATAACTTTAAAACATCTCCACGATTTTAAAGCATTCGGTTCTGTAATTCCTGATTAAATCAATAAAATAAATTGACGCATTCATTAATTTTTTTCAGTCACCTTGTATATGCAAATCGAAAAAAGATGGATGGAATGATAAATCACAAGTACAGACTCATCATATTTTTCACATTTTAGATAGGATTTATTTACCAAATTTTAGGGTGACGTCATCAATTTTTTTAGGGCGGGGATGAGCCACTAGATTTTGATAAAAAATTTACCATGCTTATGATAACTTTAAAATATCTCCAAGATTTCACAGCATTCGGTTCTGTAATTCCTGATTAAATCAATAAAATAAATTGACGCATTCATTAATTTTTTTGAGTCACTCTGTATATGCAAATCCAAAAAATTTGATTGGAATGATAAATCACAAGTACAGACTCATCATATTTTGTACATTTTAGATAGGATTTATTCAGCGAAATTTTGGAGTGACGTCATCAATTTTTTAGGGGGGAAGAGCAAATACATTTTGATAAAAAATTTACCATGCTTATGGTAACTTTAAAACATCTCCAATATTTCAAAGCATTCGATTCTGTAATTCCTGATTAAATCAATAAAATAAATTGACGCAGTCATTAATTTTTTTCAGTCACCCTGTATATGCAAATCGAAAAAATTTGAATGGAATGATAAATCACAAGAAGAGACTCACCACATTTTGTACATTTTAGATAGGATTTATTCAGCAAAATTTTATGGTGACGTCATAAATTTTTTAGGAGGGACGACCAAATACATTCTGATCAAAAATTTACCATGCTTATGATAATTTTAAAACATCTTCAAGATTTCAAAGCATTCGGTTTTGTAGTTCCTGAGTAAATCAGTAAAATAAATTTTGCGCATTCATTAATTTTTTTGAGTCACCCTGTATATGCAAATCCAGAAAATATGAATGGAGTGATATATCACAAGTACAGACACATCATATTTTGTACATTTTAGATAGGATTTATTCGGCAAACTTTTGAGCTGACGTCATCAAGTTTTTGGAGGGGATAACCAAATATATTTTGACTAAAGATTTATGATGCTCTTTACAGCCTTAAAACATCTGCAACATTTCAAAACATTCGGGTTAGCAGATTCAAAATTAAATTGCAACATGTTGTTTTATAATTTTGATTTTTTTTCCAAAAATCTGGACGTTTTGGGTAAAAACTCAATTCGGGGTCGTAAACTACATGTGTAGGACTATGTTATTTTATACAATTTAAGACCCATTTACTATGTACAATTTTGAAGTGACGTCATCGCATTAGTGGTGGGGATGATTAGACAAATTTTGGTTAGCGTTTTACCATCTACATGATATTCCTAATATAAGTACAAAATTTCACAACAATCGGTCCAGTACTTTCGGAGATTATCTGTCTAATAAAAATCCGGGACGGCAGACAGACAGACGGACAGACGGACAGACGGACGGAAATGGGAGACCTATTTCTTCGTCTTCTAGGGGTCATGAAAGATGGAGAAAACGTAAAAGTAGAAAGTCGGCTGACGGACTCGATTACAATACTTCCTTTGCTTACGCTCGGGAAGTAAAAAATGCACAAATTGATCCATTCGTTGGTGCTGGGTGCAGCACATGAATCCCTCCACGAAACTCCCCGTCAGGCCGTACCCAAGAAGCCCAAGACGAAGACCTTCGAGCAACTCATCTTTCTCAACACCTCCATCGGCAGCATCGGGACACGCCCTGGAGGCCCGTCAAGCTAGAGATTTATCCATTGCGATAATTACTATAGGAGAAATTAAACGAAATAAATGCACAAATTGCACAAAATATTTTATGAGGTTATGTCGCTAGTGCGGGTCGAGTTTTTATTACTAAAATTTCATTAAAATGCTATGTTTTAGTACGATTAGATGAAAATGCGCGGGCCTGCTTGTTCTTATCGTGTGACGATAAGATTTACCATCAAAACAACAGCTAGCGGTATTGAGGCGAACCATTTAAATAATGGCAAATACCTAATAAAACCTAACAACAATTGGTGACGAATGAAGTAATGAAATATTGTACAAATCTGGATAAATATTGCACTATTTACAAGAATTGCTTTAAAGTGATTTGGGGAGATATGATAAAATAAAAACTAATTTCTCATGTTAATTCCATATGTCCAAACTTAGATGCGGCACCCTGTGTATGAAAAGAGTAAGAAAAGGAAGTACTTCACATCAGAAGATCTACTTCAGGATGCAAAAATAAATTTATTCATTCATTAATTTTTTTGAACCAACTGTATAAGCAAATCTAAAAAATTGGCAGAAAGCTAGTTCGGCAGAACTTCCCTCGCACCTATAAAAGTATAAAATTTGATGTTGTGAATTTTATTTTTTTATGAGAACCCATATAAGTTGAAATAAAGATATGTATATAATCTTAAAGTAAATGTAAACAAGTGTGCTACGCATATGCTTCAAATAAATTTTTACAGTTTTGTAATGACGTCATCAACATTTTTGCAAGGACACGTTGGTATTGGTGCCGTGCAATACTAAAAATAACAGTAATGGATTTCCAAAATTTTCTAGGAAAATGGAGTGAGTCGTTCCTGATTTAATCAATAAAGTAAACTAACTCATCATACTTTGCATATTTTAGGTAGAATTATTGGCCAAAATTTTGAGATGACGTCATCAATTTTTTGGGGGGAATAAACAGATATATTTTGATTAACAATTTACCATGCTTACAATAATCTCAAAACGTCTGCAAGATTTTAAAGCATTCGATTCTGCAGTTCCTCATTTATTCAATCAATCAATCAAATCAATTGACTCATACATTAATTTTTTTGACTACTCGGTATACTACTTTGAAAATGCGATTGGATATGTGGATATACAGGATGGGTGCAGTCCTCTCTGTCTCATTAATTATTAGATCTAGTCAAAGATGAAAGTTGTAAAAAGGAATACATCGCAGGGGCGACTCACTTTAATTGGAGAAAATACTAAAAGTAAAATTGAGCCTTTTTTATACAGAGTGTGGTTGATACAAAAAAGCGCATACGTCTGTTTATTTGTTCATAGAATATTGCATCGCAGATCTTAAAAATAAAATTATTGCAATTTCTAATGGAACCACGCATTGCCAAACAAATTCAAGAAAATTGCAATAACGTTGCCTCGGAATTTCTCATTTAAAAGATGGTTATTATAACACTTAGAGAGAGACCATTGAGAGTAGGTATCTAAAAATACATAGGTGTTGCATTTAAAAAAACAAGTTACGTGTTAAGCCTCAAAAAAGCACTCTGCATATTCGGAAATAATTTTTATGGATGCGTCTCGATAAACCGTATAACTTTGTTCTTTAATTCATTTTCTGAATGAGAAATGTAGGACTGCGTGCTTAATGACTCAATCTGTATATATAAAAAGTAAACTCATATACATACGTAGCAAAATACTTGTGAAAAATAAAGGTAAACATTGATACAGTCGTGCATGTTCATATTGGAAATTCCTAGTTTTAAAAATAATCGTTCCTTATTGACACTATACTAACAAATGGATGCTTGAAATGAAATAATTTCGTTTTATGATGTGATTATTTAGAGTTGCTTATACAGATGATAAAAAATTAATTAATGATGAATGAGTAAGTTTATTTTATTGATTAAATCAGAAACGGCTCACTCTATCTTCCCGAAAATTTAGAAGTACAACATTGTTATTATTAGTATTACACTGCATCCAACTGATACACGTGTCCTTGCAAAAATGTTAATGACGTCTTCACAAAATTTTTTAAAGGAAAAAGTCATTCGAAATATATATGTAGCACGCTCCTTTACCTTTATTTTAACTTGTAGAGGTTCTCAAAAAAAGTATGTAGGCAAAATCAAATTTTGTATATTTTTGCTGAATATGTTTTATTATACTTTAGGGGGCAGGGAAGTTCTGTCGAAATAACCTTTAACCAATTTTTTTAATAACTGACATTAATTAATCGCACAGCATTTTCAACCTACTTCAGCTTGTTACAAAACTTAAGTAATGAAATATAAATCCATTGATAAGTAGATATGTTCTAGTTTGATTAAGTAAAGTTTGCTTAAAATAATCAATAACGAAGATAAGGTATTACCGAATTCACTTGATTTGATACCGTCATTGTGTAAGGTGAAAGTGGTTTTATTCTCTGTCCATTCTTTATAATTATCTTTGGTTTTCCTAATGGTTGAACCACCACTTCAAGTCGTAGAAGGAACCCGTGCTGGTTCGTCGCTGTATTATGACAATGATTGCTACCTATATTTTAAGGAATCAACACGTAATGGAAGTACAATGGTATCAACTTACTTTCGCTGTAGGAGAAAATATTGCACAGCAAGACTTGTGTGGCGAACTGGACAACAACTTTGTTACAGCCATAAACACAACCATAGTCCAGAAGAAGAATTCTTAAACGATCTAAAGTACAGGCAAAAACTACGTCAACGTGCATCTGTGGAAAACATACCGCTGAGTACCATTTACAATCAAGAGCAAGAAGTATCTCCACAACTAGCTCTTTCAACAAGACCTTACAATGGTACCGTTAGAAAAATGATGGAAAGAGCTCGCAAGAAAAATCTTCCAAAGGTGCCGCGAAGTATTCAGGAGATCGACAATTTCATCAGGGACGAAAGGTATTACACAAAAATGCCTAAAGCTAAAGTTCTTAGATTTTAGACTTCGTTAAATTTAACATTTTGTTTCCCGAGCGTAAGCTAAGGAAGTATTGCAATCGAGTCCATCAGCCGACTGGTTGCTTTCATATTTTCTCAATTGGTCATGACCCCTACAATACGAAAAAATGGGTCTCCTGTTTTCATAATAATATGCTTGTCTGTCTATCCGCAGTCTGTGTCGATTTTTGTTAGACAGATATGTAATAAGATAAGATAAACAAATTTTATATGTGTATTATGAATATCATGTAGATGGTAAAACGCTAATCATCCCCCACCAACAATGTGATGACGTCACCTCATAATTATACATAATAAATGGGTTTAAAATTGTATAAAATAACAGTCTTAAAAAATATATATATCAAAAAGGTATAATATCATTTTGCAGTTTAACTTTGAATCTGCAAAACCCAGTGCTTTGAAATCTGGCAAACGTTTTCAAGTTTAAGCATGGTAAATTTTTAATCAAAATATATCTGTTGAATTCCCCATAAAAAAATTCGTAAAATCAAATTTTATAATTTTTTCAAAAAGCTAAATTATTGTAAGTACTTCAGTTTTAGTAGTTGCTAAGTTACAATAGAATTATAATTTTTTCAAAATATTTCTAGAGCCAAGAAGTTTCGTGTTGAAATGGGACCAGAAGAACGACCTTTTTATGGAGGCCTTCTGGAAGTCCGCATCCAAAATACAGTTCAAAGATCGATATATTTTATATCTCCTACGGTTAAAAAAATAGCAGCAACTAAAAATAATTGTGTTCTTCAGATGGATGGAACTTTTTCCGTGGTACCCAAAGCAGTAGGAATAAAACAGTTATTCTGCGTACATCTGCTATATTCTGGTCATGTATGTTTTCACGTACAGTAAGTGCCTTTTTTAAATTAACAAACACGTTACCGTTTAGGTGTTCCCGATTATGTATTGTTTAATGGAACGAAGAACCACGGCTGCATATGAACAAATACTAGAAACCTTGAAGAATATTGTGCTCCCAAATAAAACCGTTAAGAAGATAATGACAGATTATGAAGCTAGTTTAAGGAAAGCCTTAGGAAAAGTTTTCCCAGAAGCTCAGTTACTAGGATGTTGGTTTCATTTTGCTAAAGCAGTACACAAAAAAGGTAATAATGTGTATTAAAGAATTTATCAACTAGAATCTATTATGTCGATGTCTCAGCTATGAAATTAGGATTAGGACGACAAAATGTTAATAGGAGTATTAAAGAAGGTTCCCGTATGGCAATGGCTCTGCCCCTCTTACCTGAAATGTCTTTCGAAGAAGGAATAGAAGCAATTTACGGATGGATGGAAAGTCACATTGACACCGAAGATGAAAAGAAGCAAATGAATCTGCTTTGTAGTTATTTACGTAGATGGAGAAACCAAAACGTGTCTGTGTACGGACAAGAATTTAGAACAAACAACGCCGTCGAATCTTTCCATAGTACACTTGTTCAAATGATTGGGAACCCTCATGTGTCCTTTTGGAGATTCATTGAATCATTACGCAAAGTAGAACATAAAAAAGCGTGTGATGCCATAAGAGTCCATCGAGGAGAATATATAACAATGTCTCGGGGTCAAAAACTGAAAAGAATACAAGCAGCATTAGGTAAAAGCTGGAGTTTTTATGAAATATAAAGGTAAAAGTTTACATTTTAGATAAAGAAAAACAACGATTTGACAACGATGAGGACAGAGATATAGGTTTATTCTTACGAAAAATTTCGAATATTATGAAAGGGGAATTCGATCAGTGTCAGGTAGAAGAAGAAATGAACCAAGAAAAAACAGAAATAGACACCATAAATGGACAGAAAACTGTGGAAGAAATAGAAAATACGCGTTTTAAAGAAATGGAGCTATGAAAGTTAAATATTCAGAAATAACAATACCAACATGTACTTACAGATATATATTTAAAGCTGGAAACTTAACTCTAGTGAAGACAGCAGATTCCCTCTAAAACTACTGTTAAATATGACTGTGTTACTATAGTAAAGCAGCAGTAGCTGAAGACTGCTATAAACTCAGTGTTTTCATATGTGCAACAATACTCCTTGTACAGCACTATTTTTGTCCTTGTAAATTATTGCTATTCGCAGTTGGCTAATCGTATGACGAATTACGAAGAATTCCTATAAATTATTTAAGCTTAAGTTGGTAATATGTTTTATATGAAGAGCTTTGCGATTATTTTGTCAACTGTTAAAGATACATCTATGGTCGTTAAAATTTTGTTTTTACTTATTGAAGTTTCATTGTAAGTGGATATTTTTCTCGAATTTCCACATTTTTAAAATAAGATTTTTCTATTATTTTTCGTTAGTATTTTTCGATAACATGAATACTCAGTACTGAGTAATAATATAATTTTTATAATATAAAATGTCTTTAAATTTCTTGTATCTTCGAAAACAACTTTATAATATCGAACAATTATAACTTATAAGTGTATCTGTGCAATATTTTTTCAATTACTTTAATCACATAATCACGCAATCTGTGTAAACTGTATATGCTTTTTCCCCCTCCACAATTAGTATTCTTTTGGTCTTGTCATTTTCAATATAGTCATTAGTGTCATTACATTATACTGATTCGATATCATATAAAAAACAAACAATGAATGCTGTTCGATTGACAGTTTATAATGTACAGGGTGTTTGCGAAATACACCGACAAAAAGAAACTGAAAATTGGTCTGGGTGAGTAGATGTCATTAAAAAAAAAGTTTTAATAAAAGTGTTTTAGTTTTCGAAATAAAATTGATTGAAAATTTGGTGAAAATAGCATGTACGCTACTGAGTTAATAGTAATTAAAAAGATAATGTGGTCACTAAGAAAAATGTACCGTTTTAAGTGGATTGTAAAAATTAAAAAAAACGTAATCTTCATTGCTTAGTAACTCTAAAAATTCCGTCAAATTCTTTTAAAATGGCAGCTTTTTCTAATGCCGAAATGACCGATGATTTACGGAAGAGCATTTGGAAATGCTCATGGAGCGCAGCGTCTCTACCAGGAGAAATTTCCAGGCCGAAGATTGCCTCATCACACAACATTTAGTGCCATTGTTCAACGTCTCCGGGGAAACGGAAAATTTCAGCCAAGTACGACGGATCGTGGTCGTGAAAGAACCGAACATGTTATAGACGTGGAACCAGAAATACTAGAAATTGTGAAAGACCTGCCTCGTCGAGTGCGGTTCTGCGAGTGGTTGCTGCAAAAAAATAGGGAGCAACCAGACTTTGTACAGAAGCTTTTAACCACCGACGAGGCCACTTCCACAAAAGAAGGACTTTTTAATTTTCGTAATATTCATATTTGGTCTAATGAAAATCCGTATGCCACACGGGAAACGCATTTTCGAGACAGATTTTCAGTAAATGTCTGTGCAGGCATGGTTGACTACAATTTGATAGCTCAATACGTTCCGTTCCCTCGCTTGACGGCGCTTGCGTCTTTAGATTTTTTAAACAACGATTTAGGACCATTTTTGGAAAATGTACCCTTAAATCTTCGTAGGAATGGTACCTTCATGATGGGGCCCCTGCACATTATGCCCTAAAAGTGCGGTTTGACCGAAACTTTCCAAACAAATGGATTGGGAGGAATGGACCTGTATTGTGGCCACCTCGTTCTCCCGATCTCAATCCCTGAGATTTTTTTATGGGGTTACATGACGCAGGTAGTTTATCAAAGTCCAGTGAATACGGTGCAAGAGTTGGGAAATCGCATTTAAAATATTGCTGCCCAGATTAGAAATAATCCAGATATGGTTAGAAGAACGCAGCAGTTGTTAATTCGGCGAGCAGAAGCATATGTGCAAAATAGAGGGCGTCATTTAGAAAACTTATTGTAGTAGTTTATTTAACGTTGTGTTAATTTTATTCTTTATTCTTATTTTGATTAGCAAAGTTTAATTGGTTATCGTCGTTAAAAAGTTTCATTCTCATTAGTAGTTTCTTTTTGTTAACTATGCTCATTCATTAATAAATCTGTACATAACTAGAGAAAATGACAACATCCTGAAAAAGAACACGGCAGAATTCCAATGGAACCAAGATCGGTGGACCACTGTCCAGAACCGCGTTCTTATAAGAACTGAAAAAACCACAGCGGAACGCGAAAAGTGGGGAAGAAGACCCGCGACCCCGGACAGTGGTTCCCCGGCCCTCGTTGTAATAGGACCTCGACGCAAGAAAAATTAAGTAAAAATGACTAACTACTACCATTTAAAATAATCCTTTACTTCAAAATGTTTAAACATCCAGTTAAAATTGTTTCAAATTATGAAAAAATACTTTTGACTTTTTACTTGAGATTTTTCAAATTTCACCTTTCGTTGTTAGTTTTTAGTAGCTATATTTTTACAAAACGTGAATTAATTGAATCTGATAGCACCTCTTACAATGGCGCGAATAAAGCTTGGATAAAGGGTAAATTTACTTTGCAACTTTTGATAATACAACAGGAGTTGTTTTCATTCTTTATGCTGTCGGGAAGCCCTCCAATTTTTTTGTCGATGCATTTCGCAAACACCCTGTAAAAGATTAGGTGAACAGAAATTATCAGAGCTGGCAGAAGTTATACCTACTTAAGATCATAAACTTCCAGATGTAATGCAGGATGGCAAATGTCGCAGTTAGTCTAGGCTTGACAAATAGGTGGGTACTAACCGATAAAACCGATAAAATATTGTTTGGTTTTTTTGGTTAAATAGATTTCAACAAAAATTACCTCCTACCGTTTCGTTTTTTAAATAGAATTTTCTAAAATACACAATCAGAAGCAAATATTTAGTGTACATCCAGAATTGACAAAATATGTGTCCGAGCAATTGATTGCAATAACTGCAGAACCAAAAAAACTGAAAAAATTATCAGTTCCAAAATAGTTGCATAATATTCAAGTGGTTTTGAGGTTAGAAAATCTTTTTCCGTTGTTGGACGAAAAGGTGGAGTTCAAATATCGGCGCTTGTGGGTGATTTGAAAAGAGTAGTCGTGACATTTTAGTACTAGGTGATGATAATTATGGTAACAGGGTTATTTTCCCTGTGTTCAGACGCACTGTAATGAGTTCTAAAATTACGGAGGGTTATTGGGGTTGCGGGTAGTCATGGTACATGGGGTGTGTTCTCTTTTACTCTAGGCGCTCATAGTGGATGGGAGCCCCCGAGGCGGGTACACATGCCTAGACATAGGGGCCGAAACTGGATGCAGGCCTCTTGTTGTACGGTACGGCGACCCAAATCCTACAGGAAAAGCCGATTTGATAACAGAAGATTCATAATGATGATGCATTAAATCACTCCAAGTTGCCGATAACAGGCGATAACGTGGCCTCCACAAGAACGGAAAGTGACTAGGTCAGTGGAACTTCTATGCCATCGAGCTAGCAGCTAGGTGGAAGGTCAGGTGGGGAAACACGACAATGCGCTACTGCTACCAGCTGAAGATCGTTGACTTGGAGATGCATTTTGCACTATTTTGCAAGGGCCCGGCGGCAGGAAGTTGAGTATCGCGATCACACTAGGAAGTATTCGAATCGACCGAAACACTGAACTGGATTAGAATGAATTTTAGGTCCAATTATGTCTCTTTTAGAGGGGTTTTCGACCGTGTGAACAGCATGGAAACTGCGAAAACGGCAAGAAGAGTTAATAAAAGTGCATTTCCCCTAATTAATTGCCCTTTGACCGCCCAGGTGTTTCGCAGTTGTAATCCGGGTCTTCAATGAATTCAAGGAAATCTTAGACAAAGTGTTCTCCACATTAGGGCATAGACTGCGTTTCGGCGATTATTCCTGGAAAGTAGTATGACTATGTGTGCCTTGATGCTTACGTTAATCGACGCTAACTCAGAAATTCAAACTTTTGGTCCCTACGATAATGTAGACTTGTTATGGAAGGGCCATCATGGGCCAGAATAGGGAAATTTTAAGGGCTGAATTTCCGATTCACCACACCTAAAAAACTTTATTATTTTAATCATTAAAGAAGTTCCAATACTCTTTATCCAAAGGCGACTTTAATAAGATAACAACAGTTATTGATGTCCTACACATTACTAAAGTAAATCCCTGTTTTACCTAAAGAATTAATATTTATATGCTATACACTCATTTTATTTACTATGTTTTGTTCGAATCAGGTCGAAATTCAGCTTCTTTCTGTAAAATGAAATTCCATATATAAAAATAAGTGTTTGTGTAAACGCCTAGCTTCTGCCTCGAGCAAGCATTTATTTCAGTGGGACTATCTGGACTACGAACCATAATCCCTATTAAATAATGACGTCCATCATTATGACGAAACACTAAACCTGCACCTGTGTCTCCAAAACAAATCATTGAACCTAAAGATTTACAACAATTAAATGTTTTAACCACCATTGCAAATTATTACTGTTATCGGCATATCCGACGCAGATTTTGTCTTCAAACAATGAGTGATTGTAATATTGATGTTCCACTTTTTCGTCGCATAATCCTTGAGATTGAATTGGAATTTTAACATTTTTGAGGTAATCAGGAAATTCCGTTTTATCAATGTCATAACCCCATCCCGTTGACTACGAAACAATTCGATAGCAAACTGCTTGAAAACATTTTTACTTACATATAGATAATTAAGTTTGGAGACGTATCCAATGATGGGACGTTTATCTAAACACACTGGTCCAATTCTCTGACTTAATTTGAATGGGTTGCTTGCTACTAGAACAGCAATATCTCCATCGTAACTAATAGTCTTATTATCAATTGATCTGGGGGTGAAAATGGCCTCCACCTGAAACAAAATAACTGTAGTTACAGTGACTTGATTTTGTACTGCATAATATAATACTCCGGAAATTTGAATGTATCCAGAATCTCGTGAATCGTTAAAATGTCGATAATAATTTCCAGCTGTTATTAAGAAGTTCTCTCTCGATTTTAAATTACGTGAGGAATCGCTTACGCAATGAGCAGCTAAAAGTGTACTGTCTTACAAAGTAAGTTGAAGCAAAGGGGAACAAATATTTACCAGTCAAAATAACTTTTTCATTAACCAAAGTTCCGCTACAAATTAAATCTTTAGTAGTGCTACTGTAAATAGCAATATGCCACCGAAACAATTTTTGTTCTTTGTCTTCATCTACCACTCCACATGCTAAAACAATTTTAAATAAGTTTGCATTCTTAAAGTCTTGACTTAATAACTACTGACAACTGAAATAAAAATTTATATTTTGATTATTATTCCAACCTGGAAAACATGCCGGTGTTTTTTGGTCCCATTTTCCATCTAGACAAACATGGAGTGGATTCCTACTTAATGCAAAATCTTCATAGAAAGGTGCACATTCAAAATCCGCCAAAGTTCCATCAGTTGCATTTACGCAATCTTTAGTATATCCGTTAGAAAGAAAACTGCTTTGTTGGTAGGAGCAACTCACTTTCATGGTTTTAGTACTATATATAGGAGGACAAGTCTCTAAATTAAATGTACATTAGATAAAAGCCGTTAATTTGAGTTTTCATTACTTAAACATTTTGCCAAGGTAGTGTTCCAGATACCATCTTCACAGGTAACATGACTGGGACCCTTTAAAATATACTGATCTTGGCAGTTTACTATTAACTCTGTCCCTGATTCTACAAACTGTCCAGTTACGAAACGACGTCTTTTAGCAAAATCGTGAACTGTCCATTGTCCAAATTTGGGATGTTGTGGTAAGATACAACCATTTCTAAAAGAAATTTACTAGTTAATATTTTTCTTTTTCATTTTTAACTTACTTGGAAGCCAAAATTGTATCTTTGATAGCCTCATCAGTCGTTGGTTCCTTACTTTCCACTGGTGTTGCGCTAAAATTTTCTTTTTTTTTTAAGTCATTACGATTTGACGTAACTTACCTATCTACTAAAGCAATTTTTTTTGCGATAAAGTTTCTGTGGTCAGAAATTTTAGTGTAAAGTCCGTACTGTTGACTATCACAACTGTCTGTGTGTGCTGTAGGGGACGGGGGTCCCACACTAACAATTCCTGTGATGTAATACCTATCGTCACGTTTCAGTACCAAACCACCTCCACTGTCACCTTTACAAATCGAGGTACCTACAAGACCTAGCAGTTGAAATAAAAAGAAAAAACAAAACTTACTTGTATTAGAATATCCAGCACATATTTTGTCACTTGTCAAGTATTTTCTGAAATAATTAGGTAATATTTCTTCGCATAATGCGTTGTTAACTAGGGGCACGCTTAATTCCCGTAAAACATCTGAAACACTTCCATCTTCCTGTGTGTAACCCCAACCACATACCTAAATTTAAAAATTTATTTTTTAAGAAACTAAATTACAGCGCTTTTACGTATCCGTGGCGTGAAAATTTGATGGCTTTGTCCAACAAAAGCGAATTCCACTCGATACAAACTGGTAAAACTCTTTCAGTTAAGGTAAATTTTTGTTTAGTAATAATAACCGCAATGTCACTTTTATAATTTCGGATTCGGCCTTGATAATCTTCGGGAATGAATATGTTTTCCACCTAGAAAGTACGAAGTTACTTTTTTATAGTAAGTTTATCTGGACATACTAAAGAAAATTGGGCTTCTTTAAAATCCCGTACGTCATCAATCTGGCGGTAGTACTTCCCGACCGCAACTATATAAGTACTTTTGGTATGAAAATCGTCAGCGGTTATAACACAGTGGGCAGCTGTAATAGGCATCATTATGAAAAAAATACACTAAAGTTAACATATACCAGTTAGAACGACGTTTTGATTTAACAGAGAACCACCACAAATAAGTTGTTTTACTTCAGTTCCGTTATATATAGCAACCTGCCAGGGATAATCTCCTTCACGTACCGCCTGTGCATTAACTATAAAGGTGGGCTCACTATAACGTTTTCTGCCACAAACTGAAACTACTATTTCTGCAAGTGTATTTTAATACCACGCACACCCACCTGGAACGCATTCTGGGATTATGTTGTTCCATTTACCTCCAACACACATGGTCGGTGGACGAGTGTCCAAGTCTCTAACTTCGTAATAGTCTGTACACTTAAAGTCGGCAGACGAATTTTCTGTAGCTTTCGAACAGTTAATATTTTTTCCATTTTTATCTGAACAAGTAACGTTTAGGAGGTCTGAATTGGCCAATGGAGGGCAGGTTTCTGGAATAATAGTTAAAAAATTACTCTAAGTAGTTGCTTTTTTAATCTTCGTAATTACGTAAACATTTAGGAATTGCGAGTATCCATTTTCCTTCTATACAGGTACTAAATCCGGGATCGCCGAATGTGTAATTTTCGTTGCAAAGTACTTGCAAAATTGAACCTGAAGGTATTTCATCTCCAGGCAGCAATTCAGTATTTGAGTTATAGACCGACCAGTTTCCAAAGTCCGGATGTGGTGGAAGAATGCATCTAAATTTTTGTTGTTTGAAATTTGTATTCTATTATACTCACCCAGTTTTTGTTCCTCGAAGTACCCTAGCTTGAACAGTGTAGACTGTTTTAAGTGAACTTGCAGACACAACTTGAACACACAATAGTTTTCATTTAACTAAATTAATTCAATTTTCGATACTTTAAAAATAATGAAGACATTAATGTTGTAGGTGCATACAGAGTATATAAAAAGTGAAAGACACCACGATATAACCATAATTGTACCCTTTTAAAATGAATATGGATTTTTCATTTCATTTAATAAGTATTATCAAGTTAATAACAACAAAGCAATCTAATAAGACATTCCAATTTTTTTAGACAACACTCCTTATATATAAGTAAGTATATGAAATTGAATGTAGGGTTTCGTATCCTTTATCCTGAAATAAACGTCATCTTCAAGTTCTTAAACCGTCTCCTTACTTAATTTGTGTTTCGTCATTGCCGATCGCTGCAGTAGACCAGCACCGAATTTTCTACCTTTCGTTTTCTTTATGCTTATAGTGTGTTTGAGCGTTCGACCGTTAAAAGGCTGTGTAATTTTTTTTTCTACCTTGATTTTATAACAGAGCTATTAAAGGGCCCAAATGACGTCAAATCGGTTTGTTAATAGCGGAAAAGGGTTCTGAAATAGATGCCATGACGAAAAATGTCAGTGGCAAATGTCAAATTAAATAAAGTTAACAAGATTTGTTTGGCAATAAATTTTGTATACCAAGTATTCTGTGCAATTTCCCGTATTTCGGGAGGCGTAAGGACAACACTAACTTCTTCACAAGACATTTAAACCAATTTTAACTTACACAAACTCAAATTGTTGTGAAAATTCGAACTTCAATTGTTTTGTGGTTCGTGTCATACCAATCCATCACCAACCACGACAAAATTCCCCAGATTTAAAAAACTCAAATTTCAAATAAATATTGCGAAAAACCATGCGCGGTAGAAAAAATAGTATAAATAACTCGTTGATAAGGCCATTGTGGCACTCATTCTTTATATAACTCGCGCCTTCGCCTCTCGTTCTATTGACTTGGATTTGTGCGTTATATTTGCCTTATGAAACTCGTTCTTTAGTACTTATACTATTTCAATGCAGTATGTTTGTAATATTCCTTATTGTACAGAAAATATTACAAACACGTTGGACGTGTATTATTTTTTGCTAAAACTATACGACGCACGTCAATTTATCACAAAAATATGTTGTGTATAAGAGAATAAAAAATTCCAACCACAAAATAAAAAGGAACGTAGAAGTAGAATCTATATACTAGTTCAATATGATAAAAAATATTTATTTGGGCTGATACACCAAACTTGATCAAAAATGACGCTATACAAGTTAGGGAAAAAGTCGTTTTTCTTGTCGCTTTAAAAGAAAAAAATATATATAATTATTTTTTGAACGATAGAAAACCAATTTTCGATGCAATTTGGAAACTATTCATTAAGAACATAAAAAAATATGGAAAGAAAATACGGCAAAATTTAAACAAATTTAAAGGTAAATTTATAAAGTGAACACACAAAGAGCTCAAATAATTATCCCACGGAGAAAAGTAAAAAAAAATCGTAAGCGGTTTCTTTCAATAAACACCATAAACGAGTGAAATTGTTAGCAAACACGTACCAGATGAAATTAAAAATATACATGGAATTATTTTTTTCACAAGCCACATTATTGAGCTACAACAAAATCAAAAACACATTACAAACTAAAAAACTAATTCTAAAATTCGTTCAATGTACATAAGTAATCTTACAAATTGATAGTTTTTGACCTTCTTTTTGCCAATTCAGCAAAATGTTAACGTCAAGGAAATCTTTGCTAATTGACTAATATGTGATATTTATATGAACATGCATGATTACAACTTTTTATAAAAAACGGATAATTCTGAAATAGTTTATATTATATTATCATTACACGATTTGTATTAAGACAGTGATTTTAAAGTTGTAGTCGGTGGTTATATGATAAATCATTCATCATATTTTCTACATACAGGATTTATTTGGTAAAATTTTGAGGTGAAAATTTTTTTGGAGGGATAAGCAAATACATTCTGATCAAAAATTTACAATGTTTATGATAACCTTAACACATCTGCAAAATTTCAAAGCATTCGGTTTCACAGATCCAAAATTAAATTACAAAATGTTGTTTTATAATTTTGATTTTTTTCCAAAAAACTGGACGGGTTTCGGGTAAAAACTGAACACGGAGTCATAAACTACATATGTAAGACTATTTTATTTTGTACAATTTGAAACCCATTTACTATGTACGATTTTGAAGTGACGTCATCACATTATTGGCGGGGATGATGAGACAACGTTTGGTTAGCGTTTTACCATGTACATGATATTCATAATATAAGTACATCTAAAATTTGACAACAGTTGGTCCAGTAGTTTCGAAGAATGTTCAAAATCAGAATCATACTATAAATTATAAATTTGACGATTTTTGATACCATAGTTTCAAAATTAAGACACCGTGCAGGCGAGTTTATAGACCCTGATACAGAACTAACTAGTTGGCAACAAATTAAAGATGCTTTGACTTTAACTTTTTCGGATCAGCGAAGTATTGACTGTTTTATCCAGGACCTGATTAACATAAAACGTTTCAAAACTGAAATTACAATGCAATTTGAATGAGAATAAAAAACGCACATAGTTTGTCGTTTGCTAAATGGAATGCTTCCAATATTAATGTTCAAGAAAAACAGATCAAAATCAATCATTATCAAGAATTTGCCTTAAAAACTTTTACCAAAGAGTTGCCATATTGCATGCAACTTCCTGTGCGTTTGAAAAACCCTAAGAAGATAATTTTATTTACTTTAACCACAACCTCGAAGCAGTCAAAACTATCAAAATCAAAATCAACATCTTAAACCATCTCCACTAAATTTTGCTCTTCCAACGTATGCAAGTTTTAATTGACTCCAAATAGCGTTTCGAAATTCCGTATATTCCCCTATATTGAGTATACAGCTATATTAAGATACATGTTAACAATTTAAATTTAATTATTGGAGGAGTCTACATTCTACATCTGACATTAACATTTATCGGAACCACGTGGACGATTTAGAATCTATATTTAATCAATTACCTGATTTTCCATACGTTATAGCCGGTGATTTCAATCTTTCACATCTTATCTGGAGTAATAACAGGTGTGCCATACTGAATTAATGGGTTCTTCGAGTAATTATTTTGATATAATTAATAACACTTATTCATTGTTAAACCTAAATCAAGTAAACAATATTCCAAATTAGCGAAACGTTTTTTTAGATCTCTTTTTTACGAACATTCTTGATTTGCAAGTCTCATCCGCGGTAGATCCTATTTTCACTCAAAGTTATCATCGTATTCTTTATTCGTGGTCCATTTTTTATATTTCGTCTTCAAAAAAATTATCTTCACAAGACGCTGTATTTCATTTTGCTAAGAGTGATTTTCAACAGTTGAATTACTTTTTAGCTTCTATTATAATTGGGTCAATTTTTTTTTTTTGGTCTTGAATTAGGTGATATGGTTACTGCTTTTTATAATGTTGTTTTTACTCTGGAATGGACACATATGTTCCCAAGAAAAGGGTATATTATTTTTCATTAACTTATCCCCGATGGTTTAATAAAGTGTTAAAAGATTTGTGTCGCCTTAAAAAAACCCAAAAGTCAAAGAACTTAACGAAAATCTAAGTATATAATTCTTACCTTTCTAAAGTAAGCGACAGCATTACAAATAATCCAGTTTTTCTGGAAATTCATTAATGATAGGAAAATAAAGTAATGGCATAGGTTATGAAATGCAATATTTACAAGAGTTTGCTAAAACTGGCATCGAAATTTCTAACTTGTTTGCGGAATTTTTTTCCTCGATTTATGTAGAAGATGCTAACAATGATTTTGACCAAGAATTTGAATGTATAAATGAAGTAGCTGATTCTGGACTGAAAGTTGATATATCAGAAGTTTTTGAAATTTTCGCTCGTCTTAAATATTCTTTCCATCCTGGAGCTAATGGCATTCCAAACGTTTTGCTAAAGAACTGCATTTACACAATTACAGTGCCCTTGTGTGAACTTTTCAAGGTGTTATCGTCTCAGGGTAAATTTCCTAAGGTCTAGAAAAATAGTTACGTTACACCTATTTTTAAATCTGGGGATCGTAATAAAATCGACTGTTACAGAGGTGTTTGCAATCAGTCAGCCATTCCTAAAATATTTGATTCCATTGTTGCCAAACAATTGGAATAGATTTCTTCTCCTATCATTTCTATGAAACAACATGGTTTCTGCAAACAAAGACCTACTTGCACTAATGTAATGGAATATTATTGTTACTTAAATGAAGCTTTTGATAAAAAACTACAAGTGGATTCGGTGTATTATACTGATTTTTCGAGAGCCTTTGATAAGGTAAACCATAGATTATTATTCTGTAAATTAGGGTTCAACAATAATACAGTTAAATGGTTAACGTCATTTCTGTCAGAGAGATCACAGCAAGTTAGGATTGGTAGTTATATGTCGTCTCCTTATTTTGTTCCATCAGGCGTACCTCAAGGATCGCATTGTGGACCAATTTTGTTTTCTATTCATTAACTATTTAATGCGTGGCTTTCATTACTTCAATTTTCTGTTGTATGTGAACGATTTGAAGGTATTTAAAACTGTTAGCTCAATGAAAGATGAAGTTGAGCTTTGACTATTATTTGGGTGATACCACCTTATCTCGTGTTGAGGAAATCAAAGATTTAGGTGTGGTTTTCGATTCTAGATTAACATTTAAGAATCATTATTATTTTATTATTAATAAATCAGTACGGACTCTTGGGCTTATTTGGTGGCATTGTCAAATTTTTCGATTTCGACCCTTAAAATTCTATACTTTTGTCTTGTTCGATCTCACCTAGTTTATTGTTCTTCCATATGGTGTTCTAATTATAAAACAGATTGTGATTTATTGGAAAGAGTACAGAAAAGATTCCTTCGCTTATTAAAGTTTAAATTTGATTGAACTCGTATACAGGGTAATTACACCTGTGTAATTTTCATATTAATTCACTCGAAACTCATCGCATAATTTCCGATATTTCATTTCTTCGTGGACTTATTAATGGTGAGATAGATAATGCCTACTTACTACAAAAATTATCTTTCATTGTGTTGTCTGCTGATAACAGACTGACTCAGACAACTCATTTTCAGAATTCCTTTGTCGATAATAAAAAGATTGCAAAACGATCCAATTAGACGAATGATGAACACAGCCAACAGACGACCAGAGGTTCAACATATTTAATATCAATAATCAATTACTTTTAAGAATTTAATAAGGAATATAAGCTTAATTAATAATTTTTAATTTTATTTGCACGTATTTATTATTTATTATATCACTTGAAACACCTCCAGGTATAAACATTAACAATCAGCCGTCTACAACTAGAGAAAAATCCTTATCTCCAGTATCATTCGAACCACAATTTGCCGTCACGTCAACCTCAGCACCAAAAATAAAAATTTTACAAAACATACCACTTATTCCATCCGCTAATAGTAATTTAGATCAAGATAATAACAGTATAACTACCGTTCACTTGGACGAAACTGTGGATGATGATGGTATTCCGGTTTTAGACGAAATAATTAACAACAAACCCCAACAAATCTTAAATCCATACAAAAATCTAGAAGTGATGACTTTGAAAACTACAAAATATTAATTTCTCGAGTTCCAAAAGCGAATCAAAAAGCAATAGTTAAATTATTAACAGAATATATTACCGAAAATTCAAAATTTTATCTCTATTTTTATGATGACAAAATGTATAAAGATTTTAATTAGTGTTAATACAGTTCCAATACGAGCGAAAAAACAACCACTGGAGCATTAATGAAACTTTGGAACAATTGAAAAGAAATTATTATTGGCCTTCTTTGAATGAAAACAGAAGTCAACCAATACATTAACAACTGTCAAATTTGCCAAACAACGAAATATTCTCGGATAAAACCCTACGTACCCCTTGTCCTAACAGAATCTATAGGTAAGCCATTCCAACTTATTCATGTGGATATACTCATTTAAATTTGACAACAAACATTTTCTTACAAACACTAGGAGGACGGCGTTTAACGCATACCTCTACGGACGACTTGCGGTCATATGACCGCTGTACTTTTTTTTCAGTAAAACATGGCCAATAGCGTAAATACTTTATTAAAATTAATTAAATAACTAAATTACAATAACATAAACATTAGAAAGTGGAAATCATAAATGAAACTTATGATTCAAAGCAATTTGCATACAAGAAATTTGTAACTTTATTACATTTTCCGCATAAATTATTTTTGCATCTATCACGCGATCGGTTTTCTTTTTTGCGGCATTTAGTTGCATGGCATTGTTTTCTTTTTCCTGTAAACTTTTTCTTCAGCAGTAGGTCATTTTTATTAGTTTAACCTGACCTGACCCAACATCACTTGCTGCGAGTTCTTTTCACAATTTCAAGAGGAATTTTCGTCTGCTTATTTTCTTCTTTATCACTTCCTGATATAAAATCCATGCATTTATTACAGCCAAGTCTAAAATGTTATAAATAACTTGCCCTTGATCCCGCTTTGGAGAAATTTTTTCTAGCCACTTGGTCCACCGTATCGTCGCCATATTTTGTAAAGTTGCAATAAGCTATGGTGTCCAGAAGCTTTTTTCGATTATCTTCAATTATTATATCAGGATGCATAGTGCTCAAAAGCAGAACATTTTTGTTTTTTTCCCTTGATATACAGTCGGCGTGGTAGTATTATACTCCAGAACTTTTATGTCATATACATTACCACTATCCGTCTTGAGGCGAATTATTCAATTCTGCGAGTAATTCCAAATCTGTCATATATTTTCTCACCGAATGTTGCGACATTTTCAAAGCAAAAATCACCAAGAAAAAGCACACCCGTCACGAAAAGAACAAGATCCAAACCAAAGAATGTAATCAAGTGCAATGCCAAAATAAATTAAGTTACCACGAAAATTACCAACCATCTTAGTGGAAATTATGTCCAGATGTTGACAGTATGGGGTATCAGGTAATTTTAATTTTTTCGAGAATTTTTGAAGCGATTTTATTGCAGCGGTCAAATGACCGCACTCCGTCTTTCTAGGAAGACATATCCTCACACAGGTGACGAACAGTCCTATTGAATTGAGATTTTTTCCACATACAATCAAGAACAAATAAATAATTGTCACGAAGGATAATAACGAAATATTTTATAAAACCAGAGATATTAAGAATAAAAAATTCAAAAGCGGTCAAATGACCGCCTCCGTCGTTCTAGTGTTAAAAGAAGGATTTTCAAAACTGGGTCAATTTTTTCCCATTGCAAGAAAAACAGTTGTAGAAATTTGTGACCGTTTAACACTTTACTTTTCAATTTACGGCTTACCTGAAAAAATAATTATACTACCGTTGTCCATAATTATTATTATTATTTAATAATGAGGCGGTTAAGGAATTTCTGAAAATCCATAAAATAAACATTCATTTTGAACACCCCTCCATAATGAATCAAATTCGATCGTAGAACGATTTCACTCAACTCTTATTGAACATTTACCTACGTATTTTGAGGCAAACAAACCACTTAGAACTTCAATAGGTTATAACAATACAATCCATTCGAGTACAAATTTTACACCGATCGAGTTGACTTTTGGTCATACAAATATTCGGGCTGCTTATCATCTAGTTGAAATCAATTTCTATACCGAATACGTGACAAACCACCGAGATAAGGCCAAGCATTTATACCAAAATATTAAAGACAGGTTGCAAACAAAAAATCAAAACGTTCAATTTAAATTATGTCAGACAGTATATAAAATTAATGAAAAAAGAAATAAAAAGGAAAATAAATTTAAAGGTCCTTATAAAATAATAGAAATTTTGGAACACAATATAGTGAAAATTCAGAACGAATCAACCGACAAATCTGAAATTATACACATTAAGGAACTTAAAATTCCTCTTCTTTCAGATTAATCATCTGCCATGGGCTCGAACCACTCAAATTCCATAACCTAAATGAAAACCCCGGATTGCTACCCCTTAAAAATGGCAATGCCCAAAATATTATTGATTCTGGATATTTATTCAAATTTTTGATATAACGATAATCGTGGAAGAGTTTTCAAAGCTACACCAACAATTTAAAATTTTAAAGGCCAAATCGAAAAACTTAATTTACATAAAAATGAAAGTTATAATTTTATTTATATCACTTAATAAAATTACTCGAAGATAAAATAATGCTTCAAATTACTCAACTTAATCTACATTTAATAAACGGACGAAACGGAGCTTGATCTATGGATTAGGATCCAATATAAAATCCATAACCGGAAATATACGATAAGAATAAATTGACAAAAATAATTACAATTATTACCACCTTTACCCACTACCCACAATCAAAAATGGCCAATTCCGTGTGATCATACCCCAATCAAAGTACCTACTCCTAAATGAGCAGAGGTAGGTACATCTTTTCGAACTAAGGGTGCTAGGAAATAAAAGTAGAAGACTACCTATGCCATGAACTCAACCCATGGAAATAGACAACAACGTTCCATACTAGATTCGCTTGCTACGGTATTCCCAGGACATCGAGGGTTGCGGATATGTTTATATAAAAACAAGTCGTACCGAGATTAGAAAGTTGGAAATGTTCAATGTGGTCATAAGACAAGGTTCTAATATTGGGTACTTATACGATAGAAGGACCCTTCAAGATAAAAAGTTGTCAAAACAGTTCTTCCGAGTTCAAAGTAATTGCTCTGCCTGATTTGGACTTCACTATCAGGTTCTTTAACGAAACTTCAAATTTTCCGTGTTGTACATAGCAATTACACTGAGTTTCTGCCTTTTTTTTGGAAAGATTTGTGGTGAGAAGATGTTCTACCCACAGGAGGAATGACAAATCTGACGATAGTCCACAGGGTAATCCCAGAGAGGATATCATCATCGAAGCTCCTTGAAGTCGCCTCTACGTTGGGAAGGAGTTAGGTCATCCCCCCAATGTACGAGGACGAAATAGCGGGCGGACTCAGCATTTCTTAACAATATAAATATGTATTTTCTACATGGTAGCACACTCTTAGTTGCACTTGTGTAACGGTCGTAATAAAGCTTTTTAGTTTTTAAAAACCTAATCTGTGGGCCCCCGAACTTAAGTTACGTGTCCTTGCAAAAATGTTGATGTTGTCATCACAAAATTGTGCAAAATTAAAGTCACCTCGAAAATATTGGATATGTTTCATTGTACTTTAGGTGCGAGGGAAGTTCTGTCCAAACAAATTTGACCAATTTTTTGTAGGTATGTATTGAGATTAGATGGTAACTTACAATGATGATACTCACATATTAATAAGTTGGCCAGATCAGGACATTTACTGAACTGTCATTTTTGTGTGATAGTTGTGTTATTAAAACTCAAAAATGCCCAACGTAGCGTTTTTAAAGTCTGAACCAGGTAATAGGGTCACATAAAACGGTATATTTTGGTGAAAGTAATTTTCCGTTTTAGCTGATAACGAATTCTTTGAAGAATATAATAAGTTCAACACACCATGCAACAGCTGGTTTATTCTAGTTTTCATATTGAGATGTTTTGCCGCTTTCTGCTTGGGCTATCAAGTAAGTATGCATATGCATATATGGGATTCAGTTTCAAGTATTGAATGTTTTCTTCTTGTCAGGTAGGTGTCTTCGAATCTCGCGGTGGTGTCAAAGCATATATAAGAGAATATAATTAGTACTACCCTTTACATATTTATAACATATAATGTCTCTAAAATGTCTTCTAGTTCTAGTTATGCAGAAACGGAAATGGCCAACGAGACTAATCCGGAGGTAATACACAGAAAAGAACAGAAAATACAAATTTTCTGATCAAATTTCGTACCACCATGCAAACCAGGGTACTCCATTTTATCATTTTAGGTGTTGCAAATGTCGACAGAAAAATCTCTTATTGTACGTATGCTAAAATTCAAACACTTGGGCTTTGCGCTAGGAGCAGCTTTTGGAGGAGTTTTTGCAGATATGTGAGTATCCATTCCATCATAGACACATTACATTTTTGAAGCAGATGTACATCGCACGCGTATGTTTTAAGAGGATGGACGGATCGACTTAGTCCACTGTTAAAGCGGGTCGACGATATAAACCCTCACGGCAAAGAAGATTAACAAAATTTTGTCGGGGTGCTTTGACGCGGGAATTTTAAAAGTTGATTTTTATCACAGGCTAAATGAATTGGTCGCATAGTCAATTGATTGCAAAGTAAAATTCATCGTAAAGTATTTTGTTTTCATAAAATTAAATTTTTTATGTTTTGATTCTTAAGTTAAGAGAAAGGGACAAGTTCTCATCAATAAAAAAACAATGGGAATAAGACATTCATGTTACTGTCATTTGTTTTTTTTTTTTTTGTTTAAACCACTTCCACTGCGCCGGATACAAAATTTCAAAGGTGTAAATTTGGCTAGCATTGTTGACAAAATAAATTCAAAGTACCAAAAATTCAGATTTATTTCAAACATCAGTCAGAATGACAATAAGAAGGCATTTATAACGATGGTTTTTAAAAATGCCATGGTTAGAACGGTGAAAATGTGTGTATGAAATCAGTGACGACAAACGTCTGTTTTATCAAATGCGATGTATGTATAAACAAAGATGAACAGTGCGATACATTTTTACTAAACACACTCTTTGTACACTTCGGTAAATCTGCGCACTAAAAATCGCTTTCTTCATTTGGTGACAGTGACGCTTCTTGTTCAAATTTTGTTAATCTTCTTTGCTTACGGGCAGAACTTGGAGGTAGCGGTACGAACTGGCTCCTGTGGTCAATTTTTCCCCTCGGCCGAAAAATGAGTATAGATATAGTCTGGCTACCGATATTTGGAGGTAACTTCACTAATCTCTAATCGTCTTAAGGGTGTTAAGAGCTTCTGCCAGCGGGATAACCGCCCACTGCAATAAACAGTCGGATACATCAAGGCTTCTTTACCTGTGAAGAATTGGTGGCGGACTCGAAAAATTTGTACACATTTACAGTTACATTATTCGCAGTAAATTCACCTTCAAATATCGGTAGCCAGGCTATATATTAACCCCAGTGGTCAAGGGAGAGTAGATTTTATGACCCCAAAGGTCAAATTATCTTCGGTTAGAGAATCAGTTGTAGATGTTTTATTTTCTGTCAAAACAAAAATGTGAAAATGCGAACGTTTTTAGTTAGTACCTACGGGTTAAATAAGAATTATAATAATAATATTCAGAACATTTTGTTCCATTGTAGCTTACATCTGTTTTGAGACGACAAACTCATTCAAATCAAACTAATTTCAACGTGACATTCTTCCGATGTATAAACATGAACAGTTCAAGTTGTTATTATTTTCATGTCTCTTAGACAGGGCGGCAGCTAGGCTTCCCCTAGAGAAATGTTTGCATCCCCTAGACCTAGATATGTTATAATTAACCAAATGTGAATTACAACATCGAAAATCAAAATAAAATGCAATGTTTTATTTAACAAACGGACGTCGAGGCAATAAAAAAGTCTGAACCATCGCATTGTGATCCAGTTATTACAATTCGTAGAAAATGGCGTTTAGTTTTGTTTCTCTGTTTCATTCTCACGTGTACAGTATCGACAACCGTTATCGCTCTTTGTCTTACTAGATACGAGTGCTTCTAAATGCTTAATTAAATTGTTTCGCTATTTTATTGATTAAAAACTTGTAACGCGTAACCTAAAACAAAAACGTATCTTTCTCTGCTTACCGACGTGTTATTGTGCCGCCACAGTACTCCCCCCCCCCCCCCCCCAGTGATACAGCGCGCGGTCGTGCTGGGGTGCGAAGGAGATAGATGCTGGCGTCGCCCCTGCTACTCTTACGTTCGTTGTTCGAACCCTGGCGGTGCTGCGGACCCGAACACAGCGGGCACAGGGCGGTATCAGGAGGATGTTGCGTGCGTGCGTGCGTGCTGCCTGTCGGTGGTCACCAATGTAGGTAAGCAGAGAAAAATGTTGTGTCTCGGTGGGAGTCGAACCCACGTCTCTATGCTCTCCGGGCAAGTATCTTAACCACTGGACCACGAGGCCACTTATCTTTCTCTGCTTACCGACGTGTTATTGTGCCGCCACAATGGTAATTCCAATTTCTCATTTTGGGTTCTGATAAATCTTTTTATTAGTTAAATGGGTATAGAAAAAAGTTGGTACCTTACATAAATAGCAATCATTTGGCACAATATCATGAAAATATTAAAGTATTGAAATATAATATGTAAATAGAGATTGCAGTGCCGTAAACAGGAGGGAAAGTTATCATCGTATAATTAGACTAATATCATATCTCTTTGTTCAGATTTGGACGACGAATTACAAGTTTCTTAACATCTGTTGTCTGGATCATTGGTGCAGGTGTCTTCCCAACATTAAATAATATTACCCTTATAGAAATCTGGTACGTTCTCCTGACCACGTGTGCCAGTGTTGTCAATGTAACCACCTTTGTGAATAGTCAGTTTTCAATAAATTTACAAATTTTTACTAATTTCAGTACTTAGTTGCAGAAATTATTAACTATCGCTACAGAATATTGATTATATATTCAATAAATACCTACGTAGCGGGAGATTTCCTTATAAAATATATTACCACTACTTTAGAAAGTTGGAAATATGCCCTTACCTTTGTAACGTCTACTTTAACGTGCACGGTTTTTGCAACCTGGTATTCTCCAGAATCACCACGATGGTTACTGAATAAAAATCGACGACAAGAAGCGTACGATCAGTTGAGTGACATATCACAAAGGATATATGACATTCAAGTAGTCGAAGCTCCCAACAATGTTACAAAAATGAAAATACTGGTGGATATGATGAAATATTTATTTAAAAGGAGGTTGAAACAACACTTAGTATGTAATGTGCTACTCAGTGTTTCCAGCCTAAATTATAGTTTCTCAAGTATGCATTTTTACAAACTTGTATTTCACTTCATCACATCTAAAACAGTTTCAATTCTTAACTCGTCGCCTCTTATTTTCTCATCTGACACATCATAGTATACTAAAAATGTTATTTTCATATCTACTGACAAAGCAGCAAAGCATATAATATATACGTTTTCAGTGAAATACGAGTTTTAAATATTTGAGTTCGCATTAAAATTTTAGATGTACATCCCTAGCACATGGTTCTACCTATTGCTTTATACAGTACATCTTTTTAAAAAGTGGGCATAGAGATTCACATGTTAAATTTTATACCTCATGTTAACTTTGGTCTGAGTGAAAACCTAAAGATGATTTTTGGGATGGAAATAGCCTTATGTTTCCACTTGCAATAAATTGCTAGTTTGTGTTTAAAAAATAAACAGTATTTTGGTTAAAAGGTTTATGTATATTATCGAAGGTTCTAACTTATCACTTTTGACAGCATATTTTTACATTATTCTTTAAACACCTTTATGCAGTTTTTAGGAAAGAAGCGGAATGATGACAACAAAAGGTAATTTATATTACACTGAGTTTCATAAAAAATGTACCACCCTGAAAGACCAGACTTGGAACGATGAAATTTTGTAAAAATAAGTAAGGCATGAAGTCAAATAATTGATTAAATTTTCAACAAATACGTACTCTAAATATTTACAAAAAAAAACAATGTGTTGCATCTCCGCGTTCTTTGATGCGCTCAAAACACCCCAGGTATGCTGCAAATCAGGTGATCGATTGCATCTTGAGGAAATGTGTCCCGGGCTACCTGTAACTGTAGACGTAATTCATCTAACGTGTTGGAAAGATAAGGTAAATGACGCAGTCTTCTATCCATCATGTCCATGACATTTTCGATTGGATTTAAATCAGGTGACCGTGGCGGACATACCAAAGAATTGACATTATTTTCGGTCAGGACGTCTAGAGCCCTGTTAGCGATATGATGGTGGGCATTGTCTCGTTGGAAAATTACTTCTGAAAAAGAACGAACTCTAGCACCTCACCGGCGTAACAACGAGTTTGCCTGGAATGTGCCTGGAATAAAACTAGCTGAACAGCATTTCATCTTAGAAGAGAATCTTTCCGTTCTTGTGTTGCTCTAGGACGGCCATTACCTACTACCTCGACGGCGAGCTTCTAGGGTTTCTTCCTGCCAATCTCTATAAAACCCTCACTGTGACATGGGGTCGGCAAATTTCAAATTTGGCTACTAATTTCACGAAAGATATACCTTTTAGTGATAAAAGACGATCAACAAGTACCTGGAGGGTTCATTTTAGCGTTGGTTAATAATAATTATTAATATGCATTATAATGCATATATTTGTTCAGTGTGGTACATTTTTTTTTAAACACAGTAGTATATATTTATAGGAGGCAAACTATACTTTTGAAATACTGTCCTAAAGCCGCTGAGCAATATCCCAGCCGTTTTGAATAGCTGCCTACAATATTAGCGACCAAAATACGCAAATAATATATACTGACTGACATAGGAAGTGCAACACCAAAAACTGATGTTAATACCAGGTTGTGGTCTTCAATAGGTAAAGGAATTAACAAAATATTGGCTCTGTATCTCTTAGGTTTTGTCATATTAACAACTTTTTTTTTGGGTTGTTTGGTTTTCAATATCTCCACAAAAGATGACCCAAATTACTTCCAGCAAAAATTTCAAATCTGAATCTCTTCTCAGACGTAAGTTGACATGGGGTAGAAAATTTAACATGTGAATTTCTATGACCACTGTCAAAAAAGATGCACTGTATATTTATTACAGTCTTTATCTTCACAGAGCAATAACATTTTAGTGGATATAAAAATAACGTTTCAATAAAATACCGGGACAATTTTTTTACTCTCAACATATCCTACTAATAATAAAGAAACAAGTCATTGCAGCGGAACTATATAACCAATGTTGCACCAAATATGTATTGATAATATTTGAATAACACGAAATTCAAAAGTGGTTGATCACTCTTAACGAAAACATTGGGCCTTTTTGCGCAGCATAAAATATTTAACTTATTTTTTTCATTTAAAACATAATTTGTTATCAGCATTATTTAGTTTTTCTTGTGAATTATTATTATTAAATTATAGGTTGATGTAACATTGGTTTCATATTGCAAATGCAGTCGCGGTATGTCATTTTAAATCTTAAAAAAGTTTTAATGGATTTAATTTTTTGTAGGTTGTAAGATTTCTCAAGAAATTCTGCGTCGTGTAAAATTATATGTTTTTGTAATTTTCATCCCTTGTTTAGGCATTTGAACAATATTTCTGTACCTTCTTTCCCATACGGTTTTCCGTTACTCAATTTTTGTGTTTTTTGTTTGTTTGTTAATCTAAATGACTTTTACTATCTCATGCCAACATCATAGTGTTGTAGAATCTATAAACAGAAATTATTAATCTTTATCAAGCTGTACAGTCATGCCCGCATAAAACCCGTACAACCTCACTTTTTCGTTGTGTCCAAATCAATACAAAATCTGTAGCATGGATACAAAATCAGATTGTCATCTGTAAGGGATTTATGTGAGCATGACTGTACATTTCCGAAATTGAATCATGAAAGATTTTGTAAGTAATATTAACCGAATTGTTTTAGAACAAAATTTGATTATGCATACGGTAAAAACAGCGTCATATGAAGACATCGCAAACATTGCCGAAGCTTTGGGGTACCGTACCATTTAAGAAATTATTATTACTTTTTTTTTCAAATTTGTAGATTTTTAACTTTTCTCCCAGTGTACGCTTTAATAGGAAAAAAATATGGACTTTGCTTCTGCTTTTTGTTTTTAACTATAACACATTTTACTGGAATTTTTGTTAATGGTAAGTTAAAAAAAGACCTCAAAACGACTTGTACACACAAAATTTGAAACTAGAAAGTAAGAACAAAAACCTATAATTTATTAATCTGTATGTTTAGATAAAGCGCATGAAGTCTTTTACGACTTTTTTGGTACAATGTTGGGAATTCTATCCCTCTGTATATGTTGGCTATATTGTCTGGAGTATTTTCCGACATTTCTACGAGCTACAGCAACTGGTGGTGGATTTTATGTATTCAACCTGTCATCAGGTCTTAGTTTCTTATTCATACCTCTCTTGGAAGTATGTAGTGTTTGAGAAAGTAAATAAAACTTAAATTCAATTTTAGGAAACTAGAGGTTTCATCTATTACCTCACTTTCTTCATAATATCCTTATTTGGTGCCGTGGTTTTCCTTTTGCCTGTCAAGCCTAATCAGGAGTTATCAAATACTAAATTGCATTTGTAACAAATTTGTTAAATAAGCTAAATTGTAAATGAAATATATGTACGTATGTTTAAAGAATCAGCTGTTTTATTTTTGATCAACAGATTGAGTTCCTAGGTTAGCCCAGAAAGAACACACTTTCTTTCTCGTATCTTACTGTGCATAACGATGATGACTTGGGGACCTTTTCTGTTGAATACGCTTTAAGTGTATATAATATTTGAAATCAGTAACAAACATAAAAATGCAATTTTCTAAAAAGCAGACTTATATAAAACTAGCTTTTCGCCCGCGCCTTCGCTCGCGTAGACAATTCGTTGTATTGAAAAGCATTATTATCAACCTTCAAATAGAAAATGTGTTGAAGTACATTAATATAATTTCCAGTAACAATCAACATAAAAAATGTTTGTTCATAAAAACTTTGTCACCCCCTTTCATCTTCTTAGGAGTGGAATTTCGAAACAATCTGAAATACGTGTTTCATTATTTGTATTGAAAAGTATTAATATTTCGTATTCACACTTTTGCTTTTGTTCCCCATAAAAATTTAAACTTACAGTAGAAATATTTTTCCCATGCAAACTTCGCCACCACTTTTCACCCCCTTATGGGTTAAATGTTGGAAAATGCTTAAACAGGGGTTTCATTATTTGTGTTGAAGAACATTTATATCAAGTTTCACGTAAAAATTTAAATATACAATAGAAATATTTTCCCATACAAACTTAGCCTCCACATTTCACCCCCTTAGGGGTTGGATTTTAGAAAATGCTTAAAGAAGGGTTTCATTATTTGTGTTGAAGAACATTAATACCAAGTTTCGCGTAAAAATTTCAATTTATAGTAGAACTATTGTTCCTATTCAAACTTAGCCGCCCAAACTTAGACACCACTTTTCACCCGCTTAAGGGTCGAATCTCTGAAAATGCTTAAATACGTATTTCCTTATTTGTATTGAAGAGAAATAAAATGTACCAGGTTTCACGTAACGATGTAAATTTAGAGTAGACATATTGGTCCTATACAAATTTTATCACCCCTTTTTAACCCCCTTAGGAGATGAATTTCGAAAAATCCCTTCTTAAACGATGCCTCCAGTATAAAATGAACGTTCTCTCCAAATTTCAACTTTCTAGCATTAGCGGTTTGGGCTGGGCGTTGATAGGTCAGTCGGGACATTGACTTTTATATATAAAGATGAATAAAAAAGAACCATAGATTTTAACCTTATACTCTACTAGATGCGCAACTGCGTCGCGTAAAGTGAAGCCTATGGCGGCCATTTGTCAAAGAGGCAAAATACTGTAGAATCGTATTACGGTAATGGTGAAAGTAAGGGTAAAATATTATTTATTTGTTCTAAGGAAATCAGGTGCACATTTTATTGTTAGCTTGCCAATCCTGACATACAACAAAAGTACATATAACTTAAAATATACTACAAATGTTACGTTATTGAGGAAAAATAATTAAAATAGTTTTCCAATTCTTACATAAATCAGAAGTCATTAAAATTAAAAAAATACCTAAGCAGTAAATACGTGCCAAGACGCACCAAATAATCACTTTCAGTGAAAGGGTCGCTACACAATTTACTGGCTTTTGTTGGTGTAATTTTTTTTCTTTTCATTACTCTAACCCACTGTTCCAAGAGCTTTTCATTTTTCAGGGGAAATCTAAAGACAAAATCACATAATAAAATGACAAACCGATTTAGCAATCGACCGCAAATTACCCAAAAAACTGGATGTTTCCTCCTGGTTTAAACCGATTTGTACACCCAAATGCGGAACACGATGCCGGCATATTTCGCTTTTAATAAACCAACACTTTTTGGAACTATACTTTAATTCACGTAATCATACACATTCACCCCTAATACACATGAAACAGTTCGCAACGTACATACATATACAGGGTATTTTTGAAATAGATGGAAACTTTTTTTAAGGTAATTGGTCATGATATAGAGAATTTATGCATCAAATATAGAAAAGTAGGTAAAATTGTAGCTTGTTAACATGACAATACATTCATTAGCCCATCATTTTTTGACGTTTTTGCAATTTTTTGGAAGAACAAAATGAATTTTTCTAATTCTGAAATGACTGACATGGTTCTGATGTATGGACAAGCCTTAAGAAACTCCTTGGAAGCTCGACGTTTATACCAAGAAGCATTTCCCGAACGAAGATTGCCAAATCATAAAACATTTGCTAACGTTGTTCAGCGTCTACGAGAAAATGGGAAATTTCAACCTCGTTTTAGTGATCGTGGTCGTGAAAGGACAGAACGGACACTTGATGCCGAAGAAGAAATTTTGAATGTCGTTGAAAACGATCCAGGTATAAGCATTAGACGATTGTCTTACCGAGTGGGAGTTTCATCTTTTGTGGTGTGGAGAACTCTACATGAACAAGGCAACAATCATTGATTAGACGTGCGGAAGCGTGTATACGAAATGGTGGTGGACATTTTGAAAACTTGCTCTAGTTGCATACGTTACGTTTTGTTTCATTTTATGGTTGATTAAATTATGATTTTGAAGTTTTAATTGTCAGTTCATTAATTATTGTCATTGTTTATTTGTTGCTAGCAATAAATTAATAGCAACAGTAGTTACACCTCGGCAGTTTTCAGTTACTAGGTTTCACATTTTTTCGTGAAACCATTATTTATCAGTGGAGGAATGAATGTTTGGATAGGGGTTAAATTTTCCTTTCAAAATTTTACTAAAACAACAAACGTTCATTTGACTTCTTAGGTTCCCTACATTCACCAGATTTTTTGTTTCCATGTATTTCAATAACACCCTGTATTTAGCACTATTTTCCTAATATATTACCAAGCGATCATACATTGACAGCAATGTTTTGCCTTTCTGACAAATGGCGGCCACTCGACCTTGAAGCTTCACTTCTCTCTGCAGCGCAGGGTTAGGTAGTCGGGTATCTAGGTTTAATTTAACATCTATGAAAAGAACCAACAGTCAAATTTGTTATTCAAGTATTTATTGCTCTTTTGTATTGTTATAAAAAGAATTGGTCGAAGGACATTTTGGAAGATTTAAAAGAGTTGAACTTTAAGTAAGTTTATTATATTTTTTCTGGTTATATTTGCAATTTTATTTCTCTTATTTTGAATTGTAGGAATATAAAAAGAGATAACAAAAGCATGCTGATTGACCGGGAAGACGTAGTTTTATGATGAAGAAAATATTTAGGTACGCCGGATAAAAGAATATCACGAGGAAGGACCTCCGATCTATAGCCCCTAGAAAATACATAGTATCGTCACCGTGGAGCAAACCTGGCGGAAACTTAACAAAAACAAAAATTATAAACACCATTTGACAGACCGCGAAATTTAAAATGGTTTTATGTTGGATTTAAAGTTTGTAGTTTATATACAAAATATGGAGTTTTAATTTGATTAAAATATAAAATGGAATCAATAAAATCTTATTAATAATTATTAGTTATATTAATTGACAATTAATCGACTTTAAAACAAAAAGACCACGCCTAGGCCACGTGACAACAACAGTTTACGCACTGTCAACTCTCTGCTGACACAATGTGGTCCCAAACCAGGGAAATTTTTTGCGTTACCAACTGCATTTTCTCAACTCGTACAACAATGGATGACGGTACTATGTATTTCTGGGGGCTATAGTCCGATCTATTGCTTAGAGGAAACATGGATCAATGCGGAAGGAATAATCTCAAACGTTTGGGTGGACACTACAATTTTATTAATGAGCGAGAGAAACGCCATAGATTCATAGTTACACATATTGAGTCAGACAAAGGATTTTTAGGTGGCAATTTGCTGATTTTTTTATTAAAGAAGCAAGAAGATTACCATGAAGAAATGAACTCGATACCCAATTGCGTAAACATTGTTATTAATGTTTATAGTAACCCTAGTAAAAAACGACACTTGTTTCCTACCGAACCAGACTACGTCTAAAATAAAAATAAATCGTTGAATTTGAGTAAAACTTAATGCGTAAAGGGCAAATGGCTGAACAATAAAGCGTTAACACAGACTAGCAATTTTCACAGAGAAGTTGGTACCTACATAAAATTGAAGTTTTAATTCAGTGGGGTATTTCGCCTAATTATATCAAATATTACAAACAACCAAGCGCGTTAAGCATATTATTCTCTCGAAGAATTAATTCTCCTGAGCTAAATGTATTTCCTAGTGAAAAAAAAATGTATTTTATTCACGTGGTACATAAACAACTAAAAATCCATCCATCTCCCTACAATTAAAATCAGATAGATATGTATAATTAATCACAAAATGGATTTGGAAAACTTTTGAAGTGAGACAAAACAGCGTCAAACAATTTGCTACTTTTCGTAGAATACAATTAAGATTAGGAGGCAGTTAAGTACTGGAGGAAAAGATAAGAGAAAAATGTACTTTTTTATCAGTTTTATTACATTTTTAATTCGAAAGTAAATCCCTCTCGAAATTTATATTCTAATTCAATAATGTACCCATATTTTTTTAACCTGTGTTTTAACGTGTTATCGTCAAAATATATAATTTAGTGTCACAGAATTACTCCGAAAATTGCCACTAAAAATTTATGTTACAAACTTTGCAAGAAAAATATTACATATTTTAATAGTAAAGTGAGTAAGAAATTCCGTAGACGCAGTGACTATGTATTTAAACATAAACATTTAATTTCTATACTCACTGCATATGGTTATGTTTTGACCATCTCTACCTACACTCCCACGTGGTAATTGATGTATAACCGAAATGTTGACTACATCAAACACCTGAAAAATATTGCGAAAAAAGATGTTTGTAGTGTAATTGTAATAAAAATCAAAGTCGATTCATAAACCACTATTATATTAATTTATGGAAATTCAGATAATCTTTACTATGAGGGGACATCATCAACGTGTTAGTGGTTATGATTAGATACATTTTGGTTAACGTTTTACCATGTACACGATATTGCTAAAATACAGATAAAATTTGACAGTAATAATCGGTCCAATAGTTTCTCTGTCTAACAAAAATTGACACAGACGGAAACGGGAGAACTATTTTTACTTCCCGAGCGTAAGCAAAGGAAGTATTGTAATCGAGTCCGTCGGCCGACTCTCTACTTTTACGTTTTCTCGATCTTTCATGACCCCTAGAAGACGAAGAAATAGGTCTCCCATTTCCGTCTGTCTGTCCGTCTGTCCGTCTGTCCGTCTGTCCGTCCGTCTGTCCGTCTGTCCGTCCGTCTGTCCGTCTGTCCGTCCGTCTGTCCGTCTGTCCGTCTGTTGTCCTGGATTTTTATTAGACAGATAATCTCCGAAAGTACTCGACCGATTGTTGTGAAATTTTGTACTTATATTAAGAATATCATGTAGATGGTAAAACGCTAACCAAAATTTGTCTAATCATCCCCACCACTAAAGCGATGACGTCACTTCAAAATTGTACATAGTAAATGGGTTTTCAATTGTATAAAATAACATAGTCCTACACATGTAGTTTACAACTCTGAATCGACTTTTCACCCGAAACGTCCAGATTTTTGGAAAAAAAATCAAAATTATAAAACAACATTTTGAAATTTAATTTTTAATCTGCTAACCAGAATGCTTTGAAATGTTGCAGATGTTTTAAGGCTATAAAGAGCATCATAAATTTTTAGTCAAAAAATATTTGCTTATCCCCTCCAAAAACTTGATGACGTCAGCTCAAAAGTTTGTGGAATAAATCATATCTAAAATGTACAAAATATGATGAGTCTGTACTTGTGATCTATCACTCCATTCATATTTTTTGGATTTGCATATACAGGGTGACTCAAAAAAATTAATGAATGCGTAAATATATTTTATTGATTTAATCAGGAACTACAAAACCGAATGCTCTGAAATCTTGCAGATGTTTTAAGGTCATAAAGAGCATAATAAATGTTTAGTCAAAATATATTTGCTTATCCCCTCCAAAAACTTGATGACGTCAGCTCGAAAGTTTGCCGAATAAATCATATCTAAAATGTACAAAATATGATGAGCCTGTACTTGTCATTTATCACTCCATTCATATTTTTTGGATTTGCATATACAGAGTGACTCAAAAAAATTAATGAATGCGCAAATATATTTTATTGATTTAATCAGGAACTACAAAACGGAATGCTCTGACATCTTGCAGATGTTTTAAGGTTATAAAGAGCATAATAAATGTTTAGTCAAAATATATTTGCTTATCCCCTCCAAAAACTTGATGACGTCAGCTCGAAAGTTTGCCGATTAAATCATATCTAAAATGTACAAAATATGATGAGCCTGTACTTGTCATTTATCACTCCATTCATATTTTTTGGATTTGCATATACAGAGTGACTCAAAAAAATTAATGAATGCGCAAATATATTTTATTGATTTAATCAGGAACTACAAAACGGAATGCTCTGACATCTTGCAGATGTTTTAAGGTTATAAAGAGCATAATAAATGTTTAGTCAAAATATATTTGCTTATCCCCTCCAAAAACTTGATGACGTCAGCTCGAAAGTTTGCCGATTAAATCATATCTAAAATGTACAAAATATGATGAGCCTGTACTTGTCATTTATCACTCCATTCATATTTTTTGGATTTGCATATACAGAGTGACTCAAAAAAAATAATGAATGCGTAAATATATTTTATTGATTTAATCAGGAACTACAAAACGGAATGCTCTGACATCTTGCAGATGTTTTAAGGTTATAAAGAGCATAATAAATGTTTAGTCAAAACATATTTGCTTATCCCCTCCAAAAACTTGATGACGTCAGCTCGAAAATTTGCCGAATAAATCATATCTAAAATGCACAAAATATGATCAGTCTGTACTTGTGATCTATCACTCCATTCATATTTTTTGGATTTGCATATACAGGGTGATTCAAGAAAATAAATGAAAGCGTAAATTTATTTTACTGATTTACTCAGGAACTACAAAACCGAATGCTTCGAAATCTTGAAGATATTTTAAAATTATCATAAGCATGGTAAATTTTTGATCAAAATGTATTTGGTCGTCCCCCCTAAAAAATTTATGACGTCACCCCAAAATTTTGCTGAAAAAATGCCATCTTCAATGTGTAAAGTATGATGAGTCCATACTTGTGATTTATCACTGCATTAAAATTTTTAATATTTGCTTATACAGGCTGTCTGAAAAAAATTAATGACGGAGTGAATTGATTTTGCAAAACTGAATACTTAGAAATCTTGACGTTTTGAAGTTATTGTAAGCGTGGTAACTGTTTAATCAAAATGTATCTCTTTATCAACCCCAAAAAAAATTCATTACGTCTTCTCACAATTTTGCTGAATAAAGTATATGATCTGACTATACTTTTAAAATTTTTAATATTTGCTTATACAGGGTGTCTGAAAAAAATTAATGACGGAGTGAATTGATTTTGCAAAACTGAATACTTAGAAATCTTGACGTTTTGAAGTTATTGTAAGCATGGTAACTGTTTAATCAAAATGTATCTCTTCATCAACCCCAAAAAAAATTCATTACGTCCTCTCAGAATTTTGCTGAATAAAGTATATGATCTGACTATACTTGTAAAATTTTTGATATTTGCTTATACAGGGTGTCTGAAAAAAATTAATGACGGAGTGAATTGATTTTGCAAAACTGAATACTTAGAAATCTTGACGTTTTGAAGTTATTGTAAGCATGGTAACTGTTTAATCAAAATGTATCTCTTTATCAACCCCAAAAAAAATTCATTACGTCTTCTCACAATTTTACTGAATAAAGTATATGATCGGACTACACTTGTAACTAATCATTGCATTCAAATTTTTTAACTTGCTTATACAGGGTGACTCAAAAAAAGAAATGAATCAGTCACTTTATTTTAGTGAATAAATCAAGAATTGCTAAACTGAATATTTTGAAATCTTGCAGATGGTTAAAATTGATTGTGAGCATGGTAAATTGTTAATGAAAATATATCTGTTTATTCCCCCGAAAAAATTCATGACGTCATCTACAATTTTTGCCAAAAAAGTTTAACTCAAAATGTGCAAAATATGATGAGTTTTAACATAAGCAACTGTGGCCTGTGGTTTAGTGGAGGTGGAGTGTGCAGTGCAAGTAGAAGTTCCGGTAACAGATCCCGGCACTTCCAACTTTTTTCGCCCATCAAATCAAGAACAGCACTTCCGATTTTCGCAACAATAATGTTATAATATTTATTTATTTGTTATTGTGTGTTCGTGAATAAGCACCATAAATAGCAAATGTTGAAATTTTTTTTTGTGATCGGAAGAATATCTCTTAATCATTTTATATATTGACAATACATGATTAACTTCGACTGTTAATGTTTATACATCGAGAGAAGCAGAGAAAAAGTACATACGCATTTGCTTCAGTTACGCCACTGACCGTGTCATTTCTTTATCGCACGTTGAGACATAGTTTATATAAACAAACTCCCAGCCATAGCAAAAAGCGGAAGTTGGAAACGACGAGCGGCGCGGGGTTTGGGTGGCGAGACGAAACAGTTGCGATTGCGAAATGCGAAGCCAATTCGAAAAAAACTGTTGAAGAGTGAATGTCATTGAGGATATATATCTCCAAATTTTAAAAATTGGACCAAGTTACAATAATTGTTGCCTGGTAAGTGCAGATATTTTGGATTTGCATATACGGGGTGATTCAAGAAAATAAATGAAAGCGTAAATTTATTTTACTGATTTACTCAGGAACTACAAAACCGAATGCTTCGAAATCTTGAAGATATTTTAAAATTATCATAAGCATGGTAAATTTTTGATCAAAACGTATTTGGTCGTCCCCCCTAAAAAATTTATCACGTCACCACAAAATTTTGCTGAATAAATCCTATCTAAAATGTACAAAATATGGTGAGTCTCTTCTTGTAATTTGTCATTCCATTCAAATTTTTTCGATTTGCATAAACAGGGTGACTCAAAAAAATTAATGAATGCGTAAATTTATTTTATTGATTTAATCAGGAACTACAAAACCGAATGCTTTGAAATCTTGCAGATGTTTTAAGGTTATAAAGAGCATAATAAATTTTTAGTCAAAATATATTTGGTTATCTTCTACAAAAAACTGATGACGTCAGCTCAAAAGTTTGCCGAATAAATCGTATCAAAAATGTACAAAATATGATGAGTCTGTGCTTGTGATTTATCATTTCATTCATATTTTTGGATTTGCATATGCAGGGTGACTCAAAAAAATTAATGAAGGCGTGAATTTATTTTATCGATTTAATCAGGAATTACAAAACCGAATGCTTTGAAATCTTGGGAATATTCTAAAGTTATTATAAGCATGGTAAACTTTTGTTCAAAATGTATTTGTTCATCCCTCCTAAAAAAATTGATGACGTCACCCTTAAATTTTGCTGAATAAATCCTATCTAAAATGCAAAAAATATGATGAGTTTGTACTTGTGATTTATCATTCCATTCATATTTTTTAGATTTTCTTAAGAGGTGGTTCAAAAAAATTAATGAAGTCAATTTATTTTATTGATTAAATTAAAGGCAACACTTATTATTAGTATTACACCCCAACCAACCCAATTTGGTAGACAAAAAATTTGTTAAAGGAAAAACTCGGTTGAAACATAACGGTAGCATGCTTATTTACATTGACTTTAACATTACAGACCTGCATTTGTTTTATGCGTTCACTTGGTTCCGCGAATGTGAAATAGACATGTTTATAATCAACCAATTGTGAATTTCACCGTCAAGAATTAAAATAAAACCCAATGTTTTATATAATAAGCGGAAGTCGAAGCAATAAAACCGATGGTCGTTTTGTTTACAGTTTCTCTGTTTGACTCTCAAGTATGCTGTTACGCCTGTCATCTTAAATTAAGAATGTTTATACATACACGATTTTCAGCTGCCTGGAATACGTATACGTGAGTAAATTGTTTCGTTATTTTATTGATTATTACAAATCAATATTCAAAACGACCCAATTCATTTTCCCGAAAATTTGAGAATATAATAATTTTATTATTAGTATTACACTACATCTATCCCAAACTGATATACGTGTCCTTGCAAAAATGTTGATGACGTCATCGCAAATTTTTTTTAAATTCCCACTACAAAAATGTAATGAGAAAAAACACAATAGGCATGCAGTCGTCAAGTTTCCGACAGCGAGGGAAGTACTGTCTAAACTCTTTAGACCAATTTTTTCGTACTATATAAATGCTTATTTGCACCACCGTTTAAACAAGGTACTTAAAATTTAAGCATCTCCAGTAAGTGTGGATGGTTAAACACATATTCACTGATTTTACGAGACAGAAGTTGAGGAGTAATGCTTTAAAGATTATATAAAAAAAATATTGTTATACAAAGAAGTTGCGTTGAAACATATAACTGAAGTGATGTTTAATGCAGCAAGGTTTTATGTTTTTTTTCAAACTGTCCATTTGTGAACAAAGAGCAACCTAAGATAATATCACTAAACAGATAAGTCGGTTCTGCTTAGAAGTTTGCAAGTCAAACACGACAAAGAGCTGCCACCTAAGTTTGGAGTGGTGTCATAAATTTGCATCTAATAAGCTGCATTATGTAGTTCTTAGAAACAGTACTGCGCTTTCACCTACCAAATTGTTTTAGTGTGGTTATAACATCAGCCCCATAACACTACTTCTCCATAAAAACGATTTTTTAATTGTAGATAAGAAAACAGCTTTTCTGGTAACGTAAAGAATCAACAAAAATGTCTTATAATGTCCCACGGTCAGAACAAACATACGTTAGCGAATACTATTAGTCTTTTGTTTGCCTCTTCTATCGGCTCGACCTGACAAATACATTCGTCTCTATCCAGTGATACAAACCAATATTTGATTTTATCAGTTGATTTACAATTTGTTACTACGGCGACAATCTTTTTACGTCAAAAAAGCATCACAGGTATTTGATACGCTATGGTATATTATTTATTATATTTTGTTTACTCATATTTCTGCAGTACGACTGGAAACATATTTTGTTAAGTAATTTTAAGTATTATTTTAATAGAATTAATTTTTATTAAATAACGCTTCATTATGAGAATGCATATTATAGATTAGAGATTTTTATCTCTGATAAAATTTGTGATAAAATTCAGGTAGACAATAAAAATAGTCGATTCAAAAATGTGAATAAGAATCACCATTTTAGATAATTTACCAATTATAGAAAAGCACTTTGTCCTGGTAACTTGTGCGTGCAAAATGTGGTATACAAAACACGCTCGTTATACCAAAATTTACAAACAAATTTGTGCACTCTTCGTGGTCTTGTTTGCTTTCGGTAAATGTGCAGAAGAAACACCGGTAAGTAGTCATTAATTAATCGATTAATCATTTTCACGTTTCCAAAGTTCATCTAACATGAGATTAGCCATATCGAAAGATGACGATCTACAACCACATGACAGCAATAAATTTATTTTAGAAATGAGTCATATACACTTTTTTTTAAATTAGTGGCAGCTTGTCCATGAAGTCAATAGGTCAGTGATCCTAAAAAAATAACGCCTCAAAAATAAAAACTGATTATAATATATTAAGTATTAGGACCGGCAGGTAAGCGAGGTTTACTGGACGAAGACAAAAGTTTAGAGATAAAGCGAAGCGACATCTCCAATTTGTCTGACACCAGTTAACCCCTTAACGTTCGTGATGCTCACACTATTCTGTGTAGAACCGACAAAATTCTAACCTTTTTACTTCCCGAGCGTAAGCAAAGGAAGTATTGTAATCGAGTCCGTCGGCCGACTCTCTACTTTTACGTTTTCTCGATCTTTCATGACCCCTAGAAGACGAAGAAATAGGTCTCCCATTTCCGTCTGTCTGTCCGTCTGTCCGTCTGTCCGTCCGTCTGTCCGTCTGTCCGTCTGTCCGTCCGTCCGTCTGTCCGTCTGTCCGTCTGTCCGTCTGTCCGTCTGTCCGTCTGCCGTCCCGGATTTTTATTAGACAGATAATCTCCGAAAGTACTCGACCGATTGTTGTGAAATTTTGTACTTATATTAAGAATATCATGTAGATGGTAAAACGCTAACCAAAATTTGTCGTATCATCCCCACCACTAATGCGATGACGTCACTTCAAAATTGTACATAGTAAATGGGTTTTCAATTGTATAAAATAACATAGTCCTACACATGTAGTTTACAACTCTGAATCGACTTTTCACCCGAAACCTTCAGATTTTTGGAAAAAAAATCAAAATTATAAAACAACATTTTGAAATTTAATTTTTAATCTGCTAACCAGAATGCTTTGAAATGTTGCAGATGTTTTAAGGCTATAAAGAGCATCATAAATCTTTAGTCAAAAAATATTTGCTTATCCCCTCCAAAAACTTGATGACGTCAGCTCAAAAGTTTGTGGAATAAATCATATCTAAAATGTACAAAATATGATGAGTCTGTACTTGTGATCTATCACTCCATTCATATTTTTTGGATTTGCATATACAGGGTGACTCAAAAAAATTAATGAATGCGTAAATTTATTTTATTGATTTAATCAGGAACTACAAAACCGAATGCTTTGAAATCTTGCAGATGTTTTAAGGTTATAAAGAGCATAATAAATTTTTAGTCAAAATATATTTAGTTATCTTCTACAAAAAACTGATGACGTCAGCTCAAAAGTTTGCCGAATAAATCGTATCTAAAATGTACAAAATATGATGAGTCTGTACTTGTGATTTATCATTCCATTCATATTTTTGGATTTGCTTTTGCAGGGTGACTCAAAAAATTAATGAAGGCGTGAATTTATTTTATCGATTTAATCAGGAATTACAAAACCGAATGCTTTGAAATCTTGGGAATATTTTAAAGTTATTATAAGCATGGTAAACTTTTGTTCAAAATGTATTTGTTCATCCCTCCTAAAAAAATTGATGACGTCACCCTTAAATTTTGCTGAATAAATCCTATCTAAAATGCAAAAAATATGATGAGTTTGTACTTGTGATTTATCATTCCATTCATATTTTTTAGATTTTCTTAAGAGGTGGTTCAAAAAAATTAATGAAGTCAATTTATTTTATTGATTAAATTAAAGGCAACACTTATTATTAGGATTACACCCCAACCAACCCAATTTGGTAGACACAAAATTTGTTAAAGGAAAAACTCGGTTGAAACATAAGGGTAGCACGCTTATTTACATCGACTTTAACATTACAGACCTGCATTTGTTTTATGCGCTCACTTGGTTCCGCGAATGTGGAATAGACATGTTTCTAATCAACCAATTGTGAATTTCACCGTCAAGAATTAAAATAAAACCCAATGTTTTATATAATAAGCGGAAGTCGAAGCAATAAAACCGATGGTCGTTTTGTTTACAGTTTCTCTATTTGACTCTCACGTATGCTGTTACGCTTGTCATCTTAAATTAAGAATGTTTATACATAAACCATTTTCAGTTGCCTTTCATATTACTAGACAGCGGATTTTTGTAGGGCTACGTCACGTTTAATCGGGACTAATTCCATAAATATAATTAACGATTTATTAATCAAACGGCTAAGTAAATGAGGACGGGAATTAACAGCAGAGTGCAACGAAACAGCGTTATTCTAATCTCAAATAAACGAAGTGCAGTCCGCAACCGCAATGAATTCGCATCCCGTACGAGCCGTACCGAGTTTGGCCTTGCCTAGCCCGACAGAAATCCGCTCTCTAGATATTACACACCGACGCCGTATACGTGAGTAAATTGTTTCGTTATTTTATTGATTATAAGAAATCAATATTCAAAACGACCCAATTCATTTTCCCGAAAATTTGGGAATACAATAATTTTATTCTTAGTATTACGCTACATCTATCCCAACTGATATACGTGTCCTTGCAAAAATGTTGATGACGTCATCACAATTTTTTTTTAAATTCCCACTACAAAAATGTAATGAGAAAAAAAAACACAATAGGCATGCAGTCGTCAAGTTTCCGACAGCGAGGGAAGTACTGTCTAAACTCTTTAGACCAATTTTTTATTCATTTTGTGATGTTGAAAAAAAATCATCACACGTTAGTGAAGCTTGTATTCAGTTTTCAAAATTTGTTACTATAGTTTCAGACAGAGAGACAGCCTTGAATTGATTACTAAACAGTCACCTGAGTTGATAGTTGGGTTGATACAGCCTGCCGAATAGACACTTTTGACATATAACCATAGAATACCCTCACTTGTAGGGTTTTCTATGATCATATCTTAGATCATATAATAAATAGATACCAACACGCCGAGCTATCCTTGCCTGATCACTATTTGAATTTTGCGCGCCTAAATTTTAGGAAGTATGTCTGAACTATCTTCGTACGAAAGATGTTGACAGCTTGATTTTATAAATAATTCCCAGGAGATAACGAAAGGAATAGTTAATTATTGGGCAGCAATTGTGATCCGTTATGATTACATCACTTGAAATAGGATCTTTGTTCTAAATTCTAAAATTGTTTCTTGTACAAGAACTCGAAAGAGAGGTTAGAAGAAACATCTGTCAAAAACGATTAGTTGCGCTGGTGCGGTACAAGAATGGAAGTGAAATAGACATACATTGTACAGATGAAATGCATATAACAAAGATGAAAATGTGGTGATCACACAAGGATAGCATTATACTACTCCCCTTGACGTAGAAAATGACAACAGATAGCTTCATGTCTAGTCACAGCTTTCAGTTTGAGTATTGGTATCTATTTATTATATGATCTAAGGATCATATAACCCAATAGTTACTTTCAAACCATTTTTCTTATGAGGGCGCTAGTTATCCTTGAATGACAGTTCAAATTTGATTTTGATGCAATTATAGGGTATTAAACGCAAAGCTAAATTAGATGTCGCCACCACCGAAGAGGCACGAATTTGTCAGCAGATGTTGACAACAGCCAAGTTGACATTTGTGTTTTGTGTATTTGTCAGCTGCCTTGGTTAATCAGTCTTCATATACAGTTTCCGACAAAAAATTTCAAACATCACTTTTCTGTCATGTCAAAAATTTTAATGTAGTCTATGCTTTATTGTCATTATTTCGGACAGCTGGAATGTCAAACTTTCAAAATTCCAGCTTACGCTACAGCTACATTCATGTAAGTGTAAAATGTAAAAGTTAAAAATGACGACTGAATGACATTGACGTCTGAAATTTTTTGACGGCAACTGTATATACATTTTGTTTGAACTGAATAAAAATTTGCTGTTAATATATCTACTAATACATCCGCCGCATATAGAGAGACAACTTTATCACATGAAAGTCACTATTACAGCCCCTAGAATACACATAGTATCGTCACCGTGGAGCAAACCTGGCGGAAACTTAACAAAACAAAAATTATAAACACCATTTGACAGACCGCCAAATTTAAAATGGTTTTATGTTGGATTTAAAGTTACAAAATATGGAATTTTAATTTGAATAAAATATAAAATTTAATCAATAAAATCGTATTTAATAATTATTGGTTATATTAATTGACAATTAATTCACTTTAAACAAAAAGACCACGCCAAGACCACGTAACAACAACGGTTTACGCGCTGTCAACTCTCAGCTGACACAATTTGGTTCCAAACCAGGGGAATTTTTTGCGTTACCAACTGCATTTGCTCCACTTGTATAACAATGGATGAAGGTACTATGCATTTCTAGGGGCTATAGTCACTATATTTGACACTTTTTGGTGATTTTGCCCTTACAGACGTGGCGCCTCTAGCGGTACAAAGTGGCAGTGGAATACCCTATTGGTTGTATGTAATTTTCGTAATTTTGAAATAATAAAATACGATTAAAACACGCAAAGGCATTGTTGTATACCATCGTTTTTAAACAGTGATACAAATTTCACCTACCACGAGTTCCCAACGCAGAAGCAGATGTTTCCTCCGCGGATAAAATGTATCACTCTTGGGGAAAATTTGAAAGGTTTGCATTCTTTAACTATTAAAAAATAAATAAAATTTTTGATATAACGTAACAATGAACGTTAATTTCATTTATAAAAACTTTGAACCTCCATCGAAGAGGGCAAAAGTGTGTAGTCTACCTCAGTGGCGTAACAATCAAACTGCGGGCCTGTGTTCTACAACACTGTGGGGCCCCTAATGAACAGCGAAATAAAAATATTTAAAAATACGAGTATAATGAGTAAAGAATGAGTAGATTGCAATTAGCGCTAACGTTTTATTAAAATCATTCTACTTGAAACATTGAATTAAAAAAATAAAGTACAATAATTACCTGAAGACATATAATTCAAATATATACAATATTAGAAACTAGCCGACCCGCCAAACGTTGTTTTGACATTTCTAGTGAATATTTTGGTACATAGTTAAATAAAAAATTAAATTAAAATAAATACATAAAAATTTATCGTACGACAATGATTATATTCAATGGCCATCTTGTAACCCTATTGCGCATCTGTGGATGAAAGCAAAGATACTCATATCGTTATTAAAAAATGGGGGTTGGTGGTAGAAGGGTCAAAATTTAGGGTTATATGTATTTTTTGATGCCAAATCTTAAAAAAATAAAAATAAAAAATGTCTAAAAAATAAAAAGTTTGGTGGGTCACCCTTATTACTTAGGGCTTTAAAAAATAGCTTACTAAACCTACCGAATATACCCAAAAAATTTCGTAAAAGTCGGTCAAGGCGTTTCGGAGGAGATTGGTTACAAACACTGTGACACCAGAATTTTATATTAGATTATTTTAGAAAACAATTCATTACCATAAAAAAGGTTATATTGAGTCGATCTTAAAAGATTGACGTATGCTGTCGCGGACTTTTTTTAGAACTTTTAGAAGGGAACAATTCCATCATACATGATTTTTATGTAACATTAACCGTTTAATAAGCAGCGTAAGCAACGGAAGCTGTCAAAGGACGAATAATTTTCCCGTTTTTCCGATATTTTTCATTGCTGCTCCGCTCCTATTAATCATAGGGTTATGCTATATAGCCTATAACCTTCCTCGATAAACAGACTTTCCAACACAAAAAGATTTTTTGAATTCAAACCAGTAGTTTCTAAGATTGGCGCATTCAACCAAACAAACTCTTCAACTTTATAATATAAGTAAGTATAGAAGTAAAAATAAAATGCCATTTTTTTTTAATCTCAAAATTGTTTTCTTCTTGCTTTTCAAGTGCTTTTAAGTTAAACATAGTTAACTCTCTGGTTTTCATAATCTGGAAATAAACCTCAATTTTTAGGTTAAAATCAAAAACGAACAAATTCAAACCAAGCGCACGTCAGGGCATCTGATGAGATAATGTTCTCTACACAACGGGAAGCACTCATTATTATCAAAATGAAATCAGTCTCTTCGTCGTTTAAACACACTCTGCATCAATTCTGACAAATGTCAGTGTTAACATTATATGTACTTTTTAGTTTAAAAAAAAATGGTATCAAATATCGTAGATGATTTTAAAATTTTATTTTTGGTTGCGTCTTGAATTTTTTAGGCGTTAAGCTCCTAATACAAAGTTAGTATAAGGTCCCGGAATGGTCGAATAACTTGTTTTTTTTTTAAATTTGCTTTGGATATATAGTTAAACATGGCGACTGGATTAAATCGCTCTCGGTTTGACAGACGGGGCGCCAACTTTTTTTTAATGGAATAGACAGATTGTTTTGACATTTTCTGAAACAGAATAAAAAACTACTTTCAGAAATTATCAACATATTTATTTCTACTAATACAAAAATTAGAAAAAAATTCACAAAAGAAGAAGGTCAGGGCTGCAGATTATCGTTACCGTGATTCAAAAATGGTTTCCAATAAACAAGAAGTAAATGTTCACTATTTGGTGGACTCTATTGTAGTCCCTTATTTGTTAAATTGCAGTATTTATTATTATGCTTTTTTTCAGTCAATTATTATCGGTCCCTTTGTGTTCGTTTAAATATAGAACTGTGGACTCATGTTATATAAGTTTGACTGACTTTTCCCGATTGTCAATTTTATCTAACTTTTATTAAAACTGTCAAAGATTTTTTATTTTCTTTCACATATTTACACGGTGCCGATTTTCATTACGATCATCAAATTTAGTAGTAATTTAACAAATGACTGTGAAATTTGTTTATATGTATTATATTTTTATTAATTGCGTTTTACCGTTTTTCAGAGCATTATCAACGTGAACCTCGAGAACTGGTCTAATAAGAGTTTCCGCAATCCCCCCCCTCTTATTATAGCAAACGGTAGCAATTTCATGAAATCTTATAAAAAATCTGAGTTCGGCAAATACTACAGTCCTCTTCGAACTCAGCTACGCGCAGAAAATGGTTTCTACTTATTTTTAGAAAACTTGAATGATACAACGCTTCACCTCTATGGCACGAAACATCCAAACACTCCAAACTACCGTATCGACTTTTCGAATTCATTAATTAAAAAATGCTCCAATGAAACTGCATGTGAGCCATTGACTAAGTGTCATAACGACGTAAGCTGAGGTAATACTTCCATAGCTTTTTTTTTATTATAGGATGTTGTAGATTGTTCCAAGTTATACACGATTTAAGGACTTCGTATTAATTGAGAAATGCTCCAATGAAACTGCATGTGAGCCATTGAAAAAGTGTGATAACGGCGTAAGCTGAGGTAATACTTCCATAGCTTTTTTTTAATTACAGGATGTTGTAGAATGTTCCAAGTTATACAGAATTTAAGGACTTCATATTAATTGAGAAATGCTCCAATGAAACTGTATGTAAGCCCTTGAATAAGTGTGATAACGGCGTAAGCTGAGGTAATACTTCCATAGCTTTTTTTTTAATTACAGGATGTTGTAGAATGTTACAAGTTATACAGAATTCGTTTATATTGCCTGGAAAATTAAACCTGAAGAAGTACAAATTTTAGTACAATATAAAAATCAACTTGTGCAATGCACTGACAACGAGACAGTCCTTAAAATAGAAAAACTTGTCATGCACAGCAAAAACGATGAAAACATTTTTATCAAAACAGGTGAAAATGAAGTAAATATCTATCTGAATGTTAATTAACATTGTTTCAGGAAGTTATTTGTATTCAACAACTGCACAGGACAAAACGCTACTTAGTGAAAACTTCGATTCATCGAACAAATCGCTTTTTTTACACATCGCACAATGCACTACTTGCCAAGCAGTATTAGAATTAGAATGTGGCGATTACAAAAATAATATTTCTGTTTCGTTTAATGAAACCAAAAAGAATGTAAGTACCTACAACATTTATTTCAAAAGATATAATTATTATGTTTGTGTTATATTCATAAAATTAATCAACAGATATTGCTTCCAAGCACTATAGGGTACTTATGGAAAGAAGTGTCTTTAAAAGGACCAAAATCTGAAGCTGGTTGCAAATTGTTTATAATAACTACAAAAACTGATAACGATGAACCATTTTGGGCTCTTTCTAGAAGTATGTTTTGCTGTAGCTAATCTACTATAAAAATATTATAAACCATCATTTTTAGGTATTTACACATTAGATGACGAGGATATTAGGGATAATAATTTAGCCTCCATTCCCATAGCAGGGAATATTTTGCTTTTGTTTAGTGTCTTAATCTGCTCAGTTCAATAAATGTCATTTATGACATTTGCAACTGTCCATAATCTACTATTTAATTGGACTGTAAAGTAGTTTAGACTCATCAGGATTTATTTCAAACAAAAATAATGAACATAAATATCTAACATCACAATGTTTAGGTAAACATATTAACCATTACTATAATAAGAATAATTAGGTAATTATTCTTATTATATTAATAGCACAATTTGTGTTGTTGCTGATATTAACTCCATACGATGATGCATATTCTTTTATTTCTTTGTTTCCCAAATTTGGTATTAAACCCCCTAATGATTCCTTCGTTGTGCCTAATATTGTTGTGGCAATATTAATTTTTGAAGTTTGTGACTGTAGGCTTCAGCCATCCATCATATTCCTTAATACCATCCATGCTGGTTACAGCAGTTGCCAAGATACTGGCAGAAGTGCAACGGAAGCAGTGACTGGTATATGCTGAAGGATTTTCTAAATTAAGAAGTGTGGCTACTCATTTGGTACGTCCGCAATTTTATGCACTCCGAAGTTTGTACTGTGCATTTTCCTTTAATATAATTGACAAAAAATCGATTATGAGGTGTCTTTAACGAACAATGGAGGTGAGAGAGTAAAAACAAATTATTTTGTTGTGTCAAACAAAAAAAAAACTTACCCTTTTATTAGCCTCGCGAGCAAGCTCGCTCAGCCATAAAAGGGTTAGTCCAATAAAGCTATGCATTATTTATTTGTAACATAAATCGCTGTTATGTAGCAAAGTATTTTTTTCCTATCTGTAATGTATAAGATCACTTTAATATCGAATGGGTATTTAAACCAATGATTAATTTATTATCTTGGTTACTTATCTGATGGTGACGCCTAACATGTCAGTACGACTACATACAACGACTTCAATAATTATTACTTATCATTTAATTCGCCCATCCCATTTTCCCGATTATTTCCAAAAATCAAGGAATTACCAACATAAAATAAAACCAAAGTGTTTGAGAAGCATACATAAAAATGATTTCTGAATATACAGAGTCTTTGAGTCATAGCACATAACTCGGTTCTTTAAATACAGCACCCATGTATTTTTAGATACACTCAATAGCCTCCCTCTAAGTTTAATAACCATTGTATAATTTAGACATTTCGATGCGATGTGGCATCGTTTCTGCAATTTTCTTGAATTTGTATGGCACTGCGTGGATCCATCAAAAATCGCAATAATCTTATTTTTAAAATTTGCGATGCAATATTAATACAACAATACAATTTTAATATACAAAATGTTTATAAAATACTTCAAAAATGTCACAATCGGCAAATGTGGATGTTGCAGTTTTTGAAATGTATTTTACATGCTTCCGATAACTTTGAAGCGCCTGCAAAATTTGAAAGCATTCGATTTTGTAGATCCTGATTTAATCCATAAAATAAATGGACGAATTTATTAATTGTTTTGAGTCATCCTGTATAAGCAATTCTAAAACTATGAGGACAATGATCAGTCGTAAATATACTCATTACGTTTTGAACGTTTTCGATGTGATTTATTTGGTAAAATTTTGAGATGACGTCATCAATATTGTGGGGGAACAAACAGATATGTTTTGACTAAAAATTTACGATTACTTTAAAACGTCTACACACTTTCGGAACATTCGGTTTTGAAGTTCTAGATTCAATCAATCAATAAAATCATTCATTAATTTTTTGAGTCCCCTTCATAATTAATTCTAAAAATATGAAGGCAGTGATAAATCACATGTATATTCATATTTTCCACATTTGCGACAGGACTGATTCAGCAAAATTTTGAGATGACGTCATCAATCGTTTGGGGGATAAACAGATACATTTTAATTAAAAATTTACCTTGATTATAATAACTTCAAACGTCTGCAAGATTTCAAAGCATTCGATCTTGCAATTCCTGATTTAATCAATAAAATAAATTAACTCATTCATTAAATTGTTAGGTCACTCTGTCTAAACAAAACTAAAAAATATTAATACAATGGTAAATCACAAGTATAAATTCATCATATTTTGCACATTTTACATATGATTTATTCGACAAAATTTTGAGATCACGTCATTATTCTTTCTTGGGGGGATAAACAGATGCATTTTGATTAAGAAGTTACCATACTTACAATAACTTCAAAACGTCTGCAAGATTTCAAAATGTTTAGTTTTGCAATTCTTGATATACACACCCTGTAGAAGAAAATTTAAAAAATATGAATGCAATGATAAACTACAAGTATCACATTTTGCACATTTTAGATAGGATTTTTTCGGGAAAATTTTGAGACGACGTTATCAATTTTTTAGGGGGATATAAGCAAATGTAAAGGGTGATCAAAAAGTTTTCAGATTAGAGTTGGAAATATTTTTTTAAAGATTATGCATGACTTTCACAGTTCAATCAAAGACATGACAAATATTTCCATGGCTAACTCTATCTGAAAACTCTTTGATCACCGGTTATTTTGATTAAACATTTACCATGCTCATGACAATTCTAAAATACCTGCAAGCTTTTGGAACTTTCGATTGTGCAGATTCAAAATTAAATTACAAAGTGTTATATAATTTTGATTTTTCTTCCAAAATATGGACGTTTCGGGTAAGAACACGAATTCATAAAGTACAATTTTTTTTTGCTTTTTCTCGACCGTTCATGGCCCCTATAGTACCAAAAATTAGGTCCCCCGATCCATCTGTTTGTCTCTCTCTTTGTCTGTCTGTCTGTCTGTCTGTCTGCCGTCTGTCCGGATTTTTATTAGAGAGATAATCTCCGAAACTACAGAACCGATTGTTCAAAATTTTATATGTATATTAGGTATCGTGTATATGATATTTAGCACCCTAACCAAAATTTGGATAATCATTTCCAGAAACAATTTCATGACATCCGCTCATTATATTGCACAATTAACATTACCGATTTTGTATAAAATAATATACTGCTGTACTTGTGGTACACGAATAAATCTTGGTGTTGTTAATTATTACTATATTTTTTTATTATTTAAACCACCTTGTTCTTTGTTAATATAGAACGTGACCGTTTTGTAGCAAGTGTAACTCGGTGGTAGAGTTTTTGCTTCACAGACCCCGGGTCGATGGTTTGAACGCATGGGCGCATTTCTTTTTTTTTTTTGTTAGATAAGAGAATTACTCTCTAATTTTTTATTGATCAAATTAAGAACGTATCACCCCATTTTCTCCAAAATGTGAGAATAATACGCACTTCTTTATTTAATAATGATTAAATACGAATAATTAAAATTTTGTTCGATTTTCCCTCACTTAATTAATAATTTTAATCCTCTGTTTTGAGGCGACAAACTAATTTCTTCGTGACATTCTTCCGACGTATAGACATACACAACACTTTCAATTTGTTTTATTTATTGGGCGTAAGTGAAGAAAGTATAGTAATGGAGTCCATCGAGCAACTTGGTACTTTCAAATTTTCTCGACGTTTCATAACCATGACCGTGGATGCTGCGCCTCCCCTATGCTTAGACAAGTTCAAGTTATAGTTAACCAAATGTGAATTACAACATCGAAAATCATAATAAAATGCAATGTTTTATCTAATATTTGAACATTACATACATATCTTTGTTTTAACTTATAATCGCTGTCAAAAAAAATCTGAAATCATATCTTTTAATTTTTCGAAACAGCTGCATTTGGTGGGCGAGGGAAGTTCTATCGAAATAATCTGCGACCTAAAAAGCCTAAAGATTGAGTCAATTTATTTTACTACTTTATTTTGCCTACAAAATACTCAATGTCAATCTCAAAAATTATGAAATTTGCGTTTTTTGTATTGTGATAACCCTTTAAAGCATAAACCACTGGCGTCAATAACGCTTATGCATACCCTGGGCCTATTTAAAGCAAATAACCAACGGGAAACAATAAGTTCTTAATTTCTCAACACCTGAATGAAGAAAATGAAATTTTGTTGATATTGTCTCCTTAACACCGAGAGGACTAATTATTATTCATTCTTAATGGAAAGTTCCCCTTTTGTTTAGTATAAGAGTGAGTATGTATTTTAAGGATAGCCCAAAAGTAAAATGTAAAAGAAAATGAAAAATTAAGCTAAAGATGCAAAACTTTGCACTCTGTCTTGAACCGGCAAAATGGTACACCATAGAAATACAAGTCCATATGGCAATTTGTTTCTCGCACTATTCGTGCCAGTGGTCCTATGGAGCTGCATGTAAAAAAGTGGATTGCTTCGATCTTCGATGGATGCTGTAATCAATAGTACCATTAAATAATTTCTAGTTTTAGAAAATTTTTAATTTTCACGTAAGTATTGTTACGAATTAAACCCATGCGCCGCCCCGATACGACGCCTATGGGCTTTCTAGTATGTGTGGCGATGATGGGTGACTCATCATCAGTGACGACGGCCGGACAGTGTTCGCTAAAAAGACCTTTGAGAAGGACTGGGAACCACCGTCGGGAGCAGGCAGTGAAGTCCAGACAACTGGAGAAGTAGAGTCTAGTCAAATCTATTCCAGTCGAGTCGGAGTTATTCTGTACATAATCGTTGTATAGTTAGTTGTGTAAATTCGAGTTACTAAGAAATAAATTGTTGAGTTTAACCCACGCCGATTTTTAATCACCGATCATCGTAATAGCATATATACATATTCTCCTCTGTGAAATCCCAACTTCCAAACACAAGTAAGTAAAAAGAATTTTTGAACTCTTTCAATATTTTTGATGTCTGTTTATATATAAAGATGACCAAATAATGCAAAGAAATTCTAGATTAGATTTAAATAATGTGGAATAAACCATTTAATGAGTGTCAAAACCGAAATCTGACAGACACCTAGTAATTAAATTTAGCGTTTTAGAAGGGTTACTACTGGTTTGTTACATATGTTGAATTAAACTCAGGTAAGTTTCGAATCAAATATAACCCCTAAGCCCTTTATTTCGAATACCACTTTTAAAACTGTATTATCAATAGTACAGTAATTGAAGTTTCTGTATAGTTCTTCAGTCTGTAACATTTGTAAAGACTTAGCTTCATAGCGTTCCATTCATTCCATCGGTGCCAGTTGACTGCGCTCTGGATAATTTCACAGTCTTGTATAGGTGATACTGATCTGAAGATTTTTAAATCATTTGCAAATATTATCAGTATAAAATAAAAATATGAGACGTAAATACAGTTCACCATGTATTTATTTAATTATTTTATTTTTATTTTTATTTATTTTTTGACTGACGTGAATAGCAGCGCGTTCCTTGATATCTCATTAATTTATTAGAACTAGAAAAAAAATCAAGGTCAGAGTTGTACGGTTTTTTGAGGACTAGACTGTAAAATTATTTTTAACAATACAGAGTTTTTTGTTTTTAAAGCTTAACACACAACTTAGTTTTTTTAATCCTTATCTATACACATATTATTTTCATTGACCTCCTCTAGACTTTGCAACCACAGTTTATTTTTGAAACCACGATGTGACGTTACCACGTTATTGCAATTTTATTGAAATTTTTTAGGAACGGAATGGTTCACAGTAGGGTTATTTTAAAATCTGTCATAACATTATATAGAGAGTTAAAGAAAAGTACACACTCTGTTATAGTATAAATGAGATTGAATTTTCACATACAGTGTTTTTAAAAATGATTTAATTATTACAATTTTCAAATATCGAAATTTCAGTTTTTTTCAAATACAAGACCTATACTTTTATTACTGCGTCTTATTTTATTTTTTATTCTCTTCCGTTTTTGCTGAGTATTTTCTATATTTGAAATTGATAGTTCCTGCGATTTTTTACTTTTATAAAGGACACAATAGAGTAAGGTATAATAATAAAATACAGGGTGTTCCATTCGAAAAAACGAAATATCGATATTTGAAAATTGTAAAGTTCTAGATTTTTTTAAAACACACTGATTATTAAAATTTGACGTATTTGATACCACAACACAGCGCGTGTCTTTGTTTATCTTTCCCAAAATATTGTTAACAGATTTTAAAAAGAATCCTATTGCCAAAAAAATTCAAGAAAACTGGAATAACGTGGCAACGTCGCATCGGAATTTCAAAAGTAAACTGTGGTTGTGAAGACTAAAAAAAGGTCAATGAAAATATATAAATCAATTTAAGAAAAGTTCCGACGTTTCATCTACTTTTGTAAGGAAATGAAGGGCGAGAGAACTCAAAGTTCAGTGAAAAGAGAGAAACTGAAATTAAACCTCCTATGTCTTTAAGTCAGTGACTCTGGCCGCGAAAATCTCCGAATCCGTTTATATATACTTTCAACTGTAGCCAATATAAAGTAGGCCACTTGTCTTTCCCTAGTGTACCTTTCAAATTTTTATTGACGTTTAAATATCATTGTTAATGGATACCTTTCCCACTGAGTCCAGTTTACACAACTAAATTTATTGAAAAAATCCTTTCAAGAAGTGTCCTACTTTATCTTGGCCTCCACGTATATACTAAAAATTCGTAGTCATGTTGCCTCCAATACTATTGAGATATGTTGGGGTACATAAAAAAACGTACTTTATGCAATTTTTGGAAATACATACTTCTCGAAATCAATTTAGATCACAATTTAAAATAGGTTACTTACTTAAGTTAGTTGAATTTAGAACAATAAGCAAATACATAGTTGGCTAAATTTGTATGTCAGACATTCGTGTCACGAAACAGTGTTTCTAAAATATAATGGCTCGTTCAAAGGTAGCATTTCTTAATACAGTACCATGTAATTACCTATGTTGTATTTATTACTGTCCAGACACGTTTAATTCGGTTTTGTTTCAGCTGAAAAAGAATTTTTAGAAGAATATGACAAATATAATGCAACTGTATGGTTCTTGTTGATTTTTATTCTTAGAAGTACAACACCATTTTGCCTAGCGTTACAAGTACGTAATTCAAAACGTTTAAGTTGATTTTAAAAATGTCTTTTCACAGACAGGTTTATTCGAATACTCTGACGGCATTGACATGTATATGAAAGCATTTAATATACACAATATGTAGGTAATACTCCATTCATTAAAGAGTTTAACTGCAAACATATAAATTTAGCTCGTATGAGATTCCTTACTTTGCGTCAGCCTGTGATAAAGAATACTATTATAAAAATAATACTTTAGGAGGCAACTATCTTATGGTAACCATTGTTTCTTTGCGCAAAATGTAATTGTAATTTGTTTCTTACCGTTTATTAGACAGTCAAAAATTGCAAAAGAAAAGATCTTATTTTATGGATGGCCTTCATGAAGAGTGCAGGTTATTGCCTAGGAACAGTCGTGGGAGGTATTTTGTCGGATATGTAAGAACATGTGCCTTATTCTATTTTAAATTGCTTCATTAACAAATATTAAATCATCTAGCTTCGGACGACGAATTATTTGTCTCTACTCATGTTTCATTTGGAACATTTCATCTTGGGCTATAATATTTATTCGAAACATCGTCATATATGAAACGATATATGTTATTATCATTGCCAGCAGCAGCATTGTGGATGCCATTACATTTGTATCCTGTTAACTTTTTTCCATACGTACAACAATAATTCTAAACGATTTTGTTTACAGTTGGCGAAATTTCCAATAAGAAATATCGAATTTTGACTGCCTACACCACATTTTTCTGTGTACCAGGTTATATAATGTCGCAATATTTGACAAAGGCTCTTTGTATGTGGAAATATTTAGTCTTTTTTCTTGCTGCAGTTAACAGCTCTATAGTTTTTACCTGTTGGTACATACCCGAATCGCCGAGGTGGTTGATAAACACTAACAGAATACAAGCCGTATATCAACAACTAAACGAAATTTCTGGAAAAATTTACTTCTTTGGGGAAGAAAATGCAGCAGCACAACCAATAAGACAGATAACTTTAGCCAAAAACATGTTTGGTTTTCTGTTTAAAAATAAGATGAAAAATTTGATAGTAATTTGCTATTTAATGATATGTTCTTGCTTCAGTTATCACACAGGAAGTACAATTTGAAACATATAATCCATAATTCTTAACGAAGTAATCGTATTTTTTGGTTGTTTCAGAGCTTTACGCAATTCTTCAACGTGTCAATAACAGCCACAATGATTTTATTAGTCCAGCTGCAGAAATTTTAGGGTCAGATTTCAAATCGATAAAACAACGCTGTAAAAAAACTTTTCTAGATATCTTTTTCTTCTTCCGATTTACATCTTCTTGGGAAAACGTTACGGTTTATTGTTTCTCTTCGGATCAATGTCTGTCAAGTCTTTAGTTGCACTTTGCATACGTATGATAACAGTATTATCTGTTAGAGTTGATTCCCCCAGATTTTTACTTTCAGCCGCATCCGAAGAAATTTATTTTGGCATATTTGATATTGTGCTTGGAACAGCAGCAATGTATATAAATTGGCTTTATGTTTTGGAGATCTTTCCAACGTTTCTAAGGGCTACCACATTAGGATGTGCTTACTGGATTTCTGGCTTAGTTACCGCTGTCAGCACACTTATTACAAAAAATGTTGAGTCAAATAAATACATATAACAATAAGTTAAATATGTTAAAAAAAATATATTTCAGGTATATACACACTTTTATATTCATGCTGCTTTTTTGATATTTGGAATTCTGGGAGGAATTGTTTTACTACTGCCAGAAACAGCAAATCAGGATTTACCAAATTTTAAAGTGTTTTAGATGTATTACTATTATAACCAAAATAAATGAAGATATTTCCTTAATGGTAAAAACACCCTTCTTCTATCCTTACTATTTCCATTCTTTTATACTTAATTTAACTAATTGTAATATCCCGATTTAAACTTAAATTTTGCGCAAAGAACTAATAACAACGCTGTGAAATCCATTTGACTTATTTGAATTTACATAATAAATTAAGAAAAGTCTCCTACACTTAAGCACAGATTACGTATCCGTAATCTGTGACTTAAGTCTCTGTGTCTCTCAAAACGTCTATGTGTGGTTGTCTGACTAAGTCTCCTACACTTAGGCAGACAACCACACAAAGAGGTTTTGAGGGGCACAGAAAATTTTTTAATTAGGGAATGTCATTGCTTTAAGCTGGCGGTGCTTAGGTAGGCAGTACGATTGATAAGAAATTTACCTGAGTAGAAAAAAAAGTGTTTTCATCCATTATAATCTCACCTCTAAAGCCATCAACACATGTAGTGGAGTGCCGTAAGACATAAGAATGTAAAAACCTCGGAACCCGGTTCCACTGAATCGATTTTCGTGAAACCTTTTCGATTGCATTGTTAAAAGTTTAAATCAAAAAGTTTACCGATCAAAATTTGCCGATCTCTATTACAACAATTTATAACAACAATTAATTGAAGAATAAGAAAAATATGAAGGAAAAAAAATTTGTAGTAAAGATTTCAATTTTATATACAATAAATGATATTTGTATAGTCCCTTTAACATTAATTTATAATTTTTTAGCTAAAAATAACAAATTTACAAAAAAAAAATTGATATGGCAAGTTGCCCAAAATCGTATACATATCGGACCAAAGATACAAAAAATAGGTAAAATATACTGCATTAAATATTTATTATTTCATTTTATAAAAACTGAAAAATTTTCAGTCAATTATCTACATTATCATTGTCGTCATCCACCTTATTAACTTTGATGATAGGTGATGGATTAGTACAACTGTTGCCATTGCATTTTAAGCAAGCTACAGTGCATTGCAAGCCACTCTTCCTGCACCCACAAGATGCTACACATCCTGTTTAGTGTGTGTAAAAAATCATTTTTGCACTCATGACCTTTTTTGATAGCTTTCGCGCATTCACCAGAGTGCGGGAGGTCGAACTTCCCGCACACGTGCATTTAACTTCCCGTTGCCATGGTAACCTTAAAATACTCGGGTAGTGTCAACATTGTGACGTGTTGACGGCGCTGTCAATGGCGTTGTTTATAAATAACTCACAGTTAATCTCTTCAGTTTAAGGGTTTATTCGTCGCAAAAAATATTGTACACAACACGTTCGTGAGCCTGCTTCCCGCATTCACGCAAATGCGGCACTCCCTTCGGTCGTGCCTCAAACAAGCGTTCATGCGGGAAGCAGGCTATCCCGAACTAGTTGCGTAAATTACTATTTCAGTAAGGTCTGTGCAGCTGAGCTAGCTACGTCCTTATTTCTGGTATCAGTACTTCGCTTTCATATTTCCAACCCCAGTCTTCTGGTAATATTTCTCCTCCTAGCCATGTTTGAATTTGCAGGTATACTCTTTTGAAGTGCCCAAAAGCAGCATTTGCAGTAGGTACCAAAGACGGTTATTTAACGCAGCTATTTTGAGCGGTTGCTTTTACAAAAGTGTTGTAGCTTAAGATATTTAGATTTTTTATTTTTGAGGGGCAACGTATAAAGCAAGGGTACATGTAACACCAACGTTAAAAATGTTGTTGGCGTCTTTGCATTCATTTTCAAAAAGTGCTGCAGCATTTTGTAAGTGCAGTCGTTTCTCCAAATTTTTTTCAAAGACATTTTTTCCCCAATTTCTTCCAAAAAAAAGGACGTCGTGTCACAGCCACTGAAATAATCTAAAAAAGGGATATGCTGTTTACACTTTGGTAATACTGTTTCCAAACTTTTAGAGAATTATACTTTTTGTGGTGTTTTGCCTTTTATTTGCAAAATACCTAATGTCTAACGACATATCACGCATACATACTACCCCATTTACTATATTTTCAATCTGTGCATTTTTTGCTTCATTCGTAGGAGCCAAGTAAGAAGTATCAGTGAGACCGGCGGACTTTCAATAGCTCGTAAATGAAAAGATTTAGTAAAGTTTCCTAGAACAGTCTGTCTCTTCATAAAAAAATTTAGACATTTTTACTATGAAATATAGGTACAATACGGTATATTCCACTGTTTGTTTTCTTTGAGATACGACTAGTTCTTGTGCCGAAGTGAAACACCAAAAAGTCTAAAGTCCGGAAGTCAGAGTGAATTTTAAAACACATAAAACGACTTCTTTATTTATTTAAATATTGTCCTGTAACGTCCTGTGACGTGGAATGGAGTTTCTTAATGTACAAAAGTATGTTAGATAATAACCGAAAAATTTTCTTGATTAAAACTAAAGGAAACACAATTATTACTTGGAATAAAAATAAAGAATATCAAGAACTTGTGCTATGTATTAAAAATATTTAATTTCAAATAAGTAAATTATGTTAATAAACCATAAAACCACAAAAATCTTTTTTTAACACAAATTATATTTCAATAAATTTTCAGTAGCGAATTATCGATATACTCAATTGTATTTACATCATAATAGTTATTTATTATACAAGCGGTTAAAGTGAATGTTTAATGAGCGGCCAGTTTAAGGCGAGAGCGGCGTATGCCGCGAGCGCCTTAAGACCACGAGTTACACATTCATTTTAACCGCGAGTGTAATACAAACTTTTATTCAATTTTGACAACCCCAAGTCCCAAATTGTGAAAAAATTGGTGATTCAAAGTTCACATTCGAGAAACGTCAGAATTGACAGCGACCAAATAAAAGTTTTATATGCGTAGAATTTAGGTTACAATATCAGGTGTGTGTGTGTAGTATGTGACTCTGGCGACGGTGTTTGTTTATTTTAAGCAAACTAAAATTATCGAAAAATTGCAAAATCATGCAAGATTCCAACGGCAAAACTTGCTCCCAAAAAAGAGCAAATCAGAAAGTGTATCAAAAGTTCCTTAGATGGAAAGAGCAGCAAGGCATTGGAGAAATTACAGAAATGGTAACCATGGTTTTAAAACAGCAAAATAAAAATTTTATTTCGCTAGCGGTTTAAAAATTTTATGGTGCTACCGGATAAACCAAAGCTTTAGTGGCCTACTGACGGCAAAATAAACGTTTGTTTACATGTCAAAATTGAATAAAATTTATTTATTTTACTTTATACTATGTCAAGTTTGACGTTTTACTGGATCGAACGATTCCGGTAAAATCAAAAAAACGGACAAGTCCGATAAAATTGAGCCAAAAAGGACAAGTGTTCCATTTCCGGAAGCGGCCACTGACCCTTTTGGGTCTCTTTTGCTTTACCTGTTATTGTAAATACAAATGTAAATTTAGTATTTCTGTAACCGTCCTGTATTAAACATCGAAACCGAACGCTGTCTATTATCTCGCACGCAAGAAAACAAAGGTCCTTGGAGCAATATCAAAGTACAATTCGGTATCACATTGTCGTATCAACCAGATTACAAAAAATACTGGTAGGACGAGCCGAGTTGCACAAACATTGGTCCTTCGAGACGGATTGCACAAAACATTCGTCCATCGAGTCGGATTATACAAAACAATAAGTCCTGTAAAGTGTTATAAGTACTATGTGTTTAAACATATGATGCTGATTTGCACGAATAAACAAATTAAAACATTGACCAAAGAGCGGTTGCTAACGATGTCAGAAAAAGTGACTCGATTTGGATTTTTTCTCAAAATAATAATAATATTATCGAATAAAAAAGTATGTTGACAGTATGAAATAAAATACATAACAACATACGTCCGGTAACTCTTTTCGCAGTACTCGTTTCGAAATTAAAGACTCGGCTACCTACTCGTCCTGAAACATATCACTCGTACTGTAAAATTTGAGCTACCGGACCGGACCGTATTTAGAATAACTTTAATTACCATTTATGTTTTCATCAACACTAACAAGTATTTAAAATAACAAGTAATAATTTGTTTGTATTGTTTATTCATTATAATAATTCCATTTATTCACCAGAAACTTTTAAACGAAATAAAATCTAATCGACTAGAAATAACGGCAAAGTTGTGCTAGGCTCATCTGGCAACGTTGCAAATTATATAAATGGTTACTATGAGATTTTTACACATTGTTTTCGTCGCCCTCTGTCGAGTGGTAGCTTTATTAAATGTATTGTTGCTGCGATTTGGGTTATCTACGCGCGCGATTGGTGTCCAAGCTTTTCGCCGGCGTTTGACGGCCGACTGTTGGTGCGCCATCTCTTGTTCGCCGGCCGTTGGCCTGTTCGCTCCAAACAATAGCATGGGTCTATGTATATGTATTTAATCAATGGATTACGATAGTGTTTATAAAATTGGAAATTTGTACAATCTCGCTAAACTGATTTTACGATTGCTTCTAACGATTATCGTTTGGGAACGAGATCGTTCCGGAGCGATAAATTACAAAATAGACCCCTAAATCTCTTTTGTACATACTCATTTCTAAATTAAATATAATTATTCATTTAAGCAAAATGCATATACTTGAAGTAGTCCCTTTGTCCAGTCACTAGAATGTGTTACCATCATCACGAACCAGCCTACGAACAAATAAATAATATTTTCACTATATGTTGGGCACAAGGTCCACGACAAGAGTTTTACAGTTTTATATATAATAAATTAACAAAAGTTAATTTTGAAAATCTCCCAAGCCCGTCACACTGGTATGTTTTTTTGTTGTTTATAAATACTTGGCGTACTAGCCTCGTGCTTGCTTAAGAAGACGAATATCGTTCCTGAGGAATCTACTTAAATACAAAAGCTCTGGGAAACCTCGGTGGAAACACCCATGAACGCTTGCTGAACACGTGATTTAAACTTTTACAAGAGGGCGGCGTTTTCGGTTATTTTTGTTTAAATCTTTAATTTCTATTTTAATCCGTGACAGTAGAGAGTTTAGGGAATGCGGTTTCGTTAGAACATATTTATATTAGCTTCTTTATGTCGATAGTTTTTGGATGGCTATTTTGGAGATATTATTTGCATAACATAACTTTATCATACGAAAGTTAGAGCGAAAAACATGTGCGAGCCACCTTAGTAGAATTGATAATATCGTTAGAGAACATGTTCTCTGATATCGTCAACTGTGTGATTTACTTTGCGCCATTTTTATTTAGATATCATCACGCTGGATTTTAGAGATTTCAATCAGATCCCCGACTAATTTGGACCTTTCGACCGCATTTTATGTTTATTTCTCGTGTTTGTTTTTTTTTTTGTGTAAAGAGGAAACAGTTCGCGATATAACTTGTTGAATTAGATGTGGAATATCCAATAACTTGAATTATTGTATAATTTAAACCCTTTACTGATTAAAATTGTTGATAAAGTGTGACATAATTTAATATCATGTAAATTCTTTGTTTGAATTGTCGATAAAGTGTGGTACAATTTAACTTCATGAAAATTCTTTGTTGGTTGAAATCCTTGACTACGACGGAATTAAAGGTTCTGTTGATGGAAACGTGGAGTATGCTTTGCCTGTGTGTGAGAGTAGAATCATTTTCATTGGTTGTAGCGTCATTTTGATTTGTTGTTGCCCATATTTAAAGCTGAAGTTTAAAACTGCCACACAATATAATATCTGGGGTGTAGCCATCCTTTTACTTCGCTTAGAATTTAGCGGCTTTCACACTGTTTATATTATCGCTATTATTTGCGATGTTTCTAAAATTCGTTGTTTGTTCTTAAGTTCAGAATACAGATTTTTTTCTCTGGGAAATAATCCGTATGGGTTTATTTCTCATTGTGTTTTTTTTTTATTTAGAATTTTTAATTCCTTCACTCTCCCCACTCCCGAGTGTGTTAATTTGAATGAACGAACCCGTGCCGCCATTTTTTCAAAGTACAATGTAGGTTCCGCTTTTGTCGACAATCACAGTCGAAGACAAAATTTGGAAATTTGCAATTTACGCAAGGGTAAAGAAAATTTAAAATTTAACATGTCTCGCGAAGAAAATTCTCGTATTAAGAGCTGCATTAATAAAAGACTTCCAACGACATATTTTAAATTTAAGGAAGCCAGAAAGTAGCAGGTTTACAGTTATCACATAACAAGTAACTTAACTTGGCTTTGTTTTTGTTTTCGACTAAAAATTAGTTGCCATTTTGCCGTTCATGTCATTATTTAAAAAAATGGTCGAAGAAGTTCCCTCACTTGTAAAGTACAGTACGTCAAATCCAGCTGTTTTGAAAAATTAAAAGATTTGAATTTGCGAATTTAATTTTTTTATGATAACCTTTATAAGATATGTATATAATGTTCAGGGTAAAGTACCGTGCTGCGGGTTTGCTTCAAGTGAGTTCGACAGCGAAGAACGTAACCTATATACTAGACAAAGAGAGCGCAAGACTAGTAATTTTTTTTTACAAATACCTAATGCTTAGCACCCATGAAAGAACTCTGAAAGAAAGTTTGCTTTTACGATTTGAGTTTATGACAGACTATAAACTAACTCCAGTCCTATACAACAAGAAAGCGTCACCGACAACTGGCAAACAGTCGTGGAGGACGTGTTACCAGCAAGACACTTGACAACCAAATGACAGTAACAGGATCGCCATACTGGAAACAAAAAATACCTGCTGTCAAAAACCCGGAGCGTAAGAAGGATAGAGATATATTTCTATCTCATAAAAGTTACTGTTTCCCACACATTTTAAAATCGAGGCACATTATCACTATACGCTACTTGCGCCCATCTATTAATAATAAACAATTGCACTTAATAATTTTGATAAATTTTAACCTGACTTGAAATTATCAGACCCCAAAACGCCTAATTGTACAAGTGTCGCTCTTTTTAACATATTTTCCGTGAAAACTAGATTGACTTACAGCTTTACACAGAGTCTTGATCCGACGGAGGGTCAGAAAATTATAACACCGCATAAAGTAATTCACTGCGTTTGCCTGTAAGTTTAGACATAATATACTTTACTCTATTTCAAACGTATTTCACACACGAAACGCATAGTTTACCTACTTTCTACAGATCGTAAGAAGTTTGTTTACAAAAAAGACAGTTTTTGAAAAAAAAAAGCAAAAGAAATCACCTTTATTACTCTTGCGTTTTAAATATTTTTCTACTGGAGATGTCTGAATATTCCGAGGAATATTCAAAATTCTGTAAGGAAAACAAGGTTTACTGCAAGAAATAAAGAAATATTGTTGGAACGGCCTCTTTTTCTAGATGAAGACTTTTTCCGCTAAATTTTATGCATCCTTCATCAAAGCGATTGCTATAGAATAATGTGGTATCTGTTACTTCCGGTGTATTCACAGGAAAAGATAATTTATATATTAAAATGTAGCTGCAGTTTATTGCATATGACCTCTGTAAAAATTCAAACTTTTTACTTCTAGTAGCGGGTTTACTAGGCACTTGAAAAAATGAGGGATTTTCCTTTTTACACAGAAAGCTAATTCTACTCATTTTAAAGCCGTGGTTTATTATTTCCGATTATTTCGTTAGTGTGAGTGAGTTTGTTCGTTTCAGAAAATTTTAACAATTCCTTTGCCGCTTTTGAATGTTCAGGAAGTTAGTGCTAGATTAGTCAAAATTATTATTAATTATAATTATTATTGATAGATGACAGCAACTAGTGTACCTCTTACCTCTTGGACCTTTATGTTAGTGGCCCATGACACAGACCAGTAAAGAACACCATGATGAGAGCAAATCGTCTATATTACAGTTATCTGTAGTAGTAATAGGACAGTTGACACACGTGTCATATATTTGCCACATCAAATAAACTCCTGTCAAAAATTAAAAATGCGAAGGGTCAATTTTGAACTAGGTGAACCATGTAAGCAATGAACTTCTATACAACTAGAACTTATTGTCGAGTAACTCAAATTTCAAAACTACAGATGTCACATTCCCAATTTGAGTGCAAACTCTGCTGCATAGTTATAATTTGAAATTGAAGTTGCTATCTTAAGGTATATAAATTTTTCGACATTAATCAGCAATATTCTCTAGCGGAAAAAGAATATTTTGAAGAATATGACAAATACGCCACAGTATACAGTTGGTGGTTTTGCTTAATTTTGATCCTGAGATGTTGCATACCGTTTTGTCTAGCTCTGCAAGTACAAAATATACACACTACGAGACACATTTTACATAAATTAATTACCTATGTGTCTAGGTAGGCCCTTATGAATATTCTGATAGCATTAAAGTATACAGACGTGCCTTCCTAAACAAGTAAGTACTGTGACGATGTAGAATATTTCTTACTAAAATGGAAACTTTGTTATACTTTGTATGTGATATTGTAGACAGAATCATCAAAATATCACGCAAATTCAAGTGGTGGTGAGTTGCTATTTTTTTCACTTATTCTCACTGTCAGAATTTCCCTACATACATATATCTAATAGTACTATATTGCTAACTGGCCTCAAAAGATTCCGAAAACATAACGGCAGAGCAATATATCGGACCTCTCTGTCTCTCTGTGGTACTAAACAGTACTGCGCATACACTCGTATTTGGTTGATTTGTAGTCGATAGCGTGATTGGATGCGTTTTGACACTTCGTACTTTCGCTTCTATTTTGTGTACATGCGCACAGACCCTCGGTACTCTTATAGACAGAAAACAACATCTTCTGTCTCTCTCTGTCCGTGAACACCGTTTCTATGTTACTTCTGAAGAGTTAGCAATATAGTAGTATTAGATATATGCCTACATACAATGTTAAAAATTTTAAAACTGCTCTTTTATAGGGTGGTGAGTATAATGTGCAAAAATCTATTATCTTGCAAATGATAATCTTCAAATCTGCTGGATTTGGCGTGGGAGCAGTTCTGATTGGAGTTTTTGCGGACGTGTAAATCCATTCTATCTGCAAACTATGTTTTTAAATATAGTTGGTTATAGAATTAACAAATATTTCAAGTATTTACTTTTGTAGATATGGAAGATCGGTTACTAGTTTTCTAGCTTCCATGCTATGGGCCACTACTGCAGCTATTTCCGTCCTATTTCAACATGCAACGTTAATACAGGTATGGTACTCAGTAATTACTGCATGTGCTAGTGCAACTTGTGTCGTCACATTTGTAAGCTGTAGGATTCTAAAACTTTGTTCTATACCAACGTAAATGACACAAAATTCAGTTGCAGAAATTATAAACAAAAAGCAGAGGGTATTAGTTGTTTACACATGCTTAGGCTATGTCGTTGGAGACATACTCCTCACTTACATCGTCGACAACTTACAGACTTGGAAATACACTATTACTTTCGCAGCAACTGCAAGCACATGTGCAATTTTTGCAACATGGTACATCCCAGAATCACCCAGATGGTTATTCAATAAAAACAAAAAAAGACAAGTTTATGATCAACTAAATGAAATATCAGGCCTGAAGTATGAGATTACACTAGCAAATGCACCGCCTGAAGGAGATTCTCATCTGCGGATCTGCTATGATATGTTTCGATACATCACAAGAGAGAAGTTAAAACATATTATCATATGTAACATATGTATAGGAGCTGCCGGTGCAAACTTTTCTACTGCAAGCATGTATTCTTCCAAAAGCTGATTTTGATGTTTGGCCGCTCAAATGCGATATCGTTTCGCACCTAGTTAGGCCAACAAAAGTATCAGAACTAATCAATTTTTTAACAATTTTAGGACTTAAAGTTACTTTGTATTACAATAATGCTGACGAATTCAAACACATTGCAAATGTTGCGGAAGTACTTGCTTACTTACTTTTGATTCCGATGCTAATTTTTCTTGGCAAACGAAATAGTTTATTTGCCTGCTTCTGTTTGTTGTCGACATCGGCAATGATAGGGATAATACTGCCAGGTGAGTCATTACTCCAACTGAAAATATTTACTACAGTCAATGATTTTTTAGAGAACACACAGATTTTTTACAATATTTTCGCAGTGCTGCTCGGTCAAACAGGTTTATGCTTTTGTTGGTTTCTCTTTTTGGATCTTTTTCCCACATTTTCAAGAGCAACGGTAATGGGTATTGGGATTTGTACTTACAACATAGCTTCTGCTATCACAATAGTAACAGTGAATCTAATAGATGTGCGTATATAACCATTTTCAAGGTTATTGATAGTATAACAAAATTTGTTTCAGGAATTTAGTTATTTCAATTACTGTATAATGTTTTTTCTAATATCGCTATTAGGCATGTCAGTTTTGAGTTTGTCTGATTACTCTTCGCAGGATCTGTTAAATTTTAAACTATATCGCTGAAGTTTAAACAAAAGTTGATATTTTTATTAACAATAAAATTATATTAACCCGTGGTATTTGCTATGGTCTTACGAAAGAAGGGTAATGTTACTTACAGTAACACACAAGTCAAATATGCGTTTCATTTGTTCCACTGATCTGCATTTGTTGATTCATCAACCAGCCCAAAATATGTCAAGGTATAATATAATTGTTCCTTTGAAATTTAAGTATTATGTTTTATAAACAAATTTTACACATCATCGAGGTCTAGATAAATTTAGAAATGAAGGAAGAGAGATTTCTCAAAATTTCCAGCAAACAAAAAAAGAAACACCTCAAATAAAGACCAGATAACATTTTAATAAGCCTTTTATTTCCCGAGCGTACGAGTAAACTAGTAAAATATAGTAATAGAAATTATTTGACGACTAGCTTATTTCATGCTTCCCCGGAGTTTCATAGCTTCTAGAATATGTAAAATTAAGTCTCCCATTTCCATTTGTTTATCTGTCCTCAATTCGCGATTTTATTAGACAAATAATCTCCGAAACTATTAGAAAATTAATGAAATTCTAGATGTATCTAGTTTAATGTTACCACATAGATAGTAATGTGGAAACAACACGTTTCCCAAAAAAACACGTGGAGCTATCTGAGTGCATGCCAATTTTTAGTACAATGTAAGTGCTTCCGTATCTAATCATCTTTTGTCTACCTGCCCTATGCTTCCAATTTCTAGAACTTCTAATTTCTTTTCTTTAGGTACCTCCTTCCACTTCTCCAAAATTGAACCCAGCTATCAACAAATTCAAACACTCTTCCTTCTTCTTCCTCGAGCGCTCGAACAGTACGTAACGTACTAAATCTCTAAAGCATAAACGTCGCGTTTTCTTAAATCACTCAACGATACCCACAATAATAAAATTAAGCTCGACTGTACTTAACTGTTCTTTTTACACAAATTCTTTTATTTATTGGAATATATAAAAATATTACATTTCTCAATCTCATAAAAATAAAAAAAAATTCAAGAATACAATCGCAGCCAAAAAATCATGAGATGCCATTCAGCTGTAATAAATTGTGAAACACTTTTACGAATAGTGACTATTTTTTTGTTTTGATATTTTTGGTACTGCGGGCTTGCTGACGCTGGATGCAACTTCAAAGTGACAGAAAAATAATCTCTAAGATTTTCTGGCCCCGACTGTACTTTTTAACAAAACACACTTAAATATTACACTAAGTTTAGAATATTTGCAGCGTATATATGTATACTGATGAGGTGAGTTAAGAATGGAATAATTATAAGAGACTGCTGATATACTTGAATAATTCTACATGTGCCTATCCTTACTTTTTTGTTGTCTAGAAATAACTTTATTTCCTAAATTATTATGATGATACATACATACGATATGTTATAAAAGGCTTATAACAATTTATTTGTTTTTTTTTTGTTATGTGACTGTAACGTCAAACACTGTTAGTGCAAAAGTAAAATAGTATTTAAACTTTTATACTAATGGACAAACTAAACTTATGAATTTTGCCTACAATACTTACCACATGTCTCTTACTGACATATTTATTTTTCGTTGATAGTTAAAAATTTGGGAGTTACCTTTATTAAATTCAACAGGACTCCCTGCAGTTGGGGTCATTGAAATTATTAAATATTTTATAAAAGTTGTGAAAACGAATTTTCGATCTCACGTTGGGACTGCAGTGTGTTAAACAGAAATAAATAGAGGACGGTAATTTGATGGTTAGGTACTGTGGCGTCACAGTACTTCCTATCCATGACAAAATTGTTCTTCTATGTTGTGTATGCTGTCAATCTGAAGTATGAAGAAAACCGGCGGTGTTGCGATTACTCCTATTTCGGACTAGTGTTCCCGTTGGGGTCACCAATGGAGAAAACCAGGAAAAATGTCACGACAGGAGTGAGGCTCGAATCCACATTTTCCCATTTGCCGGGCGATGATTATTTTTTCTCATTCTCCATGATTATACTGTGCAAACACAATAAACCAATAATGATTAATTATTATAATACTTAATATTTTTCCGTCATCTATCGTAGTACAACATGCACTTATTCATCACTATTTGAACACATAGAACTATTTTCTGGCACATTTGTAAATTGTGTAAATTTTATTGATTCCCAGGTAAACAGAGAGGTATTCAAATTCGGTTTTTCCTTAACATATTAAATCGCAGGTACCTAAGGGGGATCGTTTTCTGCAATATTTTATAAAAAATAGTCATCCCAATAAAATAAATTATAAAGAGAAGCAACTGATGGGCAATTTTTAATCTAAAATGAAAATTATTATCAAATAAAAAAATTCGTTAATATAACTGTGGATACCTTTTTGCTTTAATTCTAGCACTAACAAGATTCTGCCAAGGCTCTTTCGCCAAATATGATCTGATCCCTTTAAAGTAATTCCTAAAATATAGTATCCAATTAAATGGTTTTAAATCAAAGGGAAATATAGCTTTGTCCGCTTCATTCATTTTATTCCATATTGTTTTTACGTTCGTATTAGTGAACGTCCACTCGTGAGCCATAAAGTATTCCATCTGGTAACGCGAAGTATTAAATTTTCTGTATTTCGATATCATACGCGGCTTTTTAAAACAAAGTACTGAAACTGCGTCTACCAACAATGCTGGAAGGTAGTGGTATGTCGTATTTAACAAAAAATTCACAATTGTGGATCTCCTCAGTACTGTCGCTCTAGGCGTCCATAAACAATTGTTAAAAGGATAACGTTCAGTATGAACCATAACGTTTAGCTTGATAAATTCATCGTAAGTGATTGGATTGTCCACAGACGAGACGTAATTGTAGATGGGGATGTTATTCTGTCTGGAACGAATTAACTATATTAGTGTAGAAATTTTGTTACAATCTGTATATACCCTTGCTTGTAATTCTGATGTACATCCCAAGCACTTGCTAATAGTGCTGCCACCGACATATCCACTGGTACTAAATCAACCACAAACCTAACGTCGCAACAAAAAAATCGTAAAAAGCCCGAAGCTATGGTGGCCACGAGAATGTTGGGTCCTCCAAGGCTGTCAGTCCACCCTTCCAAAGGTTCCTTATACGTGGAAATGACTGAAATTTTCTTTTACGTTTACATGTATACGTTTTAACTCGAAAACCAACCTATAGAGGGTCGAAATATTCCCGTAGGCAAATTATTGGCGAAGTCTTTAATCACGAGTTCCGCAAGAGCTTTAGTGAAACTGTAAGTATTTGGCCACTTCTGCAAAATTCTACAAAACAGACCAGTGTGAATGAGTATGGAACAAGCGTTTTGTATACTTTCTAGTTAGTTTTTCTGGTCCGTCTGGTTCATTTAGTATACTTCTTACTTCCTTATAGTCGAAACCTAAATTATCGTAAAATACTTCATCGATGTTCTGAAGATAACAGTTAGAATATGCTGTTGACACATACATGAACGACTAAAAGTTATCAAATTTAAAACATATCGTTTTAATACGTAATTTTACACTTACCTTTATGTTCTTCATCTGTTTGCATAAATCTATAACTGCCATAGTCATACCTACGTTCGTGTCATACGCAAATTTGATCTCTTCTTGAAATCGAACAGTTGCGGCGACGTGAAAAACGATGTTCACTTTAGATATAAGGGTTTGATAATCACTAATTGATATCCCCAAATTTGGCAAGGTGTTATCGCCAACTATTACTTGTATGCGGCGTTTAAAATCAGCATCTTGCTCCTTTAATTCATTAAAAATCTACATGAACAACAAAGATCATATTAAAATATCAAACGATGGCTGAGCGACGGATACCTCATTTTTCAACAACTCTTCGAGTCGTGTATACACATCTTTTCCTTTTTTTGTTCGCATTAGAAGATAAATAATTGCCACGTTCGTACTCCTGAGAAGTTTTTCTACAAGAATTTTGCCTATGAATCCATTACCTCCAGTTATGAAGACGTGCTGACCATCGTAGAATTTACATATCTGCGACTGTGTCATATTTTTTCTGAAGGTACCTAAAGTAACAACAAATAAATATGAAAGAATGTTGACGGTTTTAGACATGTAGAATCGTACATGTGGTGTAACAATTAAATAATGGAGATGAAACCACTTTGGAAAAAATTAGTACCTTTAGGAGGGTTACCTAATAAATTAAATTTGTTTCGAACGCATCTAACAAATTTTAAAACACCCTCAAAAAATTTATTAAATACAATAAAGAAATATTAATACTGATTCATAGTAAATAGAAAGAACACTTTCTGGTCACAAATGCAGTAGTACCACGTTCACTGGGGACGAAATCCAAAAAATATTAATACTGTGTTTGTAAAAACAGCCCGGTTTACTTCTCTGTATTGAGAATCTTCTGAATTCCCTTTTTCAACAGGACAGTGATCATCCTCATATTGCCCACAGAACTAAATATGTCTTGGCCCCCTCGATCTCTCGATTTCGACCCCATAGAACATGTGTGGGATATGATGGCCCGCGGATTAACAAGTTTACAGACTTTGGCTCGATTTCAGCAGGAAATTCAAGCTGCCTGGAACGAATTACCCCAAGTAGACATTGACCACCCAATTTTATCGACGCCCGAGTTGAAATTGTCGAAATTGATTTTAGGGATTTTATGAGTTTCATACTTGTTTAACTGGACATAATATTGAATGGATATCTCAATGATGCAGTGGTCAGGAATAAAGATTGGGGCACAGTAATTAATTTCACCGAGAAGATTGGTGTCACTAGTCAGGATTAAATCAATTAAAGAAGGGGTTTGATGCAAGTTGTTCTAAGTTTGCGTCTAGCAACACGTCTGTAAATAGGGTTTGGGCCAAGAAACTTTGGGGAAGTTAAAATCACCAAATATTAGTAGGTTAGGATGAAGGTTACAAAATGGTTTAATTTGATCAAACAGCAATTGATCATCTGCAAGATGATTAACTCCGAATTACCAGTTTTTAGTGAAGCTTGTCACAACAAATTTCGTGAAAAATGCTCTTATCAGAAAAATAAGACTCCTCTCCATGGGAGGTGCGATCGATCCGATAAAGATCATAATCGTTGGGGGCAATCACAGAATTGGGAATAAGAGACAATTGTCAAGTTTCAGCAATGTATAGAATAAGATCATCTAATATGGCTAACAAAAATGCGTTGTTTTGTACACAATCGTGAACTCTGAAACTTTTTTTCAGGGTCGTGTAAGAGAACATTTGGAGTTCGATTTGAGGAATTAAGAACCATTAGAAAAAAAAATCAGTTTTCAGCTTTTCTAGAGCCCATTGCGTACAGGGCAGGCTGATCCCATATTGGATGAACAGTGTCCATTTCTTCACATTTACATTTTAGCTTTTCAGCTTTGCATTCACTAAGTCCATATTCGCCGCTGCATCTTCGGCACGAGAATTTTTCTTTGCAGACACAAGACGAATGGCCGAAACTATTACATTTGAAGCATCGATTAGCCTCCAACCCGTCAAATACAGTGCAATAATCATATTCAACTAGCAGAGCACCAGATGCCATTAATCGTAGGTATTTTTGTCAACCTCAAGAAGGTCTTAGTACACTTGTTTTTTTCTTCGTAGGCCAGTATTTTAAAATTATTCATCCTGATTTAGTATCTATTACAGATCTTAAGTTCAACCTTTGTTATGTTATAAATTCTGAAAGCTTATTCCATTCATTTTCTTCGTATGCTTGAGAAAATCCAATAAGTCTAACACCTGGAAGTATACCTTCAAATTCACGTATAACATAAGATTTAGCAAGTTTTTCTTCAGCTAATCGTTTGAAACGCAAATTTTGTTCCATACCGCCATTTTTTGTACCGACCACTTTATCAAACTGAATTTGAACTAAGGCACAAAAACCCTTGTCTTGAGCAGTTGTTGTTGTCTTAGTGAAGTTTTCTTCAGGGTTTTTGGTGCGATTAATACAGCTGGTTCGGTTTTATTCTTTAGTAGGTACAAAACAAGCAAACAGATTTAGACTTCAGGAAGTGTATCTTCAGTTTGAGATTTGACACTTTTTACAAAGTCCGTTTTAAGCTTGAAAAAACATTTTTCACACTACTAATCATTTCATCGAAATTTTGTCCAAGGAAAGTGTTTAAGTCGGAATCTAAACAGAAACATTTTTTTTAGACTTCCAGCTAAGACCTGGGACTGACTCAAGTTGTTCATGTAGGGTTTCGGGAACGTTGACGCATTCGTAATGAAAACGCTTGCTAGGTACATAATCCGGAGAGTCAGATAGTTACGAGGTTGGGTGGTTTTTCATAATTCTAAGGCATGTACCACAAACGGACAACATTGTGACGATTAGGTGACGTCACTGCTGAGGAAAGTAGGAAAAATCTCAAATGTTCGGTTTGGAGGTCAACGGATCGTCAACAAAAAAAAACCTGTCTCTGGCCAAATCAGCGACGAAAAACGACTTGTAGTTTTCAGCTGTTCTGCACTAAAAGCTTATGAGTCGAAATCTACAAACGGCTGTTGCTGTTTCACAACTGGCTTCTCTCCCAGAGTGGAGAGAAATTGAGAACGGTTCTAATAGTATAAATTCAATATCTGTTTTCTAGTAATTACCTTAAAATCGACGATAAACTGCAAAGCTCGCGAACAACGCACTCCACTCCACACACCCTGTTACACTTTGTCAATGTCATGGTTTAAAGTTTGAAAATCAAATGTGCAGCAGAAAGTGCCAGTCATAAAAAACAAAAAATCCGACGGTCACTCATTTAAATAGTAGGAGTAATTTTTAAAACTATTCAACAAATTTAAATGTACAGTCATGCTCACATAAATCCCGTACATAATGGCAGTCTGAATTTGTATCCATGCTATTGATTTTGTATTGATTTTGACAGAACGTGAAAGTGAGGTTGTATCGGGATTTATATGAGAGGAATTGTATGTCGGTATGAAAAATGTTGTGGATAGCCGTCCAAAAAATATTTTGCTAGTATTCGTGTTGCTCGACTAGCGTCTCGGTTTACAATATCACTCAAACACTAAAAACTGTATTTTCAAGCAGAGAGAGTATAATATATGTATATTTGGAAAAAGTAGGTTGATTATAATTAAGAACAAATTTACTTATGTAGACTTAGCCTTTAAATCCGTACTCTTTGATAGGAGTGACAATTATTACTTACAACGAAATGAGCAACATTTTCAACATTTAATGAATTGAATGTTGTTTATTTAATAAAATTCATTAACCTTATGACAATTTTCCGTGTATTTTCACACTTCTTTTATTAAAAATTTTAGTCGCCATTTTTGCTTCCGCATTTATCATTTTTGGACATCTATGAGTGTAGTTTAATTACCAACATGCAAAATCCCTCCTCCAAGGTTGACTCGATTGTAAAATATGTATATTTCATGTCCGATATACTGGTGCAAACAAAAATTATTATCACTATTGTCAGTAAACAGGGACAAATGTCATATTACGTCTTTTAGCCGTAATGTTAGCATAATCATTTAGATTATAATATTGAAAGTACGCCACTCACAACATGTTCCAAATGAAAAAATTTATTAGGTACAATTATGCACAGTGTGTTGTCATTAGGCCTGATATTAATACCATCAACGCGATGCAAATGTTAGTTTTTATAATTAGAAATACTTGAGACTTCTTAAATAACTGGATTGTACAGGGTGGATAAAAAAAAGCTAAAAACAATTCTAAAAAAATATTAATCCAGTCTTAAATTATATTTTGTACAATCTCGATAGAATTAATTCATTAAAATTTTGAGATGACGTCATCAATTTTTTGGAGGGGCTAAGCAAATATATTTTGATTAAAAATTTATTCTGCTTACCACAGCTCTGTAGGATTTCAAAGCATTCGGTTTGAACTTTCAAAATTAAATTGCAAAATGTTGTCTTATAATTTTGATTTTTTTTCCAAAAATCTGGACGTTTCACAGACTTCACACCATTCAGTTTTACAATTCCTGAATTAATCGATAAAATCAATTGAGTCATTCTTTAATTTTTTTGAGTCACCCTGTATAAGCAATTCCAAAAAATGGAAAGCAATGATAGAAATAACGATCATAATCTATGCACAACTTTAAAATAGCAAAATAATTAATTTGCCTATCTCCCAATTCTGGAAGTAATAAATACAATTAACCGTCTCAAGAATACAAACTCTGTTATTAATAGCTCAGTCGAACTGGGGCAATATTCTGAAGATTTAAAAACAACAACAACTGTGACACCGGTATTAAAAAATTGAGATTGCACTAAATTAGAAAATTATAGATCCGTGTCAGTAACCAGTATTGATTGTCTCTAAAACAATAGAAAAGTGTACTCATAATAGTGTTTAATCAAAATATATTTGCTTACCCCCCCCCTAAAAAATTTATTACGTCACCCCAAAATTTTGCTGAATAAATCATATCTTATAATGTGCAAACTATGATGAGTCTTGTGATTTATCACTGCATTAATATTTTTTAGATTTGCTTATACAGGGTGCCTCAAAAAAATTAATGAGTGAGTCAATTTATTTTATTGATTAAATCAAGAATTGCAAAACGAATACTATGAAATCTTGCAGACATTTTGAAGTTATTGTAATCATGGTAACTTTTCAATCAAAATGTACCTGTTTATCAGCCCCAAAAAATTGATGGCGTCATCTCAAAATTTCGCCGAATAAATCTAAATGTGCATAAATAATCAGTCTATACTTATAATTTATCACTGCATTCAGACTTTTTAAATTTGCTTAAACAGGTCGTTCAAAAAAATTAATGAATAAATCAATTTATTTTATTGATTAAATCAGGAATGGCCCACTCCAATTTCCCAGAAAAATTTGGGAACACAATATCGTTATTTTTAGTGTTACAATTGACAGCATCACAAAATTGTGTAAAGAAAAACTCAATTCGAAAATGCTGGATATGTTTCGTTGTACTTTAGGTGCGAGGAAAGTTCTGACGAAACAACTTTCGACAAATTTTTTTCATTAGGTTACACACGCGTTATTATCTAATGCAATGTTTCCCTTTGTTTATCTGCTTTAAATATATTTCATCTTGTCCGCATTTGTACAGGCCGTGCCCCCTTGGAATTTGCGCTCTAGCGACGCAGGGGCTGAGGGGATGTTATTTGCCCCACTGGAGCTAGGAAAGTTCTGTCGAAATAACCTTCGACCAATTTTTTTTACGCTGCATCTACAGAAACTAACGTAAACGTAATATAAATTATTCGAAAAATAAAAATATGTATTTATTAAAGCATACTTAGTTCAAAAATATTAAACTCAGAGAAAAAGACACATTAATAATTGTGTTAAAAATTCGGTTAGTCGGTATAGAAATTTAAAGATATTTTAATAGGATAGACAGTGGTATATACATATTTTTAGCTTACGTAAATTAGCATTAATTTTACCTTTCATCACATATCCATATCTCTGCTAATAAGCGAACGATTGTGCGTTACGAGTTCATGTTTAATTAAAATCGGTTTCCTTTAAATTGAAACTAATGAATCTAGGCGAAATGACCCAGTAGCTTTAAAATAATAAAATCAATTTGGGCAGATATTAATGCAACACATTTTAGCTGTCGAATAAACACTGCAGTTAAACATTAGACTAACAATTGAACCCAAACTATTAGTTATTTCTGCAATAGATCAATCACATCAATCCCCAATACAAAACATGGTAATCACTTGATCAGATAAAACTACAAGTGTTTACTAATTCCACGCACACCTAACACTTACAATCATATTACCTACCTAAGGTAAACAATCTCACACTAAACACACATCACTGTACAAAAGACAATCTATTTCCACTGCGGTTAAACCTATTGAGAACTAATAATAATATCAGAACTTTATTGATCAGAATACTTGGTACTTAATAATTTACTCCCCGTATACTTGGTACCCTACTTAAACAGTTTTATGGCATCCACAAATAAACTGTCCTATATCACGGAATCATATTCATAGCATGCAGGGGCGGCTTCTGACGTACTAGTGTAAATAATTAAACAATTATAACCATCATTACGCATCGCTATAGACCTGTTAGAAATTAACGTCCACAAAAACATTTTTTCTGGTATTTTTACTTCCCGAGCGTAGGCTAATAGTAATAAGGAACCATAGTAACCGAGTCTATCGGACGAATTGCCACTTTCATATTTTCTCGGAGTATCATGACCTACAGAGTATGAAACAAGTGGCCTCTGAAGTTATAATAGTTTTTTTTTTTTTTCGATTTTATAAAATAAGATTATCCTGAACATGTAGTGTGTGAATCCGTTGACTAGACATCCAGATTTTTAGAAAAAAAATCAAAATTGTATAACAATATTTATTTTGCAATTTAATTTTGAAACTGCAAAACTGAATACTCTGAAATCTTGCAATTTGGTTGATCATACCCACCTACAATTTGATGACGTAATTTCAAAGAATTCTATTTTCTCGACCTTTTATGACCCCTAGAGTACGAAGAAATAGGTCTTCCGTTTCCATCTGTCTGTCTGTCTGTCTGTTTGTCCGTCTGTCTGTTGTCCGGATTGTTATTAAACTGATAATCTCCGGAAGGACTGGGCCGATTGTTATCAAATTTTGTATTTATATTAGGAGTATCATGTAGATGGTAAAACGCTGACCAACATTTGTCTAATCATCCCCACCTCAATTATATGATGACGTTACTTCAAAATTGTGTATAGTAAATGGGTTTTAAATTGTATAAAATAACATTGTTCTTCACAGGTAGTTTATGAATTCGTATTGAATTTTTACCCGAAACGACCAAATTTTTGGAAAAAATCAAAATTATAAAACATTTTGCAATTTAATTTTGAATCTGCAAAACCGAATGCTTTAAAATATTGCAGATGTTTTAAAGTTATGATAAGCATGATACATTTTTAATCAAAATATATTTGCTTATCCCCTCCCAAAAATTGGTGACGTTAGCTCAAAATTTTGCCGAATATATCGTGTATAAAATTTCCAAAATATGATGAGTCTATACTTGTGATTTATCATTCCAATAATATTTTTTAGATTTGCTTATACAGAGTAAAATCGAATGCTTTGAAATCTTGGAGATGTTTTAAAGTTTTCATAAGCATAGTAAATTTTTGCTCAAAATCCTATATTAAATATACAAAATATGATAAGTCTATGTATATTTGTGATTTATCACTATTATCACGTTGACAAGCAATTTATTGCAAAAAAACTGAATGTTAATGTGCCCCATTAACATTCAATTAAAATAAAGTGAACAGAAATGTCAATGTATTGTTGGTTGCGTACTACACTCGTAAAATATCTGCGGATGTCACCTTAAGTTTTAAATTCAGTGGAATGAACAGAGCTTTCTTTAAAAAAAAATATCGCGTGAAGAGCTCACTTTAACTCCTCCAGAGATTCTGTAAACCGCAAATAACGCAACGGCGAATTTGCTTCCTGAAAAAAGCAGACCTCTATATGAGAAAACATACAAAGCATTTGTCATAGCATTTATAGCAATTTGTACCTTGGTGCGAACAAAAAAATAGAGTGTGTTACTCAGAGTCCGTTCTTTGGGCTTATTTTTCCGAAATTGCCGAAAAATGCCTGATAAGTATGCTGTCACATCTATCACACAAAAACAGATTTTAATAAGTAGTTATGTATGTTTGGTTGCATATCACACACATCAAAAATAATCTGTAGCTTTTTATTGAAAATTACGATTGTCGAAAAAATTTTGTAACCAACACGTAGTGTAATGGCGACTAACGACCTCGGCAATTAATTAGGCGCGAGGAAAGTTCTATCGAAACAGATTGTTATGATATCAGCATAAGTCCACAATGGACAATCATTCTGCAGACCTATATCCTGCCACGTGCAAGATGCGCTTCCACACTTGCATCAATATCAACATAAGAACCCCAATTCAGCAGTTTTCCTCCTTATAAAAGACATCGGAATAAATCATTTTTCAGTTCAAAAGCATCCGCCATCCGCGTAACTAAGTTCAGAAGCATCCGTCATCCGCGTAGTTTAGAAGCCTGTCATAATCGCGCTCTCCCAATAAGTTGTAATTATTTTGAATAATTGTGAAGTAGAAATAAGTGAATAATCAAGTAATCGTGAATAATCAATCAATATAAAATAATCCAATAATTAATAATCAAGTGTAATAACAATAATTGTGAATAAAAGAAAAGTTCTTTTTAAAAACAAGTTGATTAAACCAATAAACTTAACTAGCTTTCGACCAATTTTTTTCTCTCGCGCTGTGTATTATCTATGTTTATGACGACATAACAAATTTGTATTGATCAAATTAAGAATAGTTCACCCTATTTTCTCGAAAAGGTGAAAATGCCCAAGTCTTGATGTGTTTTGAGGCGCCAAAATCATTAAAATCAAACAAATTTATACGTGACATTCTTTCGATATGCAAACAAACATTTAAAGCTAAAGCTAGTTATTGCTGAGAGGCCATTTTTCCCGTTTTGGTTATCTGCTTTAAATATATTTTACAGTGTATATAGAGTATAGAGGTTATCACAAAACAAACATCTCAAAATGTAATTTTTCAAAGAAGCGGGATTTTTTGGACTTGTGCTTCAGGAGCGAGGGAAGTTCTGCCGAAATAAACTTCAACCATTTTTTTAAAATTCTTTAATATAGGTGCTCATGTAGTTGCAAATTTTTTACGTTAAAAGAAAGATCTATATAATGTTAAAGTAAATGAAAAGAAGCGTGCTACACGTTTGTTTCAAGTGAGTGTTTCCATTACAAAACAATAATGTATTCCCAAATTTTTGGGAAAATGGAGTCGTTCTTGAATGAATCAATACAATAAACTGCCTCATTAGTTTTTTTTTAGTCACCCTATGACTAATGTGCACTAATAAACCACAACTATAAGGCCATAATATTTTTCATACTTCAGAGAGGATTTATTCCGCAAAATTTTGAGAGAACATCATCATTTTTTTGGGAGGGAAAACGAATAAATTTTGAATAACCATTTGCCATGCCCACGATAACCTTAAAACGTTTTGCAGTTTCAAAGTTAAGTTGAAAAATGTTAAATTTCGATTATTTTTCCAAAAATCTGGACATCTAGGGTGAAAACACAACACTGATTCTTACACCACAAGTGCAGGAGTATCTTATTTTATAAAATTAAAAAATATATTGTAAATTTTAGAGATGACGTCATCCCATTGGTGCTTTTTGTTAGCGTTTTACCATCTACAAGATATTCCTAATATACGTATAAAATCTGATAACAATTACGCCGGTAGTTTCGAAGATGATCTGCCTAAAAAAATCGACACAGACAGACGCACAGACGGAAACGGGAGACCTATGTTTTCGTACTCTAGGAGTCAAAAACGTCGAGAAAACATGAAATTGGCAAGTTGACCGTTGGACTCTATTCCTTTTTACTTCCTTAGCCTACGCTGAAGAAGTAAAAAATCAGCAATTTTATAAGTGAACCCCTATCTCAAATACCTAATCAGTGCTTTTTAGATGGTTCCTTTCAAAATGAGTTAAAACTCATATAAAATTGTGAAATCTCACATAACTATTTGTTCTTAGTATTTAGCTGTTTCGTACAATAGCTCCACCACCATCTGGAAATACTGCATCGTCATGAAGAATAATTTCGTTTCTGCTATTGGAATTTTATTAAAATAATGATACAGAATGCAAGATAAGTATATGACAACGTTGTGGCGATCTGAATTTTGAAATTAATTCCAACGAATTGCACAAATTTTAATTCAAGATGATTCTTCGCGATTACGTTTTCGTTTTTCGAGATCTTGCCTCTAATTTTCTTAAACTTTACGTAACCTATTGTAAGCTTGCGTTTTCTCAATTAATCTTCGCTTTTTTTCTGAGGGTATTATTCTCTTTAAAAAATTTGTTTAGTTTATCAAATGATTTGATTTTTAACAATTTGTTTAACTTACCAATGAATTTTTCCAAAGTCGAATTAATCTTGATCATGACAGTTGCAGTGTTCTTTGCCAGTCTGCGAAAAATTTACTTTTCACTGCAAACTGCATCATACAATGTCAAAACGTCAAAATATCCAAGCCGATAGAGAACACTTTTTGTTTGATATAATCAATTCCTCCATAACCCCTGCTGACTAATAATTCCATTACCTATTAGCGATACCTTTAGAGATGGAGGTCGCCGCTGTTTTAGGTAGCCACAAATGGAAACGATGCTAAGAAAACTAGTCCCATGCACAAAATGGTTACTCCGCCTCCGATAAACAACATAGATAATCCTACAACTGTTTCGTCAATTTGGTGTACAGTGTTTGATGTTCAAACCTACATTTGCAAGGTCCGCCGTCTCAGCAACGGGAGAACATTTTGCCACATGGAGTGTCGTACATCATCAGGCTCAGATTCTAGAAATCTGTAGATATTCTAGCTTCGATGACCATGATCTTGTCCTGCAGGCTTACATTCAGCTCTTTGATATTTTCTAGCTGCAAATTCAAGCAACACAATCTTGACAGAAGGTGTTTTAAGAAAATTTTGTCTTGTTCTTTTGGGATTAGATTGCTCATAAAGCTAGAATTTATTTAATCTTTTATGTATTGTATTTCTTTTTCTATTGGGATTCTTGGCTTCTTTAAACTCGTTTATAGACTTGGTTTCTCAAGACTTGTTGAAAATGTCACGATATAGTTCCTTCCTTCTTCGATTTCGCCCTGTTCCAAGTAGAAATCTGCCAGGTCAAAGGCTTAATAAGGATTGTGATTGATCTCTCCACGGAAAGACGTCTGAAACATAAAACGCCCAAAATTGTCTCTCCGAACATATACGTATTTTTTCGAATTAGGAAACTGCAACTGTTCTCTGTACAACTTAGCGAACAATGCGTACAAAGTATCTTTAAAATATAGCTCTTTAACAAAATTCTTTCCCATTTTTTCTGACCTTTTCACTTCAACGTAATCCCTGTCATCCTTGATTGAGCCATGTAAACCGCCGTTTCTTTCTACAATTTTGTCTGTTTTAAAATTTGTCACCCTGCCTGCGATATTTGTAGTTAATAGATATTGCCGACTTTAACCCTTTCTTGCGTTTCGGCAGCGCGTTCTTCTCGATAATAAAGTCGAACTCTAAACTGCTCATCTACCAAAAACTGTAGGTTGTATTCGACAGTCATTAGATCTTCTTCTGATTCGAAAACAACTAAGTAGCTCTACCGTCATCGATGAACGAAAGGATTTCCACAGTTATTCGATCAGTCCATTCGTCATCCTCGACTACGATTCCCGGAAGTTCGCGAAATTGTTTTGCTTTATACGTTGGAATTTTAACGAAATAGATGTGGTATATCCTAAAAAGAAGGTCTTGTTCAGCTTCAGAACCGAGCGTACCTATCATTCCATATATATGTACGTGTTCATATATGTTAACGTAGCCGAGGTTAGAAAAAAAACTAGTCGTGAGCGTTTCGTAGGTGAGCTCAATATTTTGCTTGAATTGCACAAATTGATGCAATCCTTTACTCCCAACTGTGTTCATCATCGCTACACCTGTATTTTGATGCTCGATTAGTGTCATTTTTTTCCTCTATTTTCGTCCATTATCAGACGATATTGTATATGCTCATGACATTGATATTTCGCGTGTAGCGCGCTTGTAAGTTGCGTCTCTAGTTGGCTAGTTACGTACTCCTTTAGATGTTTTGGTAGGAACAGGATGTTCATCGGTTCGGTTTCTTTGATTTTTCCTTTAAAGATTTTATTTTTGTCATTGGATTTGTCTTCCAGATACTCCTCGTAAAGGATCTGAACCTCCTCGGTGGGATTATTCAACACAAATGATTTGATTTTCTATTTCGACTCGTCAGCGTACACCTCTACTTGGCATTCTAGACACTTATCGAAGTTTTTGGTTCAGTGAGGCAGCCCCTTTGGCGTTTAGTTTCTACAACAAAAACAATATTTTACTGATAAGTATAAACAATTTGAAATTATTGTCAGCTTAGGTGCATGACATAGCTGAAAATTAAAATTAAAAATTTATTAAAAAAAAAAATGGTTAAACAGAAAAGAGAAACGAACATATTTATTGAATGCTTAAAAAAGTGCTTGACATGAACCTCTTCAAACTCTTAACGGGAATAAAACCTGTTATTTTTTTTATTTCAACTAAAAGTGTTCGGGAAACACGGTTTGCACATAATAAGGTCCTTTATATTATTTTACCGATTTTGTCAAATTATTTGTTTTTTGCTCTTTTTGCATGTGAAATTTTTCACTAGTGATTACTGTAACAATGTCCACAGAGCTGTTAGTGAAAACTATCACAACTGTCTGGTTCAGAACTTCATTAATCACTAACAAGAAAACCCACTAATACTTACTTCGAGTGATATTAGCATCTAGCATCACGTTATGTCGAAACTGTGTGGTTGGTGATTTTTTGTCTACTGGAAACAATTTTGAGACAAAGGTCTGAAGATATAAATTTTCAACTATAGATGAGTCTGTTGCAACAGTAAAAGACGCTGTTGTTTCATTAACGGTAGGTAGCTAAGTATTTATTTACATCGTGAGCAACGCTATTTTTGTTGATTTTTGTCCTATGCAGCCAAAAGTTAAAAACGAAAATCTGAAATTCAGAAATTGTTAGCTATAGATTAAAAACTTACCACAAACGACTGTTCTGAACAAACCAAATTGGCTAAAACTAACCTACGGATGAGTTCTAATTTAAGGAAACTAGCTATGGAGAAAACTACGCCGTTATAAGGTGAGAAATTAAGTCAAAATTGTTTGGAATTTTTTTAGGCAGTGTTGGTTCAGTGATGAAAAGGACTGACTGACCAAGAACATTTGTATTAGAAATGACAACTACGTTTTGCGCATGGGACAACAACCTACTTTAATACACAGCCTTACCGAATATTTGTTAGAGTTAGAAACTGGTACTAGAAATTTTGAAATTACATAAATCTCTTAAAAAATTTAATAAGAAACGTCAAAGTTTACCATGGCTACGATTGTAGAATAGATAGGTTGATACACTAGCATTAATATCCGTATATCCCTGGTCAGCAACGCTAATTGCCGATCGGATCGCCTGGTTTTAGAGGACCAAGAGACTCCACTGGTGCTATGGACCACGACCTATTATAGTAACCAGTTATTAATTGATTTGTACTAAATTTCATTGTTTTTTACTCATTTTACGACTCCCTGTTGAGTTTTACCCGAAACGTCCAGATTTTTGGAAAAAAAGTCAAAATTATAAAATAATATTTTGCAATTTAATTTTGAATATACAAAACCGAGTTCTGAATGAAATCTCTCAGATGTTTTAAAGTTATGATAAGCATAATAAACTTTTAAACAAAATAAATTCACTTATCCCCTTCAAAAAATTGATGACGTCAGCTCAAAATTTTGTACGATTGATTTTGTCTATGTATTAAGAAATCTCATGCACCTAGATGGTTAAATGCTAACCAAAATTTGGATAATCATCCCTACTAATAATTTGATGACGTCATTTCAATGAATGGTATTTTAAAATGATTTGATTGTTACACACAAAAATATATTTGTAGTGTCCGAATCCGCTTTCAGTTGTTTCGCTAAACGTTCAAATTTTCACAAAAAAATTTGCAAGGTTGTGGTGACCGAATTTGAATCAAATTTTCGCGCTGAAATTAATTAACAGCGGCGCAAAATCACATTTGAATAATTTCCGATGATGACACAGTTTTCTCCCAACATGTGTACCTAATTCTTGCGGCCTTTTAATCGGAAAAAAGTGCGGACTTTCGTTCAACACGTGATCTAGATTAGTTTTGTTGTTTGTAAATTCACCAATCAAGTTAGTTTTTTTAATCGTCAGCTAGTGCTAACATAATTTAACAATCAGGATTATTTAAATAAACCACTTGCTAGAAGATTTCATGAAATTCGCTTAGTCAGGGTAACAATTCTTTGTTTAGCAAATTACGAATAAGTTTCTGGATGCATATACGTAAGTGTTACATTATAACAATAATTCTTCACACAAGATTACTAATAGTTCATTTACGGCAGTTAAACTAACTAATTCATACCGCGAACTGACGGGGGGTTAAAATGATTTCTTCCCTTAGGCGGTTATCATCGTTATTATCATCGTTATCATGATTACATCACTGAGGCATGTCCTCACAACGCTAAAGATTGATTACATCATCGAGGCATTTCCTCGCTACGTTAGAATTTACATCATAGAGGCATTTCCTCGCAACGATAAAATTTACATCACCGAGACGCTTTTTCCTCGCAACGATGACTGGATATTTTGTGTTTATTTATTATGTGTTTTGTTGGGGTAACCAGTTCGCGGTATTCTAAACTCTCAAAGTAAATTGTTTTTAAGTAACCAATCACTTGGATTATGACATAATTTGGCATAGAAACATTTTTTTTTCAAGGCCATAAATTCACTAGAGAGTAAATGGCGCAAGTGCGTTGATGTAGGCTAGGGGGTGATTATATAGAAAAATAAAATTATGCACAAAATCGTATGTCTTTTGTTTCATAGTCAGGTAGATAATATATTTAGTGGCCCTCGTACTATAGCCTTCGACCAAGTTTCTATTGATCAAATTAAGAACCCCATTTTCTAGAAAATGTGGGAATAACTCACGTTTTTATTTAATTATGATCAAATAAAAATAATAATCAACATTCAAAACTCACTCAAATTAAACAAATTTCTACGTGACATTCTTTCGATGTATAAACATAAACAATCGAAGTTAAGGCTGTACGACACCGCGAGAAAATTTCATCTCCGGGAAATATGCAACTTGTAAAACAACCACGTTATGATAGCTGCCACTCATCTCTAATGGTTAAAATCGTTCGCTTCGTTAACAATAATTTTATTACTGCTATTGTAAGCTGGGCACAGTGACGTAAGTAGCACCCCAGCAGACCCCTCAATGCGGGGGGGCGCAGACTGTAACTTTACCGATATATTTTTTTAAAATGTGCAAAGGAGTAAGTACATATTTATATTACTTTTTAAATTTGGTGTATGGGGGCGCTTACTACATATAAACTGCGGGGGGGCGCAGTGGAAGTTAGCTACGCCACTGGCTGGGCAAGTGTAGTTCTCGGCTTGAAGGTACAGCAGGGTAGGGAACTAAATTATTATGAAAGAAAACAAACAATATTTCTTAGCTTACGCTCGGGAAGTAAAAACGCAAAAACACATCGATTAGTATATAACAATTGCCATTTTGTAACATTTGTTTCAAAATTTTTGAGCCATTTTTGACAGATGTATGACGTCATCGATAATTTTTTTAAATAGCACCTCCTATTTTTTAGCATACTCACTAGTCCTATAAAAGAGAAATTTGTGATATGTGGTTTAACCTAATTTACTGTCATAAAAAATGAAAAAAAGCCAAATGTGTGTTCTAAAATAAATTAATAAATTCATTGTCAGACTCTAATGAGATCTTTACTTGCAATACACGTAAGAAAAAAATGTTTGTTCATATACATAATTCTCCGACCATAATTCTTACCACAATTCTTACTCTTATTTTTAAACTCCTGTTTCCTCAAAAACTGTATGTGTACATTTTCTGTAAGTAGGTAGAAAAGCAAAATTTGCAAGAATATTTTATTGTAGGTAGCTTGGTAATCTTACGTTTTTCCAACCCAAGTTTAGTGGTAAATGGTCATCGAATTGTTGACATAGGGTTATAAAACTTGTTCATTCACTGTTGCTGGCATAATTAATGAAACACGTTTGTTTTCAAAAGTATTTTTATTTAGATATGTAAAATTGTCGTTTGGTAGAAAAATTTAGCACAGAAAATTGCAATATAATTATTTAAAATTCAGAACTGCTATTGTGGAGGCAATAAAGCATCGCAAAAATGAAAATGTTCCTTTTCTCCAAAAAGTAGAAAATTTAAAAGCAGATATTTTAAGTTGCGCCTCATAGTCTTGTCTAAAATTTGGACAAATTGAAAATCCAATAGAATATTCCAACTTTTTGAATAGTGATTTATATTCTCATTTTATGGCAGCGTTAAGAAGAATAGCAAATTTATCAAACAGCCGTTTATATGACGTCGATAAAAATCCTGTTGAATCATTTAATTCCATATACCTAGACAATAAATTTGTGAGGAACAAAAGAATTAACTTTTCATTAAGGGGTTCCTACCTGGGAAAATGCTTTGCTGCTGCAGTAAACTATAAAAACAAGAAAACATTTTATTTAAGTTACTGCAAAATATTTTAGGAGTAAATTATGTAGGCACCTACACAATAAAATTTTCGGAAAATGTATTTAAAAAAAATTAGAACGAAAGACAAAATTAAAAATATTCGTGTTGAGCATACGAAAATCAAATTGTAGAGAATGAAATTGTTGACATGCTTGCTGAAGAACATGAGAAAATTAAAGCAGATTTTTTGGACGATATTAATAAAACCAATGTTACAATCATTCCACATATATAACAGGTCAACGCGACAATGATGAATGGAACAAGCATACTCGTAGAAACAAGAGACTAATAGCTAGCACTTTTGGTACAGTGACCAAAATGAAACTTACGACTAATACAATAAATAGATTAAAGATTTATTAAATAAAGTTGGTCGTTCAAAATTTAAAAAACTGCCCAATTCACTCCAATGGGGTAATGACAACGAAGAAGTAGCAAGAGAAAAATTTATACAATCTACAGGTGAACCAATTTTTTTTTATAAAGGAGGTTGGATGCAACATTAGTTGCATACTTCTAATGCATGAACAAAGTATAGATATCATTATTATCATTCAGAAGGGACAACTCACTATTTTTACTGACCCGTTTTCATGGATAGTCGTTTGTCTTGTGAGCATATGAGGGCGCGCAACGCAAGGTACTTCTCTTTCTTACACATTGTACTGCGGTACTTTGATGATCTAGTGACTTTAATGTGAAATATTTGAAATTTGGCAGTTTAGTTGCATGGATTTTGATGATTTAAGGCTGATCTGCCGGTGTAATTATTGCAGTTAAGTGTAATTTTCACAGAGACATTTTAAAAAGCATTGTTCATGTTTTGATAGGACCATTGTTTACTGTTTAATTTTCTTGTAAAAAATTAAATGTACGTATATTAGCGTTTTCTAATAACGTTGAATTATACAACCATTTACAGTCATCATGAAAAAGAAATTAATGAAAAGTAAAATTCTAATCAGAGAAGCGGGGCCAAATCTAAATTTCAACACAGCATCTCTGTTATAGGGCGCTTAATTCATTATTTATTATAATAGTGTGATAACCCAAACTTCCCGCCTTAAAATTTTGACCTTGAAACAGTTTGAAAGGCCCGCGAAAAATTCAAAAAAATTCAAAGTTTGGCCTTGGCTATGATCGTCTAACAAATGAGAACCTACGTTGTGTGTTTTTTTTTTTTTGCTTTTGAAAAATGGCGGGAAGAAGTTCTTTCATACAAGTGCATACACTGTCGAGAGCGCAAGAAATAATTAACAGAAATTGTTTTGGAGGGGGGGGAAACGGCACCACCCTCACAGGGGGAAATACGCTGCGAAGATTTACCCCTCAGCGCAAAAACCCCCTTGGTTTTATTCCCGGACGACATTTTATTACATTTCAAACACCTTAAGATATGTGAAAGAAAAACACTCGCGAATTGACTGAAAGAAAAACACTCGCGAATTGACTGGAAGAAAAACACTCGCGAATTTACAGACATACACATACGAAAAACGAACAAACGGAAATTCTGTACATCTGTTTGGAATCAATGCAAATATTGGAATATCACAAGTTTAATAAAACAAAGCAAAAACCGAATCAAGTAACTGGATGCAAGTACACAAGTTATTACAGGCGTGTGGCGGCCGACCTCTTTTCCCTTTTTTTTGTTACGGCAGTTAACAGGAGCACAAGAAAAGTACCCCTGGAGCGTTGTGGCATAAGCGGAGTCTGAGCTACCGGTCTGGAACTGTTCTCCCCCCGCGACGGTGATTCTATCTATCGCAAAGCCTACCCCACACGCATATCCCATGACGAACTTTGCCCTGCGGAACTAGGCCATTACGGTCGTCCAACCCGCAAGAGATCTAGGCTATGTACAGGAGCCTAGAAATTTACATATTTTACATTTTACATTTACATTCAATCTCTTATAACTCTGATGTTAACAACAACTGAACAAGTGTTAAAGTTTCAAAGAGCAATAAACAACATTTAAATTCGCCATACAATCTTGTGAAATCTTAAACAACAAATAATTCTTATGTGGGATTAAAGTTGGACATCAAATAATTTATATGATAGAAAACATTCATCAACAAAGTATTTACAAAACAAAACTTAGCAAGGATTTATGAGACGAAAGATCTGGTGTGAAATAAACTTGTACAAATAGAAATGTTATGTGAGGTTAGAACTGTAGAACATGAAATTTACGTTCAATTAAATTTATACAACAAATAAAATTACTGAGGTTAAGATTGTGAGATTAAGAAATATAGTATGATGTGAAAAATTGCAGAGTTAACATAATTTACAGGAGATTAATATTTGCCACACTTTATCAACGGTTCAAACAAAGAGTTTACATTATGCCAAATTATATCATGATCTAAATGATTGGTTACTTCAAAAATAATTTACTTTGAGAAGTTAAAATACTACGAACTGGTTACCCCAACAAAACACATAATAAACAAATACAAAAATATCCAATCATCGCTCCGAGGGAAAAAGCGTCTCGGTGATGTATCCAAAATCGTTGCGAGGAAAAAGCGTCTCGGTAACGTAAATTTTCTGTAGCGTTGGGGGCATGCCTTAATTAATTAATCAATCTGGCGTTGCGAAACATGCCCCGATGAATTAATCGTGATAACGATGATAACCACCTAAGGGGAGAAAATATCATAACCCCCCGCCAGTTCGCAGTATAATGAACTTGTTTAACTGCCGTAAATGAACTATTAGCAATCTTGTGTGAAGAATTTAGAAGTGTTATAATGTAACACTTACGTATATGCATCCAGAGACCTATTCGTAATTAAACATAAGGTGTTTTTCCTGACTAAGTGAATTTCATGAAATCTTCTAGCAAATGGTTAATTTAAATAATCCTAATTGTTAAATTGTGTTTGCTCTAGCTGAGTATTAAGAAAAAGTAGCTTGATTTGTGAATTTTCAAACAAAGAACAGATTCACAACACGTGTTCGCGTCCGACCGGAAGTCTGCAATTTTCGATTTAAAAGGGCGCAAGAATTTAACACGCGGGTTGGGGACAACTGTATCATTATGAAAAATACGTTTGATCGTCGTTAAACAAAGGCTTCCTCCCGTTTTATTAACTACCAAACCAACTAATTTAAACCTAGTTCTTACCACGTGGTCACACACACACAGCCACATTCATAATGAATCTACCATGCGGTTTTTCTACCAACCCTCTAACTGAAATTACCCTAGCGCTACGTGCTGCCACCTACTCAGAGATCATGCAAACTAACTCCTAAGCGCTACGTGCATTAGACCATCCATGCATATTTGGTTGCCTATGTTTAAGGATTTCCTTTTTGTGATTGAACTCTTTTTTTTTTTTCAAATTAAAATTATTCAAATGTGATTTCGCGCCGCTGTCAATTAATTTCAGCGCGAAAACTTTGATTTAAATTCGGTCACCACAATAGATTGTGTGGTTTCTAAGATCAACTAGTTACAAAGTGTTATTGTTATTAGTATTACACTATTTTAAATTCTTTTCCAACAATTCATTTGCACAAAGTGTAGTAAATTGTGTACACGAATCAATTTTAAAATGAAGCGTTTGTGATACTTTTTAAATTGGGTAGCGACATCTAGAAATATTTTGTGCAACGACCACCGCTGACGGCTTAAAATTCGGGTAAGAAAGATGAAAGGCGCCGACACGAGTTGTCCCTACTGATTGATCTCTATACTGTGGCATAAATGTGTGTTTTTTTAAAACTGGACACAGAGATTAAACCCATACAGAGGGTTAATAGTGTCCCGGTATATTTTCGTTGAAAATTGTTCTTTTTTTATAAAATCTAATTGCTAAAGGCTGCTTTGAGGCCCTTGGTTACTATTAAAAAACCGTTAACGGCGCCGACCGTAAAAATTAAATCACAATAATGAATACAATAATCTAACATAAGTTATGATATAACCAATTAAAACCGAAATGCATAACACTTTTAATAAACAACTGTTAACAATGACAACGTCCTGCTTACACTTAATCATTCAGTTTTTTTCAACAGTTTTGAAATTAAAAATTAATATGAACCTATGGCAAGTACATTACAAAAACCATTGTCCAATTCACTACACCTACACTGCTTTTATGTAGATGAATGGATAAAATAACAAGAATTTCATCAACTACATATGAAAACACGGGCAAAATTTATTCAAAATACAGACAAATTTTACAAATAATAACCTAACTTAAAAAACTGACACATGTGAAATACCTTATTTATTCAAGACCACAAAAAAAAATGAAAATGGAGTATTCAACAAAAAAAATCCTAACTTTAACGACCAATAATCAGTGACCATACCTGCAAATAATCCATAATTATTTCCATCAATACCTACTTAAAAAAACTTACTTTTGGAACTCCCATTCTCTATTATCTAAAGGACAAACCTGTCTAGTCTTCAGCCATCGTGAGATGCAGTGAAAATGAAACGCGTGCTAGATAATCAAAACAATATTAAAAAAATTAATCTCACTCCAAACATTAGAACACTTACATTGCAAACCCCCCATGCCACTGTGCACTCTTCACTAGTGGCAGACGCTTGATTGGCTTGACACTCAATGCACAAGTCCATTATGTGGTTTCGACAGATCGCACAGTTGTCAACAACAATATCTAAAATTATTAAATTGTATAAAAGTAACACAAAGTAAATGGTTCACATACCCCATGCCCACAGTGCCACAGCATTCCACTAGAAAAATGAAAATCATTACGAAAAGTCAGGTTATGTTTAAGTATTTACCTTTTTTACTTCGAAACGTTTCTTCTCGCCCTTGGAACTGCTGGAGGTTGGAACTTCGACTTCGTCTACATCTACATCCATTGCCGATGCCATCGTTATTTAAAAATACGTCTTATTTAAGCAAAAAGTTTTTTCTGAAACCTAAATTTTCTTTCAAGTTGACAGTTCAACTAGGGAATTTGACCAATGACTATAATGAGTTGCTGTAATGCTAACAGTGACGCGATATGCGACAGTGGCGTAGAGATGCGAACATCGCATAAAAAACGTTATATTGCCTTTCTGATGTCATTGGAAAAAAGTATTGACGTTCGATACATCCACGTTTTTTATTTAATTTATGAGCAAATAATATGGAGTATGTTCTAAACATTTTGAAGAAACATGCTAGAGTACTGGAATAGCCTATGGCTAGACTTCGCCTATTATTATTTAATAAAGTCCTATTATTATTATTATTATTATTATTATTATACTTCCCTCGCTGTCGGAAACATGATGACAGCATCCTATTTTTTTTTTCTCATTACATTTTTGTAGCGGGGCAATTTAAAAAAAAATTGCAAGGACACGTATATCAGTTTGGATAGATGTAGTGTAATACTAAAAATAAAAGTACTGTATTGACCCTTTTACTGTAAGCAAAGTGAGTAGAGATTATATAAATTCCAGTGATACAGAGTGAGACAACATCGCGCAGGCGAAGTCAGATTTTTGGAGCGCCAAGTTAAAATTAACCAATGAGCGACAGGTTACGTGTGTTTCCGGTTGCAGTTTGTCAAAGCGGTTTGTCGTCACAGACCTTTGCTCTGCTGCCGGAGTGCCGGATACTATTTCCAGCGTGGTTTTGAAGATGCGTGCGCACGAAAAGTCACTACGGAAGTTTTACGATCTTACAGGAAAAAGGTCAATTCCCAAATTTTCGGGAAAATGAATTGGGTTGTCTTGAATATTGATTTATAATAATCAACAGAAGGACACACAGACGGGCAGACAGACGGAAACGGGGGACCTATTTCTTCGCACTCTAGGGGTCATGGAAGGTCGAGAAAACGTAAAAGTAGAGAGTTGGTCGACGGACTCGATTACAATACTTCCTTAAAGTAGTAAAAAATATGAATGGAATGATAAATCACAAGTACAGACTCACATTTTGTCCATTTTAGATAGGACATATTCAGCAAAACTTTGGAATGACGTCATCAATTTTTTAGGGGGGATGAGCAAATACATTTTGATTAAAAATTTACCATGCTTATGATAACTGTAAACCATCTCCAAGATTTCAAAGTATTCGGTTTTGTAGTTCCTGATTAAATCACAAGTACAGACTCATCATATTTTGTACATTTTAGATAGATTCGACAATCTTTTGAGGTGACGTTATCAATTTTTTGGAGGAGCAAGTAAATATATTTTGAATAAAAATTTATCATGCTTATCATAACTGTAAATCATCTGCAAGATTTCAAAGCATTCGGTTTTGCAGACTCCAAATTAAATTTCAAAATGTTGTTTCATAATTTGGATTTTTTTTTCAAAAAATTTCGGGTAAAACAGACGGACAGACAGACGGAAACGGAGACCTATTTCTTCGTCTTCTATAGGGGTCATGAAAGATAGAGAAAATGTAAAAGTAGAGAGTCGGCCGACGGACTCAATTACAATACTTCCTTTCCTGGTCTTATCATAAGTTAGTAAATGTAATAACTTTTGGCAAGTTTTTTTAGATCCTTTACAAATATATAATTACTACATCCTTCATCAGCAGGCACGTGTTCCTTGTAAGATGGCAAAAATTACTTTCAATTCCCACTACTACAATTCTCTATCATCTACTAGATTTGTATTTGGACATCTTTGATATATTGTTACACTTAAATAGTACAATTAAGTACCACGTGATGGCGGTCATCCTTCTACAATCTACTACGATATCAGTTTTAGAGCGCCCGTTTTAGGAGTGGAGTTGAAACACCTGAGTTATACCACCGTGGTCATTATTCTGATGCGATGTACCAATTCGGCTATCTAACTTTGGAAGTGTTGTAGAAATCAATCTTGTGTCCTCATAATGGCTGATGGGAAAAAAGTGTTTACAGATAGTGAATTCGTAGAACTACAGATCGAACGCTACAGACCGCGATATCTGAAAGATGAAAGTGAGTTCAAGAAATGCACAACTAACGCTAAACGAATGAATTTTTTTCTAAATAACGAGAAAGAAGTTGCACATATAAAATCCAAAATCCAGCAAATTAAACCCCACGTTACTAAATCTGATGTCAGGGCATCCGAATTAAGAAAATTAGGGAATGTTCAATTCCAAAACAAAAATGGTAAAGATGCACTGAAACTTTATACACAAAGTCTCAGTTTCGCTAAGAGTGATGAGGAGGTGTCATTTGCATATGGCAACAGATCTGCAGCACTTTTTGGTCTGGGTTTATATGAAGAATGTTTAGAGGTGAGTCTTTAATTAATTTGCTGTGTACTTTGATCATGCCTGAAAATCATAACATGTAGTTGTGGTCAATAAATTTGTGTACTTACCGCTCTTATCAGTGTTTGTAATATGAAACTGTTGGGTTTTATTTAGCTTTTTTTGTTAACTGTATTTTTACAAATGTTTTTGTTGCGAATTTTTATAAAAAGCCCTAGAAAATTGTTCAAAAAATTGTAGTGCTAAGTGTGTCCGATTAAACTGCTTCAAAAATGTTTCCAATAATAATTAAATGCGTAATTTTCCGCCACCAGCCGACTGATTGATGCTGGAGGCCTTCATTACGTGTATCCATAGAAAAAAAACTCTTTCTCATAAGTCATGATCTTCAGATTTCCACCGTTACTAAACTTAACTTTGATAATATCCGATGGGCTTTTCATATTTGAAAGATATATTGGTAGTCGTCATTAGGCCCATAATCGGTGTCGGGTCTTTAGACGTTTTATACTACCCATAATTTTAACAGGTGTTTTCACTGCACTTACAACTCGCTAAACGAGAAGTGCACACCAAACACATGAATAAATAGGTGCCTTTTTGGCATTTTCCACGTCTTGTCTTACGAAATTCCATTTATCTACCAGCCTAAGTGTGATCGCTATTCTCCCAAACGCACTGAAACATGGGTGATTGTCTACGTTACTGAAATTATTTTCAATTTTTCTTTTCTTCCTCAGCGCGAAATTTAAATTTTCAACTGAGGACACCAAAATACCTAATATCAGTGAATTCAAATAGATTTAATCAATTACAGGAAGTAAGTGACATCATTAAATTCATCAATAGAACAAAAAAAAAACGGTTGAATGCTATTGTTAGAAGGGTTAAGATCTAACTTAACTAATGATTTTATTGTAATTAAATTTTTATTGTAAAAATAAAACTATATGTAAAAACATCTTTTCTTATAAGTAGCAAAATTCTTTAATTTAAAGAATTACAATTTTCCAAAGAGGGGTGCATGTTTGAATCATTTATATAGTATAGACTCATTATGAAGTCGCGTAAAGTTTTAAAAAGGTTTAGGGGTGGTTCTATACTTTGTGAACGCCTTATGTTAATTAAAAAATATATGCAACTACATATTTAAGAAACTGTAAGAAAAGATATTGAAACCAAAATTACAGACCTTTATGTATAAAGTCTAAAAAACAAGCAGCTAATAAAATATCTGTAAGATCTGTATAAGTATTTGAGTGTAGATTTATGTGCGAAAGTTAGATTTTTTTTCTTTTACACACTGCGGATTATTGACCAGACTAGAAAGCAGAGTAGTTATTTGGTCTCGTTTTTGACTTAGATTTTGACTCGAAATTTGAATTTTCGCGAATGCACCGGTGGGAAATTGATCAGTTTGCAAATATTAAACAAATACAAGTCAAAGAATTATCATACGAACGGTAACAGCAATGAATCTTTTCTTGGAAATATATAGCGAAAATATATCCACCCTCCATGGTATCGGTAGAATTTCCCGTTTCCAATAGAAAATCGAACGCAATGTGCAGCGGAAATGCACAAAACCTTTTCTAAAGATATAAAGTAGAACACTAAAATGTAAGAATGTAACTGTATTAATTTTTGCAGGACATCGATAGAGCCTTCAAGCATGGTTATTCTGAGAGTCGAAGTGCCAAACTCTTCAAGAGAAAGGAGGATGCGACAAAAGCATACAGTAGTCGGAAAAAAGTCGTTAAAGTTAAAACATATGAAATTCCACAATCGGAAATGAATCCCTCAATTCAGTCGGCAAGAAACTGCATCGAAATACAAACGAACGAAAAATACGGTCGTCACATAGTAGCTTCCAGAGATATCGCAATTGGCGAAGTCCTAGCCGTTGACAAACCATATGCGGTTGAATTACAAGCTGATATTTCGTCTGATCCATTCTTGTTTTGCTGTGAGTGCCTTAAGAACTGTTACAATGTAATTCCCTGCCGCAATTGCAACGAAGCATTGTATTGTACTGAAGCATGCAAAGCAAAAGCTTTTCAAAATTATCATAAGTACGAATGTTTAATTTTGCCTTACGTAGAAGAACTGTTAGGAATCAAATTTGATTTCTGGTTGTTTTCTTTAAAAATCACTCTTTTGGCAATGACCGAAGAGAAAAACGACGAAACGATGTATCGTTCTGACAGGTACAAAGAGATTTCAGAATTAGAAGGTCACAGTAATGCAGATCCACCAGAAAAAACATACGTTTGGACTTTCTTAAGTGCTAGCATTTTTATTTTGATTAAAGAAAAAATTAAAATATTTAAAGAGTTTGAAGTATTTGAAGAAAAGTTTAAAGAGCTGTTTCTTTATCATCAACAGGTGTTGAAAGTAAATAATGTAACAATCTTCAGTTGGCATAAAAATGGTAAATTTTATACTTCTGTGACTGGACTTGCGTTATACTCTTTATATAGTTTATTTAACCATTCATGTTATCCTAATACCTTTTGGAATACTTGTGGATCAACGATGGTAGTTCGAGCCAATTTACCTATTAAAAAGGGGGAACAGTGCTTCATCTCTTATGGGTAAGTTCACTTTGAAGCGTATAATTTAAATAATTTTTCCATGTAAAAAAATTGGTCTAAAGAGTTTAGACAGTACTTCCCTCGCTGTCGGAAACGTGACGACTGCATACCTATTATGTTTTTTTCTTGCACATTTAAGATAGCATCGCATTTGCACCGGTCTG